TAAGGAAGTCCTTTATAATATATATATATATATATATATATATATATAGTTTCTTTATACCTCAATTAGGATTAAATTAATTTATTGACAAAATAATGTTTTTTACCATAAATGAGGTATTTTTATTAAAAATAGTACAATAATCCTTTAAATTAAAAGTAAAAGTAGGGCCGCCACTGGTTGTCCCTGACCTATGGCAACTGACGCAAAATATGCTTGCACAGTGGGCGATAATGTACATTAATTAAAAATTTCCATTTGTGTTAATTAAAATTAACCATTTTTCTAATATTTGGGTAGTTTGATATATTAATACAAATATTTTAACTAAAACGTGTTACAACTCTGCAAATTGATTGGATTTAATTTAGAAAACCTACATTACAATATTAATTTTAAGTTTTATTAATAAAGGTTTGATTACAAATTTTGAAGATTTTGAAAAATCTGCAAAAATTAAGAACTTAAAAGAATTTTAAAATTTTGGAAATTTGGTTCTGAAAAGTTTTAGAAATTATGGAAAATTTGTCCTACCATTTTTATGTTTATCCTACTGTGCGATTTTTTTTCAAATATTATGTTAATTTATTAAGTGAAGTGTACCGTGCAAATTTAGTACGACAAATGATTTATGTTAAAAAAAAGATATTAAATAGATAGAAATTTTGGAAATTTGTCCTACCATTTTTTAAATTTATGCCACTGTGTAAGTTTGTCCTACCAGTTTTTAAAACCATCTAAATTTGTTGCTGCTGTTCACTGCAAATTTGGTAGAAAAGAACGATACAATGTTGGAAGAAATACATATTAAATACAATATAAAAGGATTCATAAAATATTTTAAAAATGTTCAGGATATTTGAAAATTTTAGAAATTTTGTCCTACCATTTTTTAAATTTATGCCACTGTGCAAGTTTATCCTACCATTTTTTAAACTTATGCTACTGTACAAGCCTGTCCTACTAATTTTTAAATTTGTAACTGCAGTTCACTGCAAATTTTGTTGGAAAAACGATAAAATGTTGGAAGAAATACATATTAAATACAATATAAAAGGTTTCATCAAAATTTTTTAAAATTTTAGAAAATATAAAAATATAATTTTGAAAATTTTAGAAAATTTTAGAAAATTCGAAAATTTTTAATTTAAAAATATTTTAAACTTGAAAAATCTTAGGATTTTTGTTAAAAGAAAGATAGAAATACATACTAAATGAGGTATTTTTTATTAAAAATAGTACAATAATCCTTTAAATTAAAAGTAAAAGTAGAAAATATGCTTGCACAGTGGGCAATAATTTACATTTATTAAAAATGTCCATTTGTGTTAATTAAATTGATTGGATTTAGAATTTAGAAAACCTACATTACAATATTAATTTTAAGTTTTATAAAAACTGTTCACGATTATTAAACATACGGTATTCAATACTAAAAGTTTGAGAATGATTATAATCTTGCTTAAAATATAATACATAGTTAAAATTCCACTATTTGAATCATTCCATGTAAGAAATTAAATCAATAAAACCATGTTTTACAAAATAATCATGATGAATAATAAATTTCATAGATGTTAAAGACATTACTTTTTGTTCATGGAAAGAAAATTTCTACACACATAAATTCGCCAGCTCACTCAATTAAACCTTAATTGCCACCAGGAAGAAAATTTATGGAAAACAAAACGTAAATTTTCACTTTTTCTTCGAATGCTTATTTAAGGGGACATTAGAAATCTACGGTGGCACAAAAAAATTATTAAATATTAAAACGTTGTCGCCAACTTTTTTGCCATTCACGCGAGGATCTTAATAGACTACATAACAAAATAAATTTCACTTAAAAAATTTACATTTCAGTAGCAATTTATAAATAAATGCACGGTGAAATTTGTTTTGATTTTTTAATCCGAAAATGGCACCTCCTATTAACTTTCTAAAACAAACATTGATTTTTTATACAGGGTTTGGAAGCTTGAGTTGACAAAAATTAATGAATAAATCAAACCTTATAAAATCGTCGCATTAAAATTTGACAAATGAATTTTGGCCACTGTTTATTAAAAAACTGTCATAAATAGTTTACGAAATTGTGATTTTTTTAATTAAACGCACATTTTTAAAAGCAAATCAATTTTTATATAGTTCTAAAGTTACTTTTAACGTCTAAAATTATTAATAAAGGTTTGAGTACAAATTTTGTAATATTTTACAAATTTTGCAAAATTTTGAAAAATCTGAAAAAATTGGGAATTTTAAAGAATATTAAAATTTTGGAAATTTGGTTCTGAAAAGTTTTAGAAATTTTGGAAAATTTGTTCTACCATTTTTTTGTTTATGCTACTGTGCGAATTTTTTTCAAATATTGTGTTATTTTATTTTGTTAAGTGAAGTGCACTGTGCAAATTTAGTAGAACAAATGATTTATGTTAAAAGAAAGATATTAAATACAAAAATATCAAAAATTTTGAAAATTTTAGCAATTTTGTCCTACAATTTTTTTAAATTTATGCCACTGTGCAAGTTTGTCCTATTATTTTTTAAATTTGTTACTGCAGTGCACTGTGCAAATTTAGTAGAAAAAACGATAAAATGTTAAAAAAATACATATTAAATACAATATAAAAGGTTTCATCAAAAATTTAAGAAATTTTGGAATTTTGTCCTACCATTTTCTACATTTACGCCATTGTGCAAGTTTATCCTACCATTTTTTAAACTTATGCTTGTACAAGTCTGTCCTAACAGTTTTTAAATGTATCCCTATTGTGCAAATTTGTCCTATTAATTTTTAAATTTAAAAATTTTGAATTTGTAAATTTTAGAATGTTCGATAAATCTTAAAATTTTAGAAATTTTGAAAATTTGTCCTACCATTTTTTAAATTTATGCCACTGTGTAAGTTTGTCCTACCAGTTTTTAAAACTATCTAAATTTGTTGCTGCTCTTCACTGCACATTTAGTAGAAAAGAACGATAAAATGTTGGAAGAAATACATATTAAATACAATATAAACGGATTCATAAAATATTTTAAAATTTTTAGAAAATTTAAAATTTTTAGGATATTTGATAATTTTAGAAATTTTGTCCTACCATTTTTTAAATTTATGCCACTGTGCAAGTTTATTCTACTATTTTTTAAACTTATGTCACTGTACAAGTCTGTCCTACTAATTTTTAAATATCCCCCAATGTGCGAATTGTATTTAACTATTTTTAAATTTGTTACTGCAGTTCACTGCAAATTTAGTTGGAAAAACGTTAAAATGTTAGAAGAAATACATATTTAATACAATATAAAAATGTTCATCAAAAATTTTAAAAACTTTAGAAAATATGATTTTGAAAATTTTAGAAACTTAAAAGTTTAGAAATTTTGGAAATTTGTCCTACGATTTTTTAAATTTATTCCACTGTGTAAGTTTTTCCTACCATTTTCGAAACTATCTTTTAAATTTGTTGCTGCAGTGCAGTGCAAATTTAGTAGAAAAAAACGATTAAACGTTGGAAGAAATACATATTAAATACAATGTAAAAGGTTTCATAAAATATTTTAAAAATTTTAGAAAATTATTTTTTTTAGAAAATTTAAAAAAATTAGAAATTTTGTCCTACCATTTTTTAAATTTGTGCCACTGTGCAAGTTTATCCTACCATTTTTTAAACTTATGCTACTGTACTAGTCGGTTCTGACAGTTTTTAAATGCATCCCTACTGTGCACATTTGTCCTACTAATTTTTAAATATCCCCCAATGTGCGAATTTTTTTAACTATTTTTAAATTTGTTACTGCAATTCACTGCAAATTTAGTACGAAAATGTTGGAATAAATACATATTAAATACAATATTAAAGGTTTCATCAAATATTTTGAAAATTTTAGAAAATATGATTTTAAAAATTTTAAAATTTTTAATTTGAGAATTTTAGAAAATATGAAAATTTTTAATTTGAAAATTTTAGAAACTTAAAATTTCAGAAATTTTTGAAATTTGTCCAACAATTTTTTAAGTATTTTTTAAATTTGTTGCTGCAGTGCACTACAAAAAAATAAGTAGGAAAAACGATAAAATGTTAAATATACATATGTACATACACAATATAAAAGGTTTAATAAAAAAATTTGAATTTTTAGATATTTTGGAAATTTTTCCTACCATTTTTTTAAATTTATGCCACTCTGCAAGTTTTTTTATCATTTTTTAAATTTATGTAAATTTATCTCCATTTTTCTAAATGTATCCCTACTGTGCGAATTTGTCCTATCATTTTTTAAATTTATGCCACTGTGCGAATTGTGTCCTACCATTTATGCATTTAAGGGAAGTTTTCAATTATCCAATTTTGTTTGAATTTGGACAGTTAATTTAATTAATTTTAATGTTTTTTTACATCTTTTAATTTAAATTTTTAAATTTTAACCACTCTGTGACTACTTAATTTACTCGTAATATTAATTATAGGTAATTATAATTATTTTTCTTTTTGATCATGCAAAGTGCTCGACAAAAAGACATCACAATTCCAAGTCAGCCACATGATTTAAATTGCGAAATAAAAGCATTAAACCATCAAACCATAATTTATAGATTATCTTTAACTTTCAATACACCAATTTAAAACCAAACCACATAAAACGACAACAAATTTTGCAACAAAACATCATTCTTACATCCATTAATGCACACAATTCGGTAATAAAACTCCGATAAAGGAAAAGGAAAGTGATGACCATAGAAAGAAATTTATCGCTGACCCCTGACATTGCCTCGAATCAGGAATCCCAACGGTATAATGTCAAATCGTGTTCAAATTAAACAATCGAGGGAAAGTAGAAATTTTCATTTTCATCCTCCAAATTTTTATTATTTAAGACGGATGCCTCCAAGATATAAATCGTTTACACAAGAAAGTAACATTTTTATGAATTACAAGAGTAATTTAGGTTTACTTTAAAATGTGTAAAAAACTAAAGTTCTCCTTTCTTCGTTTCAGACGGTTGCGTGGAAGTCTCGCGCGAGAACAAATTTCTTAGCACGCTCACCCCAGGAAAAGTTCTTGGTGAGTTGGCAATCCTTTACAACTGTCAAAGGACTGCCACAATCAAGGCGGCTACCGATTGCAAGCTATGGGCCATCGAAAGGCAATGTTTCCAAACCATCATGATGAGGACCGGCCTTATAAGGCAGGCCGAATACACGGACTTCCTCAAGAGGTAAGATAAATATTTTGATAGTTTTGGATTTCTCATGAAATTGTCTATTTTTTGGTGACTACCGCGTTTTTATAGGTATAGTAGTAAAAAAGTTATTTCATGTTAAAATTTAAATAAAAAAAAATGTTTACTGCTTGACAGCTAAAACCCTGGTATTTTCTAGGATGTGAAGGCACTATAGCAAAGTAATTTTAATACAACGTTATTAAATACATTTTCTTAAATTTAGTTAAAACTAGAATGTTCCACGTCCTATAGAAAAAGAAATATTTGATCTTAAAGTTTAGTTTCACATTTTTAAAGATGATTACATAAATCCCCAGTATTTTTTAGGATGTGAATAGATGATAGCAAAGTATAAATTTTAATACAATATTCTTGAAGAAATTCTCTAAAATTTAGTTAAAACTAGAATGTTCCACGTCCCATAGAAAAAGAGATATTTGTTCTTAAAGTTTAGGTTAACATATTTTTTAAATGATTACAATAATCCCTAGTATTTATTAGGAAGTGAACATACTATAGCAGAGTTATTTTAAAACATTGCTTTTTTATGAAATTCTTCAAAATTTGGTTAAAATTAAAATATTCCTAGTCCTATAGTAAAAAATATATTTGTTCTTAAAGTTAGGTTCACATTTTTAAAAATAATTGCAATAATCCCTAGTTATTTAAATACATTGTTTTTTTATGAAATTCTCTAAAATTTGGTTAAAAATATATTCCATGTCCAATAGTAAAAAATATATTTGATCTTAAAGTTTAGGTTCACATTTTTAAAGATGATTACATAAATCCCCAGTATTTTTACGATGTGAATAGATTATAGCAAAGTAAATTTAATACAATATTCTTGAAGAAATTCTCTAAAATTTTGTTAAAACTAGAATGATCCACATCCCATAGAAAAAGAGATATTTGTTCTTAAAGTTTAGGTTAACATATTTTTTAAATGATTACAATAATCCCTAGTATTTATCAGGAATTGGACATACTATAGCAGTTATTTTAAAACATTGCTTTTTTATGTAATTCTTCAAAATTTGGTTAAAACTGGAAAATTCCAAGTCCGATAGTAAAAAATATGTTTGTTGTTAAAGTTAGGTTCACGTTTTTTAAAATAATTGAAATAATCCCTAGTTATTTAAATACATTGTTTTTTTATGAAATTCTCTAAAATTTTGTTAAAACTATATTCCATGTCCAATAGTAAAAAATATATTTGATCTTAAAGTTTAGGTTCACATTTTTAAAGATGATTACATAAATCCCCAGTATTTTTTACGATTTGAATAGATGATAGCAAAGTAATTTTAATACAATATTCTTGAAGAAATTCTCTAAAATTTAGTTAAAACTAGAATTTGTTCCAGGTCCCATAAAAAAAGAGATATTTGTTCTTAAAGTTTAGGTTAACATATTTTTTTAAATGATTAATGATTAATCCCTAGTATTTATCAGGAAGTGGACATACTATAAGCAAAGTTATTTTAAAACATTGCTTTTTATGAATTTCTTTAAAATTTGGTTAAAACTAGAATACTCCTAGTCCTATAGTTAAAAATATATTTGTTCTTAAAGTTAGGTTCACATTTTTAAAAATAATTGCAATAATCCCTAGTTATTTAAATACATTGTTTTTTATGAAATTCTCTAAAATTTGGTTAAAACTATATTCCATGTCCAATAGTAAAAAAATATATTTGATCTTAAAGTTTAGGTTCACATTTTTAAAGATGATTACATAAATCCCAATTCTTTTTTAGGATGCACATGTGAATAGATGTTAGCAAAGTAATTTTAATACAATATTCTTGAAGAAATTCCCTAAAATTTAGTTAAAACTAGAATGTTTCACGTCCCATAGAAAAAGAGATATTTGTTGTTAAAGTTTAGGTTAACATATTTTTTTAAATGATTACAATAATCCCTAGTATTTATCAGGAAGTGGACATACTATAGCAGAGTTATTTTAAAACATTGCTTTTTTATGTAATTCTTCAAAATTTGGTTAAAACTAGAAAATTCAAAGTCCAATAGTAAAAAATATATTTGTTCTTAAAGTTAGGTTCACATTTTTAAAAATAATTGTAATAATCCCTAGTTATTTAAATACATTGTTTTTTATGAAATTCTCTAAAATTTAGTTAAAACTATATTCCATGTCCAATAATAAAAAATATATTTGATCTTAAAGTTTAGGTTCACATTTTTAAAGATGATTACATAAATCCCCAGTATTTTTTAGGATGTGAATAGATGATAGCAAAGTAATTTTAATACAATATTCTTGAAGAAATTCTCTAAAATTTAGTGAAGACTAGAATGTTCCACGTCCTATATAAAAATAGAAATTTGTTCTTAAAGTTTGGGTTAACATATTTTTAAAATTATTACAATAATCCCTAGTATTTATTAGAAAGTGGACATACTATTATACTATAATAGCAGAGTTATTTTAATACATTGTTTTTTATGTAATTCTTCAAAATTTAGTTAAAACTAGAAAAGTCCGATAGTAAAAAATATATTTGTTTTTAAAGTTAGGTTCACATTTTTAAAAATAATTGCAATAATCCCCAGTATTTTTTAGGATGTAAATAGATCATAGCAAAGTAATTTTAATGCAATATTCTTGAAGAAATTCTCTAAAATTTTGTTAAAACTAGAATGTTTGAAATTTAATAGTATAAAAGTTATTTTACCTTAAAGATTTTTATAAATTAACTTTTTTTACTTGATTGTTTTTACACTTTCAGCGTACCAATATTCAAAAATCTTCCCGAAGACACGCTGATCAAAATTTCGGACGTCCTGGAAGAGACATTCTTCAATTATGGTGATTATATTATAAGGCAGGGAGCCAGAGGTGATACCTTCTTCATTATCAGCAAGGGCAGAGTGAAAGTAACCAAAAAGCCCCAGGAGTCCCAGGAAGAAAAGTTCATTAGATCATTGACCAAGGGCGATTTCTTCGGAGAAAAAGCTCTACAAGGGTAAGACATGTTCTATGATATGTGGGTTAGGCTGGGCCTAAAAAATAACTATTTTTTTTGAAAAATATATCGAGAATGTCATTCAGAATGACAAAAAAAAATTTCGTGAAAATTTGAGCCCTTAATATTAATTTTAAGAGGTCTATCATCGCTATTTTTGATTTTTAGTCATAATTTGATGTTTTACGTTAAAGCTGTCAAAACATTAAAGTGAAAAAAATTCCTTTTCACTTATTTTTATATAAAATTAAATTCTCTACAAAAAAGGTCTGATTGAAAATTTTCGTCAGACGAGCCGTTTCCGAGTAATTGAGCTTAATAAATCGATGTGTTTTTTCGATTTGCCCTTTTTACTTTGAAATTTTGTAACTAATGAATCAATGAATTTTTAAAAAAGCTACAAAAAAGGTCTCTTAACATTTTTGCCTAAATTTAATTCTTCAAAAGTTATTCACGAGGTTTTTCTTCGATTTTAATCGTGAATAACTTTTGAAGAATTAAATTTAGGCAAAAATGTTAAGAGACCTTTTTTGTAGAACTTTAAATTTCCTTTAAGAATCCGACGTGAGCTTTTTTAAATATTCATTGATTCATTAGCTACAAAATTTCAAAGTAAAAAGGGCAAATCGAAAAAACATCGATTTATTGAGCTCAATTACTCGGAAACGGCTCGTCTGACGAAAATTTTCAATCTGACCTTTTTTGTAGAGAATTTAATTTTATATAAAAATAAGTGAAAAGGAATTTTTTTCACTTTAATGTTTTGACAGTTCTAACGTAAAACATCAAATTATGACTAAAAATCAAAAATAGCGATGATAGACCTCTTAAAATTAATATTAAGGGCTCAAATTTTCACGAAATTTTTTTTTGTCATTCTAAATGATATTCTCGATATATTTTTCAAAAAAAAAATAGTCAATTTTTTTGGCCCAGTCTAATGTTGCTTGCCTACTACTAATATTTATCTTTTGTAGCGATGACCTTCGTACAGCAAATATAATAGTTGATGATCCAGAGGGCGTATGTTGTCTTGTAATAGACAGGGAAACATTCAACCAGCTCATATCAAACCTTGACGAAATCAGGACCAAATACAAGGACGAAAGTAATGATAGAAGAAGGTAAGGAAGGAATTATTAAAAAATTAATATTATTTTTAAAGTTATACCTTGTTCAAATGCAAGCCTTGAAGGATAAGTAGTAAGTACCTACTGTGACAGTGAAATAAGCGTGCACGCTAAAGAAGTATCGGGTTTTCGCAACGCGCGCGCCATCTGGTGGACAGAATTGTCAACAATACATTTGAAGCCCAGATTATACATCATTTTTAAATAAATTGGTAGTTTTTTCACAAAAGAGGGGAAGGCAGAAGTCTAACTCGACAAATTTTGTTCAATTGCACAGCTAATTGCGCACGTTATTTGTGTTTTACGTTGCAAGGAAAAAATTAAAAAACTTTTTTAGTACTCTATTTCGATTGATTATTCCTTATATCATTGATTAAGAAACTCAACGCTTAAATGCTTATATAGTTACGTTAGTGTGTGTATTTTATCTAAGGGATCAAGGTGAATTATTGTGTTTTTAATTGTAAATAAAATTCAAGAACTAAATCGTTGCATTTTCATGTTTTGCCAAAGGATCTAATTCGGTAAATACATTTGTTGGTGCTGAATTAACTAATGATAAATTTACCTAATATAATTTATATTTAAGTTTGGACATTTTTAAGAAATTGGTAAAAAATTATTTTTGCAAAAACATAACCTTAAAGTCAACCATTTTTATGTTTTAGTTCTCTAAAAAATGCCGATAACTGCATTTTAAACAACAAAATATACCTACGAATTCATGGCAACATAATATTATATATGTTACGGCTAATGTGCAAACTTGGATAGTTTATAAACTAGCTGGATAGTTTATAAACTAGCCAAACTGTCAGCTATTTTAATTGAAAACATATTTTCAACTAAATTAGCGGCTAGTTTGTATACTATCCAATTCAGTTTGTCTAATATGAAAACCAAATTTCTAGTAACACAAAATAGCCAAGCTTTAGCTAGTTTGTAAACTAACCAACCAATTCTCTGGCTAATTTCGTATAACGTCACAATTTTGACTTTTGCGGGATTTTATGAAAATTAATTTTTTTACAAGTTTTTTTTACAATTTTTTTTTGCATATTTTCGCAATTTTTGCCATTTTTTGTTGGGTTTGCTCATTATTTAGTTGGGTTTTCCTCTCATTTTTGACCATTTTAGTTGGGTTTTTGCTCAATGCGTTAAAATTTTGCCTATGATTCATTTTAAAAATGTTAAAATGCACAAAACAAATCCGGTTAAGCCGCAAAACGAAAAACAATGCCGTAACCTCACTTTTTTAATAAATTAGCTAGAGAATTGGTTGGTTAGTTTACAAACTAGCTAAAGCTTGGTTATTTTGTGTTACTAGAAATTTTGGTTTTCATATTAGCCAAACTGAATTGGATAGTATACAAACTATCCAGCTATTTTAGTTTCCCTAATAATTTCAAGTAAATCAGCCAAGATCCTTGGTTATTTTGTAAACTAGCCGCTAATTTAGTTGAAAATATGTTTTTCGCCCAGCACATATAAAAATGAATCATATCAAACCTAAAAATATGACCGAAAATATTATTTATTGTCTCTAGGGTCGCTAAACTCATATCGTCCCTAGTTTTTCACATTCTAGATACCTTTGACTGACATTTATGTATTTTGGCATTTAACATTTTGACTTTTGAGATTTTCAGACGTTTGTGTAAATCAAAATAAAAACGGACAACAAAAGTATAAAATAAGAATAAAACCTAATTTAAATTTTGTAATAAATGAATGGTAACTCGGACAGTGACGAAAAATTTACGAATACTTGACCAGATTTGAAAAAGAGGAAGCTAGCTAGCTGTTAAGACAATGCGTTGCAACGGTACGAAAAGTGCTATGAATTATTTAAAAACTGGAAAAAGGATCAAAAACCCAAAAACTTAACAAAAAATGTATTAGTTGCTTATCTATCGGAAAGATCAAAGGTAATTCTAATGAAACATTAACTTCATCTGTAGAAATAAGCCTTCAAATTCTGGTACTATCCACAATTGTGCTCAAGGCATAATTAACATTAATTACAACAATAAACAAATTCGTAAATTGTTACTGAAGTTTTTTATAAAATTCCGTTTATATTAATAAAATTTAAAAAAATAATTTGTTTGATGCTAGGCGAAAAACAGGTGTGTGTCACACATTCAGAAAACGCATTAGCAGCCCTTAGCTATCAACTGCCCTCGCTTCGCTTCGCTCGCTCAGGCAGTTAATAGCCGCGAGCTGCTAAAGCTAGTTTTCTGCCAATATACTATTAGTCGCGTGCTTAACATTTAAATTTCGTACTGCCAACATGAGAAACACAAAAATATGACAGTTTTAAACCATAATTTTGCAATTATAACAACAAATAAACAATTTATGTTTTACTTTTTATGTTGTTTTAAGTGTTTAATGGTACTTTTATTTGTTATAAAGTAGTAATTTGTTAATTAAAATACAACCTTTTATTTTTACTGTATTGGCAAGGTTGAATTACCATGACAACGCTACAGTTTGATTGATTTTGAATGTAAACGTCAGAATTAAATTAAACGTCAGATTTTAATTTTGACACAAATTTTTTTATATACATTTAATTTTTTCCCGTATTTTCTGCAGGGTAGTAAGAAAAATAGTATACACTACACGGGCAGAAAGTGTGAGAGTCCTGAACTGCGCGCCATGATGCCCTCGGCTTCGCCTCGGGCATCATGGCGCGCAGTGCAGGAATCTCACACTTTCTGCCCTTGTAGTGTAATATACTATTTCAATTAAAATAGCTGACAGTTTGGCTAGTTTATAAACTATCCAGCTAGTTTATAAACTATCCAAGTTTGCACATTAGCCGTGACATATATATAATACATAATATACTTAATGGTATTTTACCGTTGAGTGGAGACTTTCTTAATCAACGCTTTTATAGGTGCAATTTATATTTACAGAGACTGTATGCAATTTATTTCTTCATTCAGATTAACACTGTTTATTGGAAAACCGGTAAAAACTCAACCCAGGATTTCCTCTCGAAATACACCCAACAACACAACAAATCGAGCCACGGTTTTTTTCCGATATTTTTTAACATTTTCCGGCTTTATTCTCGAAAATACTCGTTTGTAACCTAAGCGTTTGACAGCTGATTATTAAAAGTGGTACTTTTGTTACGATGATAACAGCCGAGTGGTGGCGCTACTAGCGATACTTCTTTAGCGTATTCCCCAAAAATCTTGATGTTGAGGATTTTTTCGTTTTTAGGATAAACGAAGAGTTCGACTCTGTCTCGCTCTGCGATCTTAAGATTCTCACCACTTTGGGCGTTGGGGGTTTCGGTCGCGTCGAGTTGGTGCAGATCCAGGGGAAGCCCACGCGGTCGTTCGCGCTGAAGCAGATGAAGAAGGCCCAGATCGTGGAGACGCGCCAGCAGCAGCACATCATGTCCGAGAAGGAGATCATGGGCGAGGCTAACTGCGAGTTTATCGTGAAGTTGTACAGGACTTTCAAGGATGCCAAGTATTTGTACATGTTGATGGAGAGTTGCCTGGGAGGGGAGCTGTGGACGGTGTTGAGGGACAAGGGGTACTTTGATGATGCCACCACCAGGTTAGTAATTTTTGATTATTTTGGAAACTGAAATTTTTTGAAAATTTTGAATATTTTGAGTTTTGGATATTGTAAAGATTTTGTAAATTTTTGTTATTTTAAAATTTTGGAGCCTTCGTATATTTTGAAAACTGCAAAAATTGTTAAATATTTTAAGAATTTTGAAACGTGGAAATCCTAAATAAACATTTGGATATTTTAAGTTCTTTTGTACAACTTTAAAAGTTTTGAATATTTTGAAAACTGTAAATTCTAAATTTTTTGAATATTTTGAGAATTTGTGGAAATTTTAAAAAGATTTAAAATACAAAAAAAATTGAGTATTTTAAAAATTTTGGCTAATTTAAAATTTTTGAATATTTTATAACAACTTTTGGATATTTTAAAACTGTACTGTACAACTTGAAAATTTTTTAACAGTTTGAAAACTGGAAACGTCCAAATTTTGAATATATTGGAGCTTTTGAATATTTTAAACGAGGTGCTTATACTTGTATTTTGAAAACTGTAAATTTTAAAAAAATTTAATACAGTCAAACTTTAAACTTAAACAATGCTTGCCACAAAAAATCTTTGGGAACGTAGAAATTTTGGAAAAATAAATTTTAATATTTAATGTTTTCGATATTGTAAAAATTTGTTTGAAAATATTGAATATATTCAAAAGAATTGAAATCCCAAACATTAAAATATTTTAAAATTTCTAGATATTTTAAAAACTTTTAATATTTTAGAACTTTTGGATATTTTATTAAAAAAAAAATAAATGGAACTGGAAATTCGCAAAATTTTGAATATTTTGAGAATTTCAGAACGTCGAAATTTTGGAAAATTAATTTTTGTTGAATATTTTGAATATTTTTTCAACAAATTTTCTAAAATTATACATTTTTTAGATATTTTAAATATTTTGGAAATTTTAAATAATTTGAAAATTTTGGATATTAAAAAAAATTAAAAACCTAAACATTTAAATATATTTAAAACTTTTGCATATTTTCTTTTGTATAATTTTTTGAATATTTTAAAAACTGTAAATTCTCGAAATTTTGAGAATTTTGGAACGTGGAAATTTTGGAAAATTAATTTTTGTTGGGTATTTTGAATATTTTTTCAACTTACACAAATTATAATTTTTTTAGATATTTTAAATATTTTGGAAATTTAAAATAATTCGAAAATTTTGGAAATGTTTGATATTTTAAAAATTTATTTAAAAAAAAACCTAAACATTTAAATATATGTATTTAAAACTTTTGCATATTTTGAAAACTGGAAATTCTGAAAATTTTGAGAATTTTGGAACGTGGAAATTTTGGAAAATTAAAATATTTTGAAGTTAGTGATGTTTTAAAAATCTTGTAAATTTTAAATTTTTGTATAATTAGTTTTAAATTTAATACAATCTTAAAATTTTTGGATATTTTGCTATTTTGAAAATTTGGGATATTTCAAACTGTACTGTACAACTTGAAAAATTTTCAACAGTTTGAAAATCGGAAATTCTTAATTTATTTAAATATTTTAAGAATTTGTGGAAATTTTAAAAAATTATTTTTTGTTTGAAAATTTTGAATATTTCACGTTTTGGATATTTTAAAAAGTTTGTTTATTTTAAAATTAAATATAAATAAGTCATTTAAGGTCGTTAGCCTTTTGGAGTAATCCAATAAAGTTTATTTTATTTATTAATATTATAAACAAGTTTTGGTAAACTTATTTTGGACATTTTGAAAATTTTTGATATCTTCAAAATTTTGAAAATTTTAGATATTTTGTAAATTTAAAATTGCAAAAAAAAATTAAGTAGGTATTTTAAAAATTTTGGATATTTTGAAATTTTTGAATATGTTATAACTTTTAAATTTTTGAAAATTTTGAATATTTCGTTTTGGATATTTTAAAAAGTTTGTTAAATTTAAAATTAAATATAAATAAGTCATTTTAGGGAACTAAGGTCGTTAGCCTTTTGGAGTAATCCAATAAAGTTTATTTTATTTATTATTATTATAAATAAGTTTTGGTAAACTTATTTTAGATATTTTGAAAATTTGAAAAATTTTGAAAATTTTCGATATCTTCAAAATCTTGAAAATTTTAGATATTTTGTAAATTTAATTAAAAAAATTATTGAAATTTTGTATAATAAAAAATTTTTATATCTTAAATAGTGTATCGATTTTCTGTGACGTCATCATGGCATACTATCGATTTTCGTTATATTTAATTTTAATAGGCAAGAAAAAAGTACAAAAAATAATTATGTATTATTTGAAAATATATGGAGTTTAAAAACGCATTTTGTAGCACCAAAAATAAATTTTAGAATGATTTAACTTGTTAAAAATGTCAAAAATACAATTTTAAATGTCAAAGTAAAGAATCTTAAAAACAGTTTGTAATTTCAAAACAAATTTTTAATGTCAAAACCATAAGTTAAAATTGCTAATTTGAATTTTAACACTTAGGGCCGGTTTATCAATCTCTAGTTAAGTTCCAGTTAGTCTATCTGACAATTAAATTTCATATCGATCGTTGTGAGAACAATGGTATCCATGGAAATTATCTAACAGATAACTAACTGCAACTTTAACTGGACATTGATAAACCGGCCCTTATTTAAGACTGTCAAAAACACTGTTACATAAAATCAGGTGTCAAAAGCACAATTTAAAACTTCAAAAAAATCAAAGAATCTTTAAAATAGTTTAAAACAAATTTATCAATTATTGATTATATTATACTTCTAATCTTATTTTAGGCAAAAACATTATAGAATTCTAAAAACAGTTTTGAATGTCAAAAACAAATTTTGGAATCTTAAAAAAATTATAAAAACAAATTTTAGATTACATTTTAATATGTGCAAAAAATAGTATTTTAATAGCATGAATTACGTAATAATCTCAAAAACACATTCTAGAATGTCAATTGCATCAAATAGTTTTTATTGCCAAAACATATTTAGATTCTTAATTTTTTAGAATGTCGAAACCACAATTATGTAAAAATTTCTACTTTACATATTATAGTAAAAATCAAATTTAAGATTCTCAAAACAGTTTATTATTAAAAATCATATTTTATAAATATTTCTTGCAGGTTCTATACGGCTTGTGTGGTAGAAGCATTCGACTATCTGCATTCCAGGAACATCATCTACAGGGATCTCAAGCCCGAAAATTTGCTATTGGACGTGCAAGGTACGAATCGCCATTATAGATGCACCATGAAATTGTTAATTTACGATATTATTTAAACTTTTTCAGGTTATGTAAAACTGGTTGACTTCGGCTTCGCGAAGAAACTGCAATCCGGTCGGAAAACGTGGACTTTCTGCGGCACACCCGAATACGTCGCTCCAGAAGTAATTCTCAACAAAGGCCACGACATCAGCGCCGACTACTGGTCGCTCGGCGTACTAATGTTTGAACTTCTCACAGGTACGCAGAGCCCCGTCTGTTTTTGCTTATCAATGATTTTGAATGTGTCTTTTTCTTGCAGGAACACCTCCTTTTACCGGTTCTGATCCTATGAAGACGTACAACATAATATTGAAGGGTATAGATGCAATTGATTTCCCGAGGAATATCACAAGAAACGCGATGGCGTTAATTAAAAAGTTGTGCCGCGATAATCCGGCGGAACGTTTGGGGTACCAAAAGGGGGGAATCAGTGAAATACAAAAGCACAAGTAAGCTATTTTTAACTATTTATTTTTATTCCGCAGGCAAATAAAATTTTAAAATTTTTAATGGATACTTTAAATGTTGGAAATTCTGAAAATTTTGATATTTAAATTTTTTTGAAATTTTAAGGATTTTGAAAATTAAAAAAAAATTGTATATTTGTTATTTTTTAAAAAATTTTGATTTTCTGAAAATACAAAAAAAGTTGGTTTTAAATATTTTTAATCATTTGTTGACTGAAATTTTTAAATATTTTGATAATTATTAGTTTTGAAATTCTTAGGTAATTTTAAAAAACTTGAATATTTTTTTAATATTTTAGAAATTTTATGGATTTTCAAAATCTTAACAAAAAAAATTTGTTGACTTCTTAGAACTTGGATAGTATAAAAGTTCAAAGAATTATTCTTTGAACTTTTAAGTTTCTTAGAAATTCCAACAGTTTTGGTAATTTTAAAAATTTTAAAATTAAAAAATTGGACGGATATTTTTAAATGTTGGGACATTCTGAAAATTATGACACTTGGATATTTAATTTTTTTTTTAATATTTTTGAAATTTTAGGGATTTAATCTTAATCTTAAGTCATACATTTTTTGGAAATTTTGAAATTCGTTCAAATTTTGAGTTAAAATTTTTAGAAATTTCAACAATTTTGGTAGTTTTGAAAATTTAGTATATTCGACGGATATTGGGTCATTCCACGTTACTCAGGGATTTTTGTCCCGCCCGTCACAATTAAAAATTGTGAGTAAAAACTACACGTTATAAAATTTATTTAAAAATATTGTTTTATTATGCTTTTAATAAGTTATAAGCACAATAAAAATAATATTATAAAATATTAATTTTATAACTTGTGGTTTTTACTCACAATATTAATTGTGACGGGCGGGACAAAAATTACCGAGTAACGTGGAATGACCCTATTCTAAAAATTAAAAAAAAGATGGACATTTTTAAAAATTCCAACTGTAATTTTAAATATTTTAGAAATTTTATGTATTTTAAAAATTTCGATGCTCTCAAAAATTTTGGTTTTGAATATTTAAAAAATTTTGGATATTCTGAAAATTAACTGAATTTATTTATATCTATCACTCTATTTTACTAATACCACTATTTGTAAATTTTGTAACTTGGATAGTTAAAATTTGAAATTTTAAGTTTTAAAATTTTTAGAAATTTCAACGATTTTGGTAATTTTGAAAATTTTTGATATTCTGAAAATTAAAAAAAAATTAAAATTTTAAAATATTTAAAATTAAAAAATTGGAACGGATATTTTTAAATATTTGGAAATTTTGAAATTTTTTGAAATTATAAGTTTTAAAATTTTTAGAAATTTCAACAATTTTGGTAATTTTAAAAATTTAGGATATTCTAAAAATTTAAAAAAAATGGAAATTTTTAAATATTTTAAACTTAAAAAGTTTTTAAAAATTTAAAACTAAAAAATTCCAACTGTTTTGGCAATTTTAAATATTTTTGATATTCTTAAAAATTTTGGTTTTGAATATTTTATAAATTTTTGGTATTCTAAAAATTAATTGAATTTATTTATGTCTATCTCTCTATTTTACCAATACCCAGCCACTATTTGTAAATTTTTAAAACTTGAAAATTCCAAACATTTGTAAAGTTGAATATATTTTTTTAATATTTAGAAATTTTTGGGATTTTAAAAATTTGGTTAATATTACAACTTTTGGAAATTTTGAATTTTTTTTTTAATTTTGGATATTCTAAATGAAAAATTTAATGGAAATACATATTTTAAATTTGTTGGATATTTAAATAATGTTTGGTAAATTCGTAGCCTTATCGTTTTCTACTCGTCAAATCTCGCCATATTGAATTTATTTATATCTATCTCTCCATTTTACTAATGCAAAGCCACTATTTAGGAATTGATAACATTTAGCTTGTCAGTTTTAAATTAAATATAGCCTAAAGGTTTTATAATAAGTAATTACTTAGCTTATAATTATACAGTAGAAACCGTCAATATATGAACGTGACTCATCCGACACATTCGTACGAAGCAATCTATCGAAGGTCACGGTCCAGTGCAGTCTCGTTTGTAAAAAAATTTGAGTGTAATGTTGGTTGCTATACTTATGATATATTTGCTTTTAAAGTTAAATAATTAACATCTAACATAATTAACATCTACGATAATTAAATAAAATGTAATTTTCTTAGAAACTAATTAATAAATAAACTTTTCTTTTAACTTTAATGAAATATTCTATCATCTGATTACAGAACGTACACTCGTGGCGACATCTCTGATTTTAATAACAAATTTTTAGACCGACCCAACCTCACTTTCTTCCAATTAAATTCTTAGTATAGTCTGAAACACGTTTGGAATTGCATATTCCCCTCTCGTGAAACCGTCAAACTTGTTACAGAATATACTATTCTTTTAACAGTAAACGCAAATATTTCAGAATTGGTGACAAAAAACAAAAATGTTTACGCAGGTCAGGTACAAAGTGAAAGATATTTAAATTGTGTGGATATAAAAACAACTTGCGTTAGTTTCACGAAATTTATTAAATATTGACAATTGTTTCGCTACACAGTAGCTTCTTCAGAATGTATTAAACTAATACTAGTACAAAATTTATATGTATAATAAAAATATTTTTGTATTCTAGCCTAGAATTTCTAGGTAAGGATTTTTATACGACATCTACCTGTGTTACATAATATAAACCACTGCCACTACAACGTTTAAAACGATTATTAATCCGGAAACACACAGTAGAAACAAGATATGCAAAAACAAAGATCATATGACATATAAAAACAAATGGCCGACGGTAAAGTTGGTTGCCTTACTATGTAATAAAATAAAATAAATTCCTAAAACACGAACTCTACTGACTTCCAATAAAATTAAGTAACAAGCTAGGACACAAGCGTCATATGTCCATCTTTGTCCAACACCTAGGCAGTTTTACATCACAGATGGCGCATTTTAGACCGGATGCTTAAAAACCTACGTGTGAGTACATTTACCGCTGCATCGAATGTACAAGACAAGTAAAACATTACTGCTAGCATGTCTGAGATATGTTCGACACCCGATGAGTCACGTTCATATATTGACGGTTTCTACTGTAGCTATTTACTACTTATAAAACCTTTAGGTTATATATGGTTTAAAACAGACTTTAAAACAAAACATGTTTTCAATTCCCGAAATTTGAGTTATGTTGCTTGCGATACTTTGGCAGAAAGTCATCGATATAGGTATTAATGGAAATTCTGAAAAGTTTGCTCTTTTTGATATTTTGGTTATTTTAAAATTTTTGAATGTTTTAGTTTTGAATATTTTAAAAATTTAGAATATTTTGAATATTTATCGATTTTCTGTGGTATCACTCATCCTGTAACCATTCATACTTCATACTGTCGAATTTTCTCCAAACTTCCGTTGCCTGCTAAAACTTTACTCTCAACGCTCGAAAAAATCACTGAGTACCTTTTTACAGGTGGTTCGATGGCTTCAATTGGGAGGGCCTTGTTAACAGGACACTAACGCCACCTATCCTTCCTCAAGTGAACCACGTGACAGATACCTCAAACTTCGACAACTACCCGCCAGATGCGGACGGTTTGCCGCCGGATGACACAACCGGCTGGGACGCGAGCTTTTAAGAAAATTTTAATTCGTTTTAGAACTAAATCGAGAGACTTTTTAATATATTTTTCAATGTGAGACACAGAAACTTGACGGTTTTGTAAGTAATTTTTTTGGGCGATTTTCTCGGACAGTTACGAGCGTAATCAATTAATTTAAGAGGATTGAATTAATTTTTTATGATTGTGAAAAAATTGCCCAAAAATATTGAAATTAAAGCGTTTATACTCAAAATTTATTAGCTAAATTAATTGTAGGATATTAAAAATGCCTAAAAGTGCCTTATTATAAGAAATTCTTCAGAATTATGCAATAATTGTGCCAATATCTTGCACCATAATGACATTTTACATGTTTTTAAAAAAAATTGTTTTAGACCACCGTGCCATTTTTATTATGTTTATTGTTTGTAATTTTTAGTGACCCTAAATGTAAAAGTTACCCTGCTTTTTATTCTGTACAGTTTATAAATTAATAATTAGGCAATAATATTGTAATATTTTTTATATAAGCTAAAATATTGTGAATATTATATTGTAATTAATTTGATAATATTGTATAATATAGAATAAAATTAATGATTGTTAAAAAAACGCATTTTATTTCAAAAAACCTTAAAAACATTCTTAAAAATCTTCATAAAAATTTTTATTGAAAAAAATAACTTTATTTCAAAACCGTTAAAAAACATTTTTTTAAATCCTCGAAAAAATTAATTTTTTAAAAATTTTACCTTCAAAAACACAAAAAAAACATTTTGGAAAAAATTACAAAAATTAATTTTGAGAAAATGACGTCATCATCTCGAGTAAAATAATACCTCCTCGCATTTCTGTTATTCTGTTACAAACTTGCAAAATTTATATTGACGTGATCAGGAGCAAAAATACCTATTCGCATTTCTGCTCCCCCAATACAAATTTAAAAAAATCTGGATGATTTTCGGCTTTCAATCAAAACTGAAGAGCGCCATCTGTTAAAAATCTATTGCATTATAGATGTGCCACGTTGCCCGATGGGTTCATTATTTTATATTCAATGATTTTTAAATTTTATTGAGAATGTAAATAAAAAGGCACATTTTACGTAAATATTCTTTATTTATTGTTACTTTAAAAATAAATTATTGTGTATACACATCAAAATAACAAACAAATCCGCATTAATATTGTTGAATGTGGCAACCTCGGCCAAAATGTCATCTTTTTATGAAATATGGCGCATTTATTCAAAACTGAATTATAAAACCTCAAAAACCCATAAAATGGATAAACCACAGCCCAGCACCAACTGGGAGTTGCTCGAAGACTGGTTCACGCGCATGGCTTTGGTCAAAGACGAATACTCCGAGCCAATTTTGGAAGATTCCACCGTAAATTTCATAAAATCCATATGCGAAGCTTTGAAGTTGGATATCTACGTGTTCGTGATGGCTGTGGACGTGCTGGAGCGATATATCGAGACGAAAAACGCTAAACGACAACTAATCGAGGACAAAATGTTAACACTATCAGCGGTTATACTGATTTGCAGCAAGAGCAATGGAGAGCTGTCCGATCTAAAAGTGACGCACATAAATAAAGTTATGCACAAGTTGATTGATACAACGTACAGTCTGAAGGATGTTTGTAAGGCTGAAATGGATGTTATGAAGACTTTAAACGATAAAATACCAATTACGACGAAAGTGGACGAAGTTAACACTTTTATAGAGAAATATGTTAAAGACGGACATTTAAAGGCAAACATAAGAAGGTTAAGTGTTAATATATTAGAGTTGATGTATTTGCAGCGGAGTAAGTGGTTTTATGACTTGAAAAAACATTACAAAGACAGCGAGGAGAATCGTAAGATTTTTAGATTGCTTGTATGTTCAAAGTTCTATTTGCCCATCGGGATTTTATACTGTGCCTTGAATCTCACCAAGTACAAGAATTTTTTAAAGGTAAAGCAGCTAATCAAGGAAATTTCCGCGATTACTAGGATCCATGTGGATCACATACAAATTTTAAGCAACACCATTTTTGATATAGTTTTGCTGTACTTACCTGTAGAGCAATAAGTGTTTTTAAATGTAATTTATTAAAATTAAACAGTTTTTATTAAGATAACCATTTAACAACATAGTAATTCCTTTTGCCTACCCTAAGAAGCGATATATTATTAGCTAACCTATGCACATTCATATTTATTACTTCATTGGGGTTTTGCGCTTTTTGTTGGTTTATATAGAAACCACCTGCGCTTATAATCCTCAAGGCATCAGCTGGAAATGAATTTTTTGAAATATTACACTAAAAAAATTAACACAACTCACTTGTAGTGGGAAAACACCCAATTTTTATCGTTAATTCCATTATACTTTGGCCTATTTCCGGTAATACTTCAACTATTGTGCAACCTTCGAATAAATTGCAAACTTCCTGGGCCGTCATTTGGCCTAACACTTCTAAATTACCTCCATACATGACTTCAGAAGCCCTTTTCGCTTTTTCTAGACCCTCTTTACCATGTACCAATAGAGTAGCCTGAAAAAAAAACAAATCGAAAAGATTCTATGGTACACTAATAAAAATCGTATTACTATATCCCATATAAATAATAAATGTTGTGTTTTTGTGTGGAATTATACAAAATACTTATAAAACCTTAATAAAAAGTTTTGTTTAATATAAAAACGCGACGTGACAATAATTTGAGTTAAATAAAAGATACGACGCGGCGTGGCAGTAGTCACTTCCTAACCTTAATTCTACTGGAAGTGACAGATACCTAACCTCAATTGTATGTTTGTTATTTCTATTCGCTAATGCAATGTTGTCGGATTTACATTTTATTTTAACATTTGATTAAATTAAAAATCCAGAATTTACCAAATACCATTTTTTGTTACAAATGACCTAAGTCATTTGAAACAAAAAATGTTATACAGTTCATTTTTTTATCTGGACTGTTTTTTTGTTAGGTTGGTGGCTTATGGCAGTTTGACTTAGTATTTTTAGTATTTAAAAATGGTACTTCTGCTAAAGAATTTAATTAAATACTTTGACACTGTCAAATTGACAATAATATTTACTATTGATAATTTACTTGTCAATTATAAATAAAAATATAATTATGCCAAAAATAATAGCAACGAATTCGAATGTAAAAGCCCATTTGAGGGTTGGAACCCAACCCTGTCTTATAGTATTATTAAAAATCTCTTGGGGTGTGAAATCCCAAAAAAATAAATTTAAAATATTTGTTATTTTGAGCAATTTATTGTTTATTTACTTTGGTCAAATAATTCTTTGAATTAATGAAAAATGGAAAACTTACTTGTTCTGCAAGCCTTCTTTGAGGCAATTGTAACTCAGGTTTCTCCCTATGGCGCCTCATTAAGTCCTTTATACTCCCAACAGTATCAAAGGTAAACAATTTCAACATTTTTTCTACATCGTTATCGGTCTGCCTCATCCAAAACTGATAGTATGTAAAAGGTGAAGTTTTATTCCCATTCAGCCAGACAGCATTTCCAGCGGATTTTCCAAACTTATCACCCATTTCAGTGGTTATTAGAGGTACAGTAATGCCATACACAGGTTTTTTACATGCTTTACTTATGAGTTCATGTCCTGACATTATGTTGCCCATTTGGTCATTTCCGCCTATCTAAAATTATAAAGTACATAATATTTTATAAATTTGCGATGTTTATTTTGTTATATACCTGAAATTGACAGTTATATTCTTTGAATAAATGCATGAAATCATACGCTTGAAACAGCTGGTAACTAAACTCTGTAAAACTCATCCCTTGTGGTGATTCCAACCTACTTTGTACACTTGTACGTGACAATAACGTTCCCATTCTTAAATATCTACCAGTTCTACCAATTAAATCTGTAGCACATATCTTTGAATACCATTCTTCATTATTGACTATTCTAAATGAAGAAGGCATACAATTAGTCACTATTATTGTTTATCAATGCACAATTCTACCTTACTGGCTTTAATTTATCCTTATCCTGCCATATGTACTTCTCATGATTATCAAAAACCGTTTTAATATCCCTATATATACCATCCACGTTTTCATCAATGATTCTAAACAACATTTCTTCTCTTTCACTTGTGCGTCCACTGGGGTCGCCAATTTTTGCTGTAGCACCCCCAACCTTTAATATAAAACGACATAAAATCAGTTAAACCCCTAAATACACCTCTACGAACCAATGCTATAGTATTATGGCCACCTCGTTGCCAATGTATCAAATTCACTAAAACCAACAAGTTTCCAACGTGTAAGCTATCCGCTGTGGGGTCAAAACCTGCATACACCGTCTGGTGTTTAGCATTCATCATATCTGTAACGGAATTACTAAAAAAAACGTCAATATTCAAAACTGTTAGTATTTTGGCTACTTACGCGGCTGTATCGGGAAATATGTCCTGTAACATCCCTCTTTCTTTGAGTCTTAACATATTTCTGTTGGAATAATACCTTTGTATGCTTAAAAACCCTCTTAAAACGCATTTTTTGTGCAATTTTAGTAACATTTTTTGAGGTTATAAGAGTGAGGTTATGTTCTTGACAGTAGTTCATTTGAATGCCATGTTGCCGGTTTTAGTAGGCGTAACGCCTACCGTGTTGCAATTTTACGGTTTTTAAGAGATTTTCAAGTTTTTAACTAAAAAACAGTGATAATTGTGTATTTTATTTTATTCTTTCTTTAGATACACCATGATATATTATTGTTCATATAGATACAACTACTATAAAATTAAATTAACTATACATTTTCTAATAATAATTAATAAGGGGGACAAATAATAATACATAAATAATTCTCACTACTAAAATATAGTCTGCGACACAAATATAATTGCTAGTATTTTTATTTTATTGTACTAGAAATTATCTTTGGCAGATAACAGATTTGTTAATAATTTGTACAATTTTTTATTTGTGTGTGAATCACATTATGACCAATTTTAATTATTAATTAATTTCCTAGTGCAACAATTTATATAAAATAATACTTTCAAACATTCCTATTTGAGAATATTGGGTTAAAAAATAAATATATGGCGTTTTAAAAGATACAACATTAATATTAGATATATGTACCGGGTGTGAAATATTAAACAAATTTACAGGTAAGCATTAACAAATATATAAACATTCAACAAAAAATGCACTCTTATTTTATTAATCGTTAATATTATTACAATTTTTTAGAGCGTTAAAGTCGAAAATACAGACGTTACGAAATAAAAATATTGCACTGAAATAAAAGCAAAGTGGCGAATTTTGATTGAGCGCATAAAATCTGTATTTCCAATCGTTATAGCGCGCGCGTATAAAAAACAAAATAAATAAGGTATGTACATACAGGCGGCAACGCCGCTTGCAGCGGCAGTGTTGCCGGCGTGCTACGTGGCTTGGTTGATGATTTTCAGCAGAAACTCGAGAAAGAAATAGAAAAAAATCATAAGGATCGCCGTGAATCAGGAAATCATCGCGCTCACCAACAGGTAGAGCACCATGATCACCAAGGGGGCCACGTAGAAGAAGTGTTTGTTGTACGAGCGGTTGCAGACCACGTTGTATTGTTGCGTCAGGTTGAGCAAGTCGTGCTGCAGCTTCAACTTCTCCTCGGAAGTTAAGGCGAAGCGTTCCTTGAGGAGAACCAACTCTTCCTCCACGTTTACCAGTTGTTGTATCGAGACGACTTTGCACGAGTCGGATTTCTCGGTGTGCGCCTCGTTGTGCTCCTTATCCAGCTCCTGCACCCGCTCCATCTTCTCGTGCAACCTCAAGGTCAGAGCCTCGATTTTGTCCCTTAACTGTTGCCCCTCGTTGCAGCTCTCCTTCAATCTGTGCTTGAACTCCGCCAGCTCTTTCCTCAAACCGTCGTTCTCCTCCGACCGCTTCCGCCCGCCCGCCCGCTCCTCGCTCAACTCCCTGTCCATCTCGGCCATCTTGGCTTTGCTGACGTTGCCCAGGGTCTCGAGGACTTCTATGCGCTTTCTCAGCTCGTTTTGTTGCGATTGGTATTGGTACTTGAGGGTCTTCGAGTCGACGTAGTCCGACTTTTCGCGGTGGTCGCCGATCGCCCTTTCGTCGTCCAAATCGGTGCAGGCGGCCGTGACGACCGTGTCGTTCGACATTTCCGACGTTTGCGAGCGGTTCGCGGTGTCGTCGCCGTCGAAGGAAGACTTGAAATTAAAGTGACACTTTGTAAGAGATTTTCATTTAAAAAATGATAATATTATATTATAACCACAATCCACACAACAAGGTCTGTTCAATCTTCTTAAAATACGAACGAAAATCCGAACTGTTATGCGCACATACGGGTACCGTCATATTTGATTTATTTGCCGCCGTTAATTTTAATTACCCAAAATAGTAATTCTGTCTAACAGGCATGGAAGAAGTAAACAAAATTTTTTTTTAGTTTTAAAGAAACTGGAAATGTTTTTTAACATTATAAGATTTGACAAAAGGATACATTTTTTTATAAATTATTATTTAGGAAATAAAAATAGTTATATTTAGTAAACTGAAATTTGACAAGAGTTTTTTAATCAATGAATTTCAGAAATTAATTAGGTATTACATTTAAATAGTTACATTTAGTTTTAAAGTAAACTGATATTGTGAATATTTGACAAGAGTATTTTAATCAATGAATTTTAGAAATTAATTATTGACATTACCTATGTATTGTTAGGAAGTAAAAATAGTTGTATCTGGTTCTTAATAAAAATAAATGTTTTAGACATATCATTACAAATCCGCATAAAACAGCACAATAATTGCAAACAATGAAAATGGCGACTAACGTATGAATGTATACTAGGTTGCCTAATTTTGTGATTTTTAACATGCGCGAATAAAGATCGAACAGACCTTGTTGTGTGGATTATAACCACATATTTAGAGGTTTCGGGAAGTTTCGCATATAAAAGCGACCGACACGGCACGACACGAGACATCAAAGGTAGGTTTTAAACAGTTTAAGTATCAGGAGATTATGAAGTCGCAGAGGTATTTTGGATAAAGAAATTTTAAGCTAGTTTTGATAGTTTTTAGATGAGTTTTTATAAAAAAAATATAAATTCACTCAATCAATATTTCTAAATAATTACAGTGCTGAAAAAACGTGTATTTTACTCATTTTTCGCGTTTTTTAAATGCGTCGGCTGTTTAATATAAACAGCAAATTTTTTCATATTTTTAAAATTCTAGATAATCGCATTATTTAGGCCATTATATAAGGATGTTGACTTCCAAATAGAATTAAGAAATTTACAGGATAATTAGCCCCTACCTTAATGTTCAAATGCCTGGTAGTTTGGTGTTATTTTCATCTTTGAAGGTTATACAATAGCTTTAAAAGGAGAAAATATTGAAATAATAAAAAGTCGCATTATTTCATCCATTAAGTATGTTGACTTTAATATAGAAATATTAGGTTCATTCCAACCAGCAGTAATTTCCAGTAATATTACTGATACACATGCGCGTTTGTAAAATGTCGTTCCAACCAACTAAAATTACTAGTTTAGAACTGGCAATTACTGTCAGTTCGTCGTTCCAACCAGAGTTACGGACAGTAAAATTACGGTTCAAACGATTCTTGCTCGAAAGCAAGAACTGTTGATAATAAAATTAGACGCATGCGTAGAAGGGGGCATATAACCTCAACTTTTTGTTTATTTATTAACGTTTGTAATATTGTAAGTTTGTTTTCTGTAAAAGTGGACATATTATTTAAAAATGACTGCTATACAAGGAAATTTTATTAATTTTAAATGTTAATACATCTAATTTTTGTCATTTGTGAGCAGGAATGGAAGAATTTATTATCAATGTGTGATGTTATTAAAATATACTTTTATATATATTTATAAACTTAACAAACCTAGGTCATATTTATTTCTAGTAGCAATCTCCTCAATAAAATCTAAATCCTCGTCATCCGAAGAATCATACAAGTAATTATTTAAAAAACCTGCCATATTTATTACTTTATTGAAATAGATATACCTATATGCGCTTTACTTAGCTTTTAGCACAATAAGTACAATTGTGGGTTTTAGGTTATATTCTTTTTCTTCTGATTGTGAGTACTAATAGTTCAAAAAAGGTTCCAACCAGTTTATACGATATTCAAAATAATTTTACTGTTTTCGTTCGCGCAGTCGCATTAACGCTGTTACGGACGATAATATTAGGTACGGTAATATTACTGCTGGTTGGAATGAACCTATTACATTAACAGGATTTAGTCCTTTAGAAATATTGATTGAGTGAATTTATATTTTTTTTATAAAAACTAATATTTTTTAGCTTTAAAATGACATCTTAAAATTTAAAATATCTTTGATAGAAAAAAAAATATCTTTTAGTTGGTTAGTTATTTCCTCTGTGGCATTGGGAATTATTTCATCAATTTTTTGTTTTTAATATTTTTTTATTACCTGCCATTGTTAATTAATATTGTTAAGAGTTTTAATTACAATTTTTTTTGTGCTTAATTTTTTTAAACCCCTTTATCCACTTGCCCCTCCAATTTGTATTTTATAATTTTTAGTGTCTTAAAATGTCTTCTTTAGTTTTTTAAAATTAAATAGTATATCTTGACACCTGTCAAAGTGTTGCTTGATATTTTGTTATTTAATGTGACCAGATTCTGTCAAAAAATAGGGGGACATTTTATGTAAATTAACCTTAATTACAAAAATAATACAATCTACAATAATTAATTAAAGTCAAATTTACAATTTACATTGTATCAGTGTGTCAATTTTGTAATTAAGGTAAATTCATACAAAATGTCTCCCTATTTTTTGACAGAATCTGGTCACTTTAGTCAGGAGGAAAGTGAAAAATTTTAATTTAAAAGTTCATATTTAGAAAACATACATCCTTGAACTTTTCATTTATTCTGAGCTTCAAGTCTCTAGCTGATCAAATTAAAATAAATTCGATTACAAAATTTGTTCAAACTCATTAAAAAACTGTTAAAATAAAAAATATGGCAACTTCTTGTACACTTTTGACAAAAGCTGTCAAACAATTTTCAAAATATTAAATAATTGTTAAAAAAAGAGAAAACTATGCTGTATACAAATTAGGGTGTGCCAAAAAAACTCGATATTTTTTTTTCTTGCTCTCCACCCAAAATATCGTAGAATATGTCCGAACAAATATTCTGTTAAAAGCGGAGCTCATAATTTCAATTTTAAGAGGTCCCTCATCGAATCTGAAGTTTTGCCGCTTAAATAACACAGAAAACTGACTTTTTTACCTTATTTATTCTTGCAACCTAGGAAGATTTTTTTTTTCGTAAAATCCATGACTAATTCTTACAAAGCATTAAATTTGGACAAAAAAATCTTATTAAGCCGAATTTCTTTTTTCATTATTTAATTTTTTACATAGCTTTAAATTTAAAGATAATAATACAAAAATGATGACTTTATACGCCTGTAACTTTTAGAATATTGACGATATAAAAAATTCGTCTAAAACTTTTTTGTGGTCCATCAGACAAGCTAAAAAATTACCATTTGACTTTTTCGTCTAACTTCAATAGTTTAGCTGAAAAAGGCAAAAAACGTAAAATTTTAAATTTAAAGCTCTGTAAAAAATTAAATAATGAAAATAGAAATTCGGCTTAATAAGATTTTTTCGTCCAAGTTTAATGCTTTGTAAGATTTGGTCATGGATTTTATGAAAAAAAAATTTCTTCCTAGGTTGCAAGAATAAATAAGGTAAAAAGGTCAGTTTTCTGTGCTATTTAAGCGGCAAAACTTCAGATTCGATGGAGGACCTCTTAAAATTGAAATTATGAGCTCCGCTTTTAACAGAATATTTGTTCGGACATATTCTACGATATTTTGGGTGGAGAGCAAGAAAAAAACTATTTCGAGTTTTTTTGGCACACCCTAATACAAATTTAAAAAAATATATCTTGAAATATTCATATACATTGCTAATGCACAAGTTTTTTTCATTAATTTTTTAGGATTATTTATTTGTACAAAAAATAAATTAAATGTACTGATGAAGTTAACAAATTTATGATGATAATAATTTTGGATTTTTTAAAACAATCTGTCAACCTCATGCATTATTTGAATATGAACTGTTTCAGCCTAACACCCTGCATAAATTTTGGGCAAAACAAAAAGAAAGGAAATTATAATAATGAAAAATTTAAAGAAAAATATTTAAAATCTATGAAGTCTGTAAAAATAACACATAGTAACGTAAATAATTATTTTGAAAAATTTTAACCTGAAATAATTTAAAAATTAAAAATAAATCACAAAAATTAAGAGTTCTACAAAAAATCCTGTAATTATAAAAAATCTCAAAATTTTAAGATAAAATAAAAAATAGTTGATAAATTTGTAATTTAACTAAAAAACTTTAAAAACTCGAGAAACAAAAACGCATTTATTCACTTACATTTTCGTCCTTGTCTTCGGGCAAATTAAAGTGCACTTGTTTCAGCGGCTCCCTAACCTCACTTTTCTCGTCGTCTTCGTCGCGCATCGTGACGTCACTCGACGAAACGTCCGCACTCGCCCTCTCGTCCTCGGGCCTGTCTTCCTTCTCTCTCTGACTGTCGTCGTCTTCTTTGACCGGCCTCACCTGGAGAGAAAAAAAAAGTTTCGAGACGAGACCTCTTAAGGTCTGCCATGCTTACCGATAGAGTGATATGATTTTGTACGCCGTTCGACTTAATTTCCTCGTTCTTTTCCTCGTTTTCCGCCAATAACAACTCTTCTTTCGTTTTGACGTCGTTGTAGATGATACGGGATTTCTGAAAAATAAAAACAAAATAAAAATATTAAGTATGCACAGTAGACTGGGCCAAAAAAATCAACTATTTTTTTTTGTAAAGTATATCGAAAATATGGTTTGGGGTGACAAAAAAAAATTAATGTGAAAGTTTGAGTCCATAATATTAATATTAATAGGTCTATCATTCCTCAGCAAGTTTTTGTCTTAAGAAAATTAAATGCTCTACAAAAAAGGTTAAAATGAAATTTTCCGACAGATGAACTGTTTCTTTAAAATCATGCCTTAAAAATTGGTATAGTTTTACATTTTGATCTTTTAACTTTGGAATTTTGTAATTGATGTAAAAATCAGTACCCAGAAAAAAACCGATAAATATTCTTATGGGAAATCAAATGCTTTACAAAAAAAGCATTTTAACATTTTTGGCTAAATTCACTCAATGAAAAGTTGGTTAAAGTTGAAGTCAAAACGAAATTCTTATTTTTTCCTCTGTAGATTTATTTTTTTATGGGTGATAATTTGGTTTTTTTTTATAAATATGTATTATACTTATAACTAATTAACAATTTCCAATAAAAAACAACATGATTGTTATTATTTAAACGATTAAATAGGTAACAGTGAAAATAATATTTTCTAAAGAAAATAGCTTCTTAAAGCGAAAAAACTCTAATGTGTTATTTTTTTTAATTTTCAGTAATTTTATCAATAACATAAAGATTATCATCGATAAAAGAATTCAAGTTTTTAACTGACCCAAAAAAAAATCTAGAGCGAAAAAAACAAGAACTTCGTTTTGACTTCAAATTTAACCTTGAATAACTTTTGATGCAGTGAATTTAGCTAAAAATGTTTTTTGTAGAGCATTTGATTTCCCATAAAAATATCTATCGGTTTTTAGTCTGGGTACTGATTTTTACATGAATTACAAAATTTCAAAGTTGAAAGATCAAATTGTAAAACTATACCAATTTTAAGGCATGATTGTAAGAAAACGGTTCATCTGACGGGAAATTCCAATCAAACCTATTTTGTGGAACATTCAATTTTCTTCAAAAAATATTCTTAAGTCAATTTTGTTAAACTCAATGGTTTGGGAGTTTTTGAGACAAAAACTCGCTCAGGAAAAAAACACTAAAATTGCGATGATATTAATATTATGGACTCAAACTTTCACCATAATTTTTTTTGTCACCCCAAACAATATTTTCGATATACTTTTTACTTCCAACACTGAAAAATGGAAATTTGGTGTCTAAGAACCAATTTTTCAGTGTCGGAAGTAACAAAAAATATTCGATTTTTCTAGTTAAATCACCCTAATGTAGAAACAATAAAACTTACATCAAGATCATCCCCATCTTGAAAATACGTATTCATCTGCAACAACTTGTAATATTTAACAGTTTCCTCTTCAAACTTAACCTCCAACTCTTGCAATTTCTCCTCCAAAAGCCTCCTCTCCTCGCTGGCAGCCTTTTGTTCTTCGGTTAACTTTTGTGCGACCTCCTGAAAAACCGAAAATCGCAAACAATGTTTCACCTTCTCCAAATCGAATCGCTCACCTCTAATTCCGTCCTGCGCCTGCGCGAGCTGCTCCTTGGCCAACAGAGCCTCCTGCTCCGCGGTTATCCGCGCCCTCTCCTGCTCCGTCGCCATGGAAACCGCCTCTAAACGCTCGGCGTGCAGCTTTTCCAAGGCCTCTTTGGCAGCTATTTGATATGCTTCGTTATGTTCCTAGAGAGAGAGAGAAAATGCACCCACGTGAAGTTCGAGACGTGTTGTCATGTTTAAATTAAAATTTTGCTTAATAAAATGACGCATAGAAAAAGAAATTGACGTTTTAGAATTTCGAATCTGTCAGTTGTGTTTTTGAATATTTCGTTTTATTCGGGTATAATTTCGTTTATTTTGTTTGTGTTATTTAATATTGTTTTTTTGTTTTTCCTATTTTTAAAATGCCGAAGCATTTAAATAGTCGGAGTCAAGAGTTGGTATCACCCTTAATACGCTATTTTGAGGCAAACTGGATAATAATGGACCTTTGTTACCTTTAACAGCTGTTAGAGAGGTAAATAGGATTAATATTAATTATATATTAGAATATTTAACAAAATATATGTTGGATACATAAAATAAGAATATACAGGGTGTCTCAAAAGTCAAGGACAGCAGAAAAGGGGTAAATAGAGAATGGGATTCTAAGTCGAATGGAATTTGCCGTTTTTCGATCAGACGCACCATTAATTAGTTATTAATAAAATAAAGTAGCCAATCACAGGCGTGTTTTAGCAGACTGATTAGAGGTGGGAGGACTATAATGTGCAGCGTAATCTTAGAAATTCTGTATAAAATCGTTGTGTATAATTACCTTAATTATATGGTTGACATTGTCACTGTCACTGTCAGTGTTTTAGATTTTAGGTTAGTTTTACCCAGAGAACCAAGGTTTTACTTTACTTTTACTCATTAACATGAATGTTTTTTATTGTTATGTTATATGTTAGCTACTTTAAATTTGTCGCTGACGAGGACGTCGTAGGCAGGTTGAATTTAATTGTTAAAGCAGCCTTCCATAGAAATAATACTAGTATTATTTCTATGCAGCCTTCAGATGAAGTATGTTCTAGAATAACGCGCACTGGACGTGCAGTTGTTGGGGTATCTAAAACAAAAATCGTGCACTGTAATACATCTGAATTTTAGTACTTCAGATGCTGGATGAACTTGATGCTAAGCAAGAAGGTAAAATATGATTGTTCACTGAATTTCAAAAGTAGAATTTCAAACGCACTCTGATATGTGGCAATTCATAATAGAAAACAAAGTAAGTAAGAGATGATGATGATTAGCAGAAAACCCAAGACTGTAGGAAAAAAAAAATTCTTTTATTTCCGTGATTTTTTTCAATTAATTTTTGTATACATATTTTACTTTTATTTATATCGATTATTTCTTAAATAAACTTTTTTTTCAAATAATTTTTGTGTTTAAATATTTTACTTTTATTTATATCGATTATTTCTAAAATAAATTTTTTTATAAATATTTTTTATTAAGACGTGTACTAAATTTTCTTGTATTTTTAGCATTTAAATAATAATGACTAATATTTCTTCAATATTTAGTTCATTTAGCAAAAATATTCATTCAATATTTTCAATATATTTTTGTGTTATGTGGGTATGGCTCTCTGGGTAACTAAAGGCATTCTTTTTTTTTAGGGAAACTTGGTGGCCCTAAGAAGGGCCGTTTTTTAAATAGTCTTCGGTCCTTTATCTCATGAGATGCTCAAAGGTTCCTCCATTTCTCTGCAAGCACATTTCACAACGTTTAATGATATTCGTTCTGACGTTCTCCAGCATTTCTGGTGTTATGTCTGCTTGCGATAATCGAATCCGCTCCAGAGTGTCAAGCTGATCCTCGGGCACGGTTTTGTAACGACGTCCTTCATGTATCCCCACAAGAAAAAATCCAGAGGTGTTAAGTCCGGTGATCTTGGGTGCCAACGAAACGGGCCGTTTCTCCCAAACCAGCGTCGTGGGTACTCAGCATTTAGGTGATCCCGGACACGACCGAAGTAATGAGCCGGTGCACCATCATGCTGGAAGTACTGAGGACGCTCTCCAACTTCTTCGAGCAACCCTGGAAGAACCTCTTGCAAAAATGCCAAGTACGAGTTTCCCTAATAAATAATCAAAAAAATTGTATGATCAACTCATGAAAATATAAATTGATCATTTTTTTAACTTACGTTTAGCGTTTCTGGTAATTGATATAAAATAACGGTATCTCCGATAATACCGCCCCACATATTAATTTTCCACCTGTGCTCGAAACTTTGCACCCTTTCAAAATGTGGGTTTTCAATCGCATACTGATGCACATTATGGGGATTAAAACACCCCTCACGAGTGAAGGGTGATTCGTCAGTCCACAATACATGCCTCAGAAAGTTAGGGTCTTCACGGTGCATATTGAGAATTTGATTGCAAAACTGTCTTCTCATCTCATAATCTCCAAGTTCCAGATGTTGTACCTTGGTAGCGTGGTAAGGATGTAGTGCGTTTGTCCTTAGTTATGCGGTTAACTGTGCTGCGGGAGATCTCCAATCCACGTTCAAGTTGGCGAGTGCTAGTTCCAGGATCAGCTGCAATGGCCTCAAGAACGCGTTCTTCATTATGAAGGCTGCGAGCTGTTCGTGGTCGGCCAACGCGTTCAGCAGAACCCGGTAAAACGTTGCCATTCATATTAAAATCCTGAACCGCTCGGAGAATTGAAGCATGATTTGGAAACCGAACACGCACACCTTCAAATTGTATTCGATACTGGCGTGCAGCTTCCGCAGCATTGTGAGCATATTCGTAATAAATACGGACCATGTCTGCACGTTCGGCAACAGTATAAGCGCGAGGCATTTCAAAAAGTTGTTAAAGTTTTTTTAACAAAAATGACATTACAATGTATGTCATATTCATCAGGGATAAAAATATCTCTAATTAAATAATAATGTAAAAATTAATTATTAATAAAGTAATTATTTTTACTTAATAAAAAGTAATAGTAAAGTAAAGTATATCACCATCAACCTTGTATTTACTTATTTAATAATTCGCAAGTTAAAAAAAAATAACAAAAAGATAGGTAGGTACCTATTTGTCCCACACAAAAAAATAAACATTTCTACTGAACCTAAAAAACCAAAACACTGACAGTGACAGTAAATAAATTAATTTAAGGTCATTTCACATATGACATGTTCATAGCTATGGAATTTTTACAAAAGTTTGTGTTGTCCCACCTCTAATCAGTCTGCTAAAACACGCCTGTGATTGGCTACTTTATTTTATTAATAACTAATTAATGGTGCGTCTGATCGAAAAACGGCAAATTCCATTCGACTTAGAATCCCATTCTCTATTTACCCCTTTTCTGCTGTCCTTGACTTTTGAGACACCCTGTATATACCAGAGACTGACTTTAGATGGCAACATTTCTGGGTTTTATAGATGAAAATATTTTAAAAATGGCTAAAAACATACTTTAGGCGGTTATAAATATAAGGTATAAATTATAAAAACTCAGACTTTTAACATTTTGGTATTCCAAGGTCCCAAATCTAGGGACCCTATGGTATTATTCATGTAAACGCCATCTATTGCCCTGTAGTTGCACTACCACTTTCACTTGATGCAATGATTTTAGCATTTTAGGACATTTTGTATACAGGGTTAGGATTTTAAAGTGTCGTAAAAATTGGGGGAAAATGTTTTTTTACATTTTTCCCAGGCCTTGGAAAAATTGAATTTTTGGGAAAAATTGATTTTTTTTGGAAAATATATACATTTGAAAAAAGTAGCAATCAATAACTTAAATTTATTTTAATTTAAAACTAAACATTGAATTAAATTAAATTGATTTAAGAAAATAAACGTAAACGATAAAAATAAATAAAAAGGAGTCCATGGAAATTATACAATTACAAAATATCGATTGATTTATGAAGTTAAATTACAAAATTCTAATTTTCTAAATCGAACTGTTAAATAAAACGAAAGTTATGTTAATACAGCACCGTATGTTTTTTTTCAACACGGTAGAATATTCTTACTGAATTAAAATAAAACGAATAATTATTATATATAATATTCATATCATAATATTATTTTCTCGATAACAGTGTTCGGATAGTATCCGTAAAAATTTGGTAATTTTAATATTTTTGACTGAAAAAAAGTCAATTTTTCTGAAAATTTCGCTGTCTAAAATGGCGTTTATGAAACATAATATACTATAATAATTAATTTGTAAATGATCGTACCTAAATAATAATTTTAAAAAAATATATTTTTGTAGAAATTTGATACAAGTGTGAATTGACCTTAATTGTATAGTATTCACTGTCAGTCATTTTAATTTTAATTTTCTGCTAAAGCAAGCCTGTCATTGGCAACTTTTCTTAATTAATAACTAATTAAAGGTGAGTCAGATCGAAAACTACTATACGCCCTAGAAATAGTTTACCCTTTTTTTAACACCCTGTATATTATTTGTATTAAGTATGTCTCATTTTATAAAAGTTATAAAGTTATGTAACATTATTTGTTTATCATGCAGTAATTATGTAGTGACTAAGGTTTTTTCTTGTGTAGGTAAATAACTACTCATCATACCATTTGTTGTGTAGACTTCAAAGAATCAACATGTTTAGTTTTATTAAATTAATTGGAATTATATCAAGGTAGTATTCATTTAACCACTAATTAGGTTTTGTAATTCTTGGAAAGTTTAATTTTAGTGTTTAAAAAAAATATTTTAAAATTTTTTTCTTATGATTCTTTAATTTTGTCCCCATTATGTTTTCCATTTTGCCATGCATCATATCAACTTTAATTTTTTCACCATCCTAATTTTGTATGGCCATAAGTATTTTACTTACATTAATAGTACATTAGAGATTAGGCATAGAAAGTACACATTATCGTCGAGAATACATTACACTGCCAAGGCAATTAAGATATTTTGATTTTGAAGAACTTTAAAGTTTAAACCCTTTTAAATTATTTAGTTTTATTGTTATTTATTCCAGAAACTAGTTAAGTATAGGTTTTCTCTTATTTTTGTGCTAGTAATTTCATTCTATTTTTTTTCTTCAAATTTTAATAAATCACCGTGTTTTTAAGTATAAAATTCTTGGAAAATTTTAAAAATTTGCAATTCTTAAAAACCTCATCATTTTAGAAATTTTGAAATATTTTGGAAAAAATAAAAAATTATGGAAAATTCGTAAATTTAAAAAAAAAATGAAACTTGAAATCTTTTAAAATATATGCCACTGTGAGTTTGTCCTACAATTTTTGTGTTAGTAATTTTATTCAATTTTTTTTTCAAATTTTAATAATAATATGGGTAGATTTTGTATAAATTTTTTTGAAACATATTACAAATCTTGAAAATTTAGAAGATTTTGTAAAATTTTGAAATTTTGTTTTTAGAAATTCCGAAAAATTTGTAAATTTTAGAAATTCGTAAATTTAAAAAAAAAATTGAAACTTGAAATGTTTTAAAATCATTTTTTTTAATTTATGCCACTGTGTGAATTTGTCCTACAAATTTTGAAATGTATCCTACTGTGCGATTTTTTCCTACCATGGATTTTGGACTTAATACTCTCCCCACACTTAAAAACGCAGTTTTTCAGAATACCCTTGAAATATTGTACTGAGAACTAATTTATTATATTTTAACTGCACATAACCCTTTAACTGTACAAAAAAAAGAAAAGATAATAACATTTTGTTAAGATAGCAATTTTACCATTATTTTAAACTTGAACTTTGAGGCTTAATATCTTGATTAATAATGAAGATAAGTAACTCAAATATACGTCAACTTAAAGCCAATTTTATAGGCAGCAAAACCATATTAAAAAATGTTTAATAAATTTGTTAATTTAATGGTCACAATCGATTTTTTACTGACCTGCACTTTACTCAGCTCCTCTCTTATCCTGTCCTCTCCAAAGTTCTTGCTGGCCTGGTGCAACTGGCTCTCCAAAACCGACACGCGGCTCAGCAGCCGCTCTTCGCCGACGTAGGCCTGCCAACTTTCGTCGGCAGATCGGCGCGTCGAGTCGACGATCCGCTGAAGGGCGGCCAGTTTCGTTTCGAGACACTGTTCGCGCTGCTTAGCCTCCTGAATCACCTGATTCAGCTTGTAGAGGTCGTCCAGCGGCACCATGCCTAGCGAAAACGACCACATTCCTCAAAAATCGATCCCAAAGTGCCAAAATCACGTTTTAAACGTCAAAAACCCCACACGGCAACGTTGCATTGCATTTAGTAAAACTTTTATCATAAAAGAACAAAGTAGGCTGTAGCAGTTGGTAACACTGCCAAATAAACGTCAAATTTTTCAAGTTGACACATTTGAAAAATGTTAATGTAAAACTATACATTTCATTAGAATCAAATTGTAACACTAATAAAATCATAATTATAATAAAATTAGCAAAAATATAGACTTAAAAACTTTAATTTTATCAAAATATCAAAGTAGGCTGTGACAGTTGGTGACAATGTTTAATAAACGTCGAAATTAAATTTTTAAGGTTATGTTTGTCTGACAAGTTGTCAGACATTTTTAGGCGATTTTACCGCAATAAAAACCCAATTTGCGAAGAACTTTTGTATTGCATTTAATAAAACTTTTATCATAAAAGAACAAAGTAGGCTGTAACAGTTGGTAACACTGCCAAATAAACGTCAAATTTTTCAATTTGACACATTTCTTTAAGAAAAATGTTAATGTTAAACTATACAATTCATTAGAATCAAATTGTGACACTAATAAAATCATAATTATAATAAAATTAGCATAAATATAGACTTAAAAACTTTATTTTTATCAAAATATCCAAGTAGGCTATGTTGGTGACAATGTTTAATAAACGTCGAAATTAAATTTTTAAGGTTATGTTTGTCTGACAACCTAATTTTTAGGCGATTTTACCGCAATAAAAACCCAATTTGCGAAGAATTTTGTATTGCATTTAATAAAACTTTTATCATAAAAGAACAAAGTAGGCTGTAACAGTTGGTAACACTGCTAAATAAACGTCAAATTTTTCAATTTGACATATTTCTTTAAGAAAAATGTTAATGTAAAACTATGATTTCATTAGAATCAAATTGTAACACTAATAAAATCATAATTATAATAAAATTAGCAAAAATACAGACTAAAAACTTTAATTTTATCAAAATATCAAAGTAGGCTGTGACAGTTGGTGACAATGTTTAATAAAGCTTGAAATTAAATTTTTAAGGTTAGGTTTGTTTGACAACCTAATTTTACCGCAATAAAAACCCAATTTGCGAAAAACTTTTGTACTTACCATGTCTGTCAGCTTCGGTAATTGTAGGACTAGCTTTGGCTTCTTTGCCATCTGGTAAATATAGTTTAAGGGTGGCAACAATGCATCCATGGGTGACTTTGCGGTTATTTTCCACGACGTCCACCCCAAATTGTACAATGTCACCTGAACTGACTTCATGGTGCTCTGTATCGGCTGACAGCCGTATATTGTTTACAAATGTTCCATTACTGCTTTGTGTATCCTAGAACATAATTAGAATGAATTTAATGGTGTTTGAATGGTATTTTTATAGTTACTTGTAGGTAAAACTTTCCCTCCTCATACCACAATAATGCATGATGTCTCGATAAAACTTTACAATCGAAAATAGCATTTGTTGAGGTGGCCTTGGCTCTGGCGACTGATCTGCCGATTTTAATGGGCTGTTCTAAGGTTAGGGTTCTCTCGTTGAAGTGGTGCGAGTTTTGACGACAAATTAACACTGCCTTGGCTGCCATACTTTGCTCCCCCGTTATAACCATATCATTAACCGTAGGGGTTGGGTAAACTGCCACATTTTTAACCCAACTCCCACTTACAACAACCATTGCCTTAAACAATTAACACCAATTGGCATCAATAAAAACACGACTAACTCCATTAATGCAGTTAACGTCTTAATTTGTTGTTTAATTAACAAAACATAATTTAAAAACGCTGAAAATGCACAATAAATCTGCTTACCTAAACAGTTGAATGTTATTTTTCATTTATTTTCAATACACGAAGCGAAATGTCAAATCAAACGTCTGTAGTGGGCGTGAATTTAGTCGTAAAATACACGGAAATCGGTCACAAATTGCCAAAATAAAACATCTTTATATAATTCATTATCCTATAAAAATCGATTAAACATACAATATAAAACGATTTTACATTATTTAACGATTAACACGCACGCCAGAATCGCGAAAACTACTCAAAATCGACGTATTTTTTCATAATTTGACATTTTCAACACAAAGAAAAGTGAAAGAAACGCAGGGAAATCGCCGTTTTAACGTTGGTGGACCTGATGAATGGCTAACTTCACTCCAATTCCAAACGTTGCCAAGTTAATATTTTTTAGTGTATGTTTTTTAAATTTTATTGAGAAAAATGCAATAAAATTAAGCAAAATGGTTACGAAACAATAAAATAATAGTATTTTTAATAACTCCACATCAAAATATTTTGTTAAGCAACAAAAATGTATACTTAAAATAAAGTTTGTCAACTATGTCAACAATTTAACGTTGAATTTGAGGTTAAGTTAATGTAAACAACAATTTCACGTATTTCATAACAAAATGGGCAAAAATAAAGAAAAAGACGACTCTGAAGAGAAAAAACCAATTATTATTCGCAATTCAACGGATTTGCAACGCCTTAAACTCGAAAAATTAATGAAAAACCCTGTAAGTACACTTTAACAACAAATTTCTTAAAAATTAGTTTTTTCTGTTTCTAGGATAAACCAGTTATGATTCCGGAAAAACCGAAGGAAAGAGGAAGTCCAAATGTGCCTGATTTTGTTAGAAATGTTATGGGTTCAAGTGCTGGGGCTGGCTCAGGAGAATTTCACGTTTACAGGCATCTACGACGAAAAGAGTATGCTAGACAGAAATATATGCAAGCTAAAGGGGAAAGAGTATATAAAAAAAATATTTTAATGTACATTTATTACAATATAAATTGTAGGAAAAGTTAGATGATGAATATAAAAATAAATTGGAAGAAAATAAGAAATTAGCTCAGGAAAAAACAGCCAAAAAAAGAGCAAAAAGACAGAAGAAAAAACAAATGCTAAAGAAAAAGGGGAAAATGGCTAAAACAGACAAAAAAGATTCAAGTGAATCGTCCAGTGAATCTTCAGATGGTGAAAATAGTGAAAAAGAGGAGGTAAGTGAAAGTAAGGAAGAAAAAGATGAAAAACCTCTGGAAAATATCGAAAAACAACCAGAATGTGAAGAAAAACCCACAGAAGAGCCTTTAAATACAGAAAACAGTCAAAATATAAGTACTTCAGAAGAAAAAATCACAAATTAATGTATTGTTTTAGTGTATTAAAGTATTTCTAACTTATTTGTAATTGCTTTTTTACTTAAAACCTCAATTTCCATTTGAAAATCACTTAAAACTATTAAAAATCGCTAAAACCTAAAAATTTAAAAAATCTAGTAACTTATCGATCTAACTCCCGTTTGGTTGGCAACGCGGAATTAGTCAGTTGGATTCTTTACGCATAGCGGATCGTTAGTGAAAAAGTGTCGCCGTTTTGCTTCGTAGTTTTTCGCTAAATCGTACGTGGTAAAATCTTGTTTTTGTGAAAGTCGTGTTTTCGAAACCTACGTTTTTAAATTGTAAGTAAAGTCCGTTTAAATTAAAGCGAATTTAACGTGGAATTTTAGTGTTTTTGTCTCCTATATGTGGCACAGATTGTCATAGAGCATTGCAAAATGGCCGAAATATTGATTTTATCGTAGAATTTAGCTTAAATACGTAAAATCCACGTTAAATTTAACGTATTTAGCTCCTAAAATACCCATAAATACATATATTACTGTAACATTCCCAAAACTTACTGTTTAATAGCTTTTTACAGCCCTTTTCACAGGGACATATCCCTTTTGTAAATATTTTAAACTTCAATGTAAAATTCGTGTAAATTTACTCAAAATCTACTGTAATTCCGCAAAATTCTATGACGTCTGTTAAATTATACTTTGAACTGACATCTGTCATTGAAATTTTAATAATGATGACTAAATTTGAAACGCTTTGCATAAATAAATAAAATCTTGCAAATTAAGTTTTTATTTACCATTGTATTAGATAAAAAGTTGTTTAATTCTGTTTGGCAATGATTCTTTCGAAGTGCATATTTTTTGGCAACTGGCCAGACTTTCAAGAGGCAAAAAATTACAAAACGATGTCGAAAATTGATAAACTTGTTAAATGACGTTTATTTTAGCTTTCAGGTTATTCGTTTTGTCGCATAACTGTCAAGTTTTGGTATTTTTAGAAGAATTTGTGTCTATTTTTCTTATTTTAGGCGTTTGAGAAAATGCCAGGCATTCTAAATTTTTTTGTTGCTTATTTGAGCTGAATTCGTTATTCAGGTGCTAATATTTAAATTTTTATCTCACAGTACCTACAGCCTTATCTTATAGGATTTTATTAGCCTTATGTAATAATGTTGTGTTTTTTATAGGTAATGCAATAGAAAAATAAATAGAGGAAGCTTCGGAAATTATATCATGAAAATGGTTCTATCTCAACGCCAGCGAGAAGAGCTGTAAGTACCTATATATAGATAATTAATATTCTAAAAAGGACCGCATGTTTTTAGATTGTGAATACACTATATCTGCCATGATATAAACATGTGTTAACATTTTAATTTCAAGTGTATTAAATGATAAATTTTAACAATTTCGCGGTGTTTTGATAAAGATAAAGTAATTATCATGTCTAATTTTTATTTAGCACGTTTTTTTACATTGAGAATAATAAGTAATCTTTTACAATGCAATAGTTTTGTACCTACTTGTGGGGTTTCAGATTTAATTTCTGTAATATTTAGGGGGTTTCTTTTAAAGGTAGTCTTTGTGGTTAAGACGTTTTAAAAAGGCTTCTTTAATTTATTAAGAAATTATAATAATTGCATTTAGAACAGAAAAATAATAAACTGTTTATTTTATTTTCCCTATTGGTGGGTTATTCCAAAGACGCAATTTCAACAGTCACGGTCTGGGGCGGGATAGGAGGGGTATTAAGGGTGGCGGCTAAATCGATAGAAACCGCCCCCGCTGCAACGTCACGTTAGATAGAGATTATAAACCGAAATATTTGAATTTCGGGTCAATACGTTTCTTATTAATAGAATAAATAAAAGCTTTGACCTTATGTAGAGAGGTTAGTTAATATTTGTTGGTACAACAAATGTTGATAATATCTGGAAACATTTAATAGGGTACCTATGTTGATTTTTAAAACTGCTTTTTAAAGGCATACATATACAGGGTGCATCAAGTATTCTTTTATGAGTAATATTATTTGAAGATCTACAAGGTCGGTTAAATAAGAAAAAAGTTGCGTAATTACAAGCCTACTAAAATGAAATTTAAAACTTTAAAAACTTAAAATTTAAACAAAAAAGCAGGGTGTATATTAGGGTTAGCCAAAAAAACTAACCTATCGGATTTATGGGTTAAAATAAACCTACATACCGAGCAAAAAATTTCCCTGCAAGGCAAAATTTTTTGCTCAATTTTAAAAGGTGTCGGTGAGCATTCTAAGTTTTACATTGAAATAACACGTAAAAAAATCTTTTTTCATTAAAAAGACTATAACTTTTGAACCGTTTGAGATAAAATTTTTTACGTCGCGGATTCTTGTAGAGCATAAAATTTCCCAAAGAATCTTTACCAGGATTATTTTTTATAATTCAAAAATTCGTATGTTTGAAAGCTTTGAAAAGAGTAAAAAATCATTAAAACTGCAGTTGCAATAGTGAATTTTCAGTAGAGGTAGTAAGAAAAATAGTATACACTACACGGGCAGAAAGTGTGAGAGCCCTGCACTGCGCGCCATGATGCCCTTGTAGTGTAATATACTATTTTTTCATGAAATCCGTGACTAATTCTTACAAAGCATTAAATTTGGACAAAAAAAATGTTATTAAGCCGAATTTCTATTTTCATTATTTGATTTTTTACAGAGCTTTAATTTAAAATGTTACGTTTTTTGCCTTTTCAGCTAAACCATTGAAGTTAGACGAAAAAGTCAAATGGCAATTTTTTAGCTCGTCTGATGGACCACAAAAAAGTTTTAGGCGAATTTTTGTATCGTCAATATTCTAAAAGTTACAGGCGTATAAAGTCATCATTTTTGTATTATTAACTTTTTGTTAGTGAAATATTAATGTTAGCATATACCTAATAATTACAGATTCAGAATTTTTTGTACGATAATAGTTAGTAAGATATTATTATTAGTATTTTAAGCGATAATTCACTAAACAATGGAATAAGACATGAAATTCTTATAAAATTTTGTATCTTTTGTCAATTGTTTACATCGAAATAAGCTTAAATAAGTCTCTAAATTTTAATGGTTGACAGTACATCAAATTTTACTAGGACAATTTTTCCGAAAATTAATTTTTTTGTATAATTCTCTATTGACTTTTTGTGCTAACATTAATATTTCACTTACAAAAAGTTAATAATACAAAAATGATGACTATACGCCTGTAACTTTTAGAATATTGACGATACAAAAAGTTCGCCTACTTCTAACTTTAATAGTTTAGCTGAAAAAGGCAAAAAACGTAACATTTTAAATTTAAAGCTCTGTAAAAAATCAAATAATGAAAATAGAAATTCGGCTTAATAAGATTTTTTCGTCCAAATTTAATGCTTTGTAAGATTCAGTCCTGGATTTCATGAAAAAAAATTCTTCCTAGGTTGCAAGAATAAATAAGGTAAAAAAGTCAGTTTTCTGTGCTATTTAAGCGGCAAAACTTCAGAATCGATAAAGGACCTCTTAAAATTGAACGCACTCTGATATGTGTGAGCTCCGCTTTTAACAGGATATTTGTTCGGACATATTCTACGATATTTTGGGTGGAGAGCAAGAAAACAAAAATATCGAGTTTTTTTGGCACACCCTAGTGTATATGTATATTAAAGAATAATAATAGCACTCCAAATTTAGAGTTGATTATAAATATTTGATAAACAAGGAATTCAAGGGCATTAAAATCAATGCCTCTTGATAATTTTACACAATAACTTTTATATGTGTATTTTTATATAAATAACTGACCCTTGACATACTGATACACCTTGTATATCAATTAATATTTATAACCAAATGCATTTATTTTATGTTGTTGCAACATTCCATTCTACCGCCCGCGCAAATATAACGAAGTTACAGTTTAATAAAAGGCGCAAAAAGTCCATGATATAATAGAAAGTAAATCCGATACAATTCTATGGAAGATTTTAGCGTTGAATGTGACCCGCTGGCTTGGGAAGACAAAGTACCGTTCAAATAAATGAATTCTTCGCTATTTATTCTCAGGCTAGCCTTACACAGCATAATTGCGTTTTGAACAATTTTACGATGAAAAATACGTGTCTGAAAATTTATTCAAATTACATGCAGGAATTTCAACAACATATTGGTTTTAATTTTGTTTTTAACAGTTTTTGGCCATGAAGACTAAAGTCTCTAGTCTTCTTGTTTTTGGCTAAAAAGTTGTCTGTTTTTAAATTTAAAAAATGCCTAATAACTTTTGACGTTTTTTATTAATCATAGAGGGCCATGGAAATGAAATGAAATGTGGCAATGTTTTTTCTTCACACCCCTCTAATCTTCATTTATTGTGAGATTTTAACCGGATTTGTTTTAAGTGTAGATCTTGAAAAACACCATATTTTTACAAAAAACAAGGCCTACTAGTTCAGTTTTTACGAGTTACTTTTTAAGGAATTCATATTAGCGATTAAAAAAATCTATGCACGGCACTGTTTTTACCACCCCTCAAAACGAGGAAAAAACTAAATTTAGTTGAAACTTTTAAGTAGGAACGATTTTGTAGCTAAATTAAAGTTATCTATGAAAAAAAAGCATTGAAATAAAAAAAAGCTCCAAAAATACAGTTTATCAAGATCTACACTTTAAAACAAATCCGGTTGAAATCTCACAATAACTAAGGATTTTACAGGGGTGAGTCGCAAACAAATGGGTCACCCTGTAGATGCGGATTGCGAATATTGTTTCCATTGGTTAATTTTATTTGGCGGGAAAAGCTTCTCTGCATTATGGAAATTTACTTATTTTAATTTTATAATTTATCCATATCACTAAAATACAAATTAACACCACTTTACATATAAAAACAAATATAAAATGTTATCCACGTCATAAGCATGGCAAATATCGCCTAGTTAGGAAATAATTTCCAAACCGTAATTCGCAACTACTTATTTTTTGTTAAAAAGACGTTTTTAATAAACAAAAAATACAATTTGTTTTTTTTTATTCGTAATTTAACGTCAAAAATTTGGGTGTGTAGTTGTCAAATTCTAGGGACCCTGAATTTATAATTGGCTACATTGAGTAGAACAAAATAATTTAGTGGATTTATGCAGCACAAATTAATTATTATTTCTACTCCCACCTTTAAAACGCCCAGTATCGCGCTTTAGTCACGGGCTGAAGTTAGCAACAGGTTTTTAGTCACGGGCTGATGTTAGTTTTAAGTTAGTTGACAGTTGTCAAATGTCATACAATCGTTAAAATAAAGTGCCTTTCTTGTAAAAATGTGAAAATTATTTTATTATCTCAATACAAAAGTATTAAATAGTTTCTTGACGCCAATATTTGAAAAGATTATATCGATGACTTCCTGCCAAAGTATCGCAAGCAACATAACTCAAATTTCTGGAATAAAAAAATTTTTTTGTCTTAAAGTCTGTTTTAAATTAAATATAGCCTAAAGGTTTTATAACAAGTATATAGCTTATAATTATAGCTATTTACTTGTTATAAAACCTATAGGTTATATATGGTTTAAAACAGACTTTAAAATAAAAAATGTTTTCATGTTGCTTGCGATACTTTGGCAAAAAGTCATAGATATAAACGTTTGTACTGACCTTTTGATTTCGCCGTAGTAGATTTAACTGATAAAGCTTTAAACATTTTGCGTACGGTGCCCATAAAACATTCTGTTCTCTTTTATCCACAATCCACACAACAAGGTCTGTTCTATCTCGTACTAAAAATACAAAAAATTACTGCAACACTGCACAGTTTAACGGCGGCCATTTTTGTTGTTTACAATTTTTGTGCTTTGGGTTTGTGCTCTGTTTATACAGATTAATAATCGTTTATAAACGTTGTGTTTCCCATAGTAAGCTTTAAAAGAGTCCTTAAAGTGCTAAAAACAACCATTTTACTCCTCTATTGTAAAAAATGAACTTTATTCTATCAGGGATGTCATAAAACTGTCAAATGTCAATTTTAAGGTTAAATTATAACCCACAAATTAACGTTAAAATTGAAATTTGACAGTTTGATGACAGCCCTTATAGAATAAGGTATATTTATTATAAAAGAGGAGTAAAATGGTTGTCCTTAGCACTTAAAGGCCTTATTTGAGGCTTACAAGTGCCTTTGTAAGAAACACAACGTTTAAAACAATTATTAAACAGCACAAACCCAAAGCACAAGAATTGTAAACAACAAAAATGGCCGCAGTTAAAGTCTGTGCAGTGTTGCAGTGATTTTTAGTATTTTTAGCATGAGATAGAACAGACCTTGTTGTGTGGATTGTGCTATTATCAAAATGCAGGTTTGTTTATAAAATTTATTTTCTTTTAAAATTTTCTGTTATCTTTGTCCAAATAAAATTAAGGCATTTTAAATATTAAAAATACCAAACTATATTTTTTTATCTAAAATTGATATATAGTACCAACATAATCAAATTCCGAATACAAAAAACGATGTGTTTCCTCCATTTTATATAAATTAAAATGTTTCTTTTTCTTCCAGTAATAAAGCCATCGCTGACTACCTGAACAGCAGCGGTTACACCGATGCGTTGGAGGCGTTCAAAAAGGAGGCTGACATGCCGGGCGAGGTCGAACGGAAGTTCGGCGGTCTGCTCGAGAAGAAGTGGACGTCGGTGATACGTCTGCAGAAGAAGGTGATGGAGCTCGAGTCGAAGCTCAACGAGACCGAGAAGGAGTACATAGAGGGCGCCCCCACGCGCGGCAAGCGCAGCCCCGCCGAGTGGATACCGAGGCCACCCGAAAAATTCTGCCTGACAGGTAAAAAAATCTGTTTTTGTAGTTTTTACAGTCAAGCGACTTAAATCTATAAATGATTTTGATTGTTACATTATTAAAATGTAAAATGACAGATATACAGAAATACAAGGCCTTCTATAGTAGGCCTTGTATTTCTGTATATCTGTCATTTTACATTTTACATATGTCAGTTTTGTAAAGTAAATTTTTGAGAATCCATTAATTAAAAAAATCTATGCACATCACTGGATTCACCACATCTCATAACAACCCTATACTAAATTTTATTGAACATTTTTAAGTGGGAACGATTTTGTAACTAAATTAAAAATGCACAATAAATACTATTTACAAAAATTTATTCAGTCAAGTTATCCATGAAAAAAACCTTGAAACAAAATTAAACCAATAGTAACATGGTATAAATATTCTTATGCTTAGTTTTAACAAATAAAAAACGCAATGAAAACTTAAAACAACAATGAAACAAAAAATAGAGATTCCAAAAATTCTCAGTTAGATTTTCTTCGCCTCTACTAATCCACCATTTTTTTCAATCTTCGATAAATTTCCGATATATATCAAAATTTGGATATTCTGTTTTTTTATTATAACTATTTTCGGCTTAGAGAATTAAAGGTAAATGTTTAAAATTGAAAATTAATTAATTTAATATAATTTTAAAATTTTATAAACAAATAAATTTGTATTTCAATTCTATTCTATTCAATGAAAGTTGCTATCACAATAACAAGTTATTTTAGTCTACACTGCGCGTCAAAATTAACGCAAAAGGGTAAAAAAATCTAACTCTAGAACGCCTTTACCAATCTTTATGAAATTTTGTATAAGAATACTTCAACATCTTAGTTTACGTGTTCCAGGGTTTTTCGAGAAAATATTTTTAAAGCCCTTTTATTTCATATTAAAACAACGTTCGAAAAATAACTTTTTGGGATTTTTTTAACTAAATAAAAAATATGCTATTAAAGACCGTATTTTTGTTAGTATACCCTGAAAATTTTGTACAAATCAAACGAACAGTAACGAAGATACAGCGCTTCAAAGTCGGTAATTATTTTGCTGAAAAGTGGTTATTTTTGACGACTTTGAAGCGCTTTATTTTCATTACTGTTCGTTTGATTAGTACAACATTTTCAGGGTATACTTACAAAAATACGATATTTCACAGCATATTTTTTATTTACTTAAAAAAAATTCCCTATAAAAGTTTTTTTTCGAGCGTTTTTTATTATTAAATAAAAGGGTTTTAAGGATATTTTTTCGAAAAACCCTTGAACACGTAAACTGAGATATAAGTATTTTTATACAAAATTTTTGATTGATAAAGGCGTTTTAGAGTTTTTTTTGCATATTATGCGGTAATTTTAACGCGCAGTGTAGTATGTATAGAAATGTAAAAATTTTACAGTAAAATGTATAAAAAATAAAAGTGTATGAATATAAACACATCATATATTTTTGCTTTTGCAACTAAAAACAAACAATTTAAAAACTACAACAGACAATAGAAAACAACAACTGAAACATCAAATGTTATAAAATGAAAAAATAAATTTTGTTTTTGCAAGTTATTACCTATCGCTATTTATGCATAAGTATAAAAGCTACTTCCCTTACCCTTTTTTTTAATTACTTTCAGGTCACAGAGCGCCTGTCACAAGGGTAATTTTCCACCCCGTTTTTAGTCTAATGGTATCGGCTAGCGAGGACGCTACCCTTAAGGTTTGGGACTTCGAAACCGGCGAGTACGAACGCACCCTTAAGGGACACACCGATTCAATCCAGGTAAACAGCAGTTTTTACATTTCTTATATTTTTTTGTGATTTAATACATTTTTTATTTATTTATTTATTTATTTATTAAATATAACACTGTATCATAGTTTAACAAAACAGTTTTATAACTGGTACCATCAAAACCATATCAATTTTATAAGTAGTTCTTCTTAATCGTCCATTCCATAATTGGTTTAATAACTTAAATACAGTGTGTATTAAAACGAATAGATACACTTAAATAAAACAAGTGCCAAACCCCGCCCACTGTGGTAGGGATAATAATCTCGATGAATTAAGGGTGCAAATCTTTAATACATTGGGAGATATTAGTCCTGAAATGCTGTTTAACGTGCGCAGGAATTTTTATTATAGGCTAGGGTATTGTTTAACTGCTGCTGGTGGTCTATTTGAACATTTAATATAGAAAAAAAGTTATTTTCGTTAATTTTGATATATTTTTGTTTGAGAATTTATAGGTTTTATTTTTATCGAATTCGTTTGTTTTGTTTTAATGCATTTCTGCAAATAAAAACTAAGTATTGTTTAAAATCCATTAAATTCCAGTTAGTGGCGAAAATGTATTTCTTAAAAACTATACACATTTCCCTACGACAGCGTCGGAGCTACTGAACAAACTGCATGCCGCGCTGTTGCCATATGCTATTATTGTTTTATAAAAGGATTGTTTTTCTTATTTTTTAATATTAAAAGTAAGAAAATTAACTAAATCAAATTATTTTTGACATATTATTAATTTTTTTGTTATTTTTAAAGTTTCAAACAAATAAAATTGAACTATTTATTAAATAATTATAATCGTTCTCTTCTGATTTAAAATAACCTGGCAACTATGGTTCGTAATTACGAATGGCTTGGTTTAAACCACGCCCAATTAAAGTTTATTTCTTTTTCTCTGATCAGAATATAATTTGTCATCCTTGTCTCCAGCCTTACTTACTTGATTCTATACAGTCTGTATATATTTTTTACAGATAATTTTGATTGATGTTTCTGACATTGAAATTACATTTTTTAAATTACTTACATAGTAAATCTAAAAAAAAATTAATTTTATTTTTTTTGCAGGACATCGCATTCGATGCGAGCGGCAAACTGTTGGTCAGCTGCAGCGCCGACATGTCCATCAAGCTGTGGGACTTCCAGCAGTCGTACGAGTGCGTGCGCACCATGCTGGGACACGACCATAACGTGTCCAGCGTGGCTTTCATGCCCGCCGGCGATTTCGTCGTTTCCTCGTCGAGGGACAAGACGATCAAGATGTGGGAGGTGTCCACGGGATATTGCGTCAAAACGTACTCTGGACACAGAGATTGGGTAAGTGAGATATGAGATATATATACTAGGGTGTGCCAAAAAAACTCGAAATTTTTTTTTGCTCTCCACCCAAAATATCGTAGAATATGTCCAAACAAATATTCTGTTAAAAGCGGAGCTCATAATTTCAATCTGAAGTTTTGCCGCTTAAATATCAGACTTTTTTACCTTATTTATTCTTGCAACCTAGGAAGAATTTTTTTTCATAAAATCCATGACTAATAATTATTCTCACAAAGCATTAAATTTGAACAAAAAAATCTTATTAAGCCGAATTTTTATTTTCATTATTTGATTTTTTACATTCATTTTACATTTCATTATTTGATTTTTTACAAAAATGATGACTTTATACGCCTGTAACTTTTAGAATATTGACGATACAAAAAATTCGGCTAAAACTTTTTTGTGGTCCATCAGACAAGCTAAAAAATTGCCATTCGACTTTTTCGTCTTCAATAGTTTAGCTGAAAAAGGCAAAAAACGTAAAATTTTAAATTTAAAGCTCTGTAAAAATCAAATAATGAAAATAGAAATTCGGCTTAATAAGATTTTTTCGTCCAAATTTAATGCTTTGTAAGATTTGGTCATGGATTTTATGAAAAAAAAATTTCTTCCTAGGTTGCAAGAATAAATAAGGTAAAAAAGTCAGTTTTCTGTGCTATTTAAGCGGCAAAACTTCAGATTCGATGAAGGACCTCTTAAAATTTAAATTATGAGCTCCGCTTTTAACAGGATATTTGTTCGGACATATTCTACGATATTTTGGGTGGAGAGCAAGAAAAAAAAATATCGAGTTTTTTTGGCACACCCTAATATATACATTATATAAATATTAGGCTTGTTAAAAAAATCAACTATTTTTTTTCTGAAATTTCGCACTGAAATATAATATATTCACGGTACCAAAAAAGACACCTGTGAAAACCGGAGCTCTTAATTTTAATATTTAGAGGTCGCGCATCGAGAATTTCTATTTCCCATTTAAATAACATGGGAAATTTTGTTTTGTTTCTTTATAGTTTTCTAGCTCGCAAACTAATTAACAGATTTTTATGCGCGATACATATTCTTGTGGGAAATTGAACGCTCTACAAAAAATGTCTCCCATCATTTTTCGATAAATCAACGTGTTCGAAAGTTATTCAAAGTTAAATTTATGTAATAATTGCTTTTTTTACTTCAATTTTGGGCAAATTCATTTAAGTTATTATCAAATATAAAAAAAATCATTCAAAGAATCAAAATTACTACTCATGTTCAATAAGCCTTTTAAATTCATTCCACTAAAACACCTACTATTTCTGGAAAGAATTGATTCAAATCCTTTTTAATGAATTCTTTCCTGAAATAGTAGGTGTTTCAGTGGAATTAATTTAAAAGGCTTATTGAACATAGTAATTTTGATTTTTTGTATAATTTTTATTTTATTTTTAATAATAACTGAATTTGCCAAAATTGAAGTAAAAAATGCAATTATGACATGAATTTAACTTCGACTTTGAATAACTTTTGAACTTGTGGTTAAAATGTAGTTTTTATTATTTTGACGTTTTTGACATTTGAACTGTCATATTTTGACAGTTCAAATGTGTTTGACTTCATGTTGAACTTTTGGACATTTTAATATCATATATTGAGGTCATGTTATTTAATTTTGACATTCATTGCGTTTTTAGCTATATTTTGTTAAAATGTCTTTTGTGATATTGAATGTCATATTTTTTCACCATATTTTTTCGTTTAAACGGTTTAACTATGGAAAAGGAAAGACAGTGGACGCGTAACGCCTATTCCACACAGGCGTAGTGAATTATTTGTTGCCAATTTTGCACATTTCCAACAGTCCTCCACTCTCTTCCCAGCTCTAAGAGTTTAACAATTGCATCGCCATTTTACATATTTGACAGTTTTAAAGACTTCTTGATGGATTTTTTTAATATTCTTTCAAGTTTTTATTTAATCAAGATTTTTCCTTATGGATCCTTGTCGCTCGTGGTATTAATTTAAAACCAAAAATTAATGCCACTTGTATAAAAATCAAAAATTTTATTGGCAAAATTTTACCACTACTGGTATTACAAACGAAAAAAACACTCGTTTATACGATAACAATGTTGACGTTTCTAATTTTAAAATAAAAATGTCAAAAAATACGCGTTTTGGTCGAAAAAATCAAAAAGAAAATGAATTGGCAGTTAATTCTATTTTTAAAAATAATATTCGTGAAATAGTCTTGCCGAATACCACTCGTTTTTTCTCTCAAAAAATTGTTGGTTTTTATTTACTCAACATTCTTAATATCATTATAATTTTTGCGCGAAAAGTAAGTTAAAGACGTCGGTTTATTGAATTACTATAATACATCAAAACATTTGATTCTGTTCGCACAAAATAATATTAAATACCCTATTGATGCCATTATTTGGTGCCAATTTCGCACAGTTCCAACGGTCTGATTAAGCCTCCACTTATTCCCTACTCTAAAAGCTCATTCACATCCACTTAATATGCGTAACTTAACTTAACTTAACTTAAGAAACATACGTCTGTTAAGTTGTCTGTTTACATTAACTTAATACACACAAAAAACGTAATATACAAGCAAGCGCAATGTAGACATCGATGTAGACTTGGTTGACTATCTATCTATAAAGGTGAAACAACAAGATAGCGCTATATCGTTTTACTGGGCATGTGATTGGCTCACGTAAGAAACGTATTCCCTTAAGTTGAGCCGATCCCAACTTTTGGTTACGTTAAGTTACGTGTGATAAGTTTTCTACGAACGTAAACAGCTGCATTGGTTTCAATGTATTTCAACTAACGTCTCTCACGTACTTTAAGTTAAGTTACGCGTATTAAGTGGATGTGAATGAGCTTTAAAGCTCATTCACATCGACTTAATATGCGTAACTTAACTTAACTTAACTTAAGAAATCTACGTCTGTTAAGTTGTCTGTTTACATTAACTTAATACACGCAAAGAACGCAATATACAAGCACGCGCAATGTGGACATGGATGTAGACTGGGTTGCCTATCTATCTATAAAAGTGAAACAACAAGATAGCGCCATATCGTTTTACTGGGCATGTGATTGGCTCACGTAAGAAACGTATTCCCTTAAGTTGAGCCGGACCCAACTTTTGTGATAAGTTTTCTACGAATGTAAACAGCTGCATTGGTTTTAATGTATTTCAACTATCACGTACGTTAAGTTAAGTTACGCGTATTAAGTGGATGTGAATGAGCTTTTAAGGGTTTAACAATTTTATCACCATTTTGCATTTGTCACAGTCTTAAAGACTTCAGGTTGAATTTTTTAACATCTCAATATATTTATAACAAAAAACGAGATATTAAAAAATAAATTCAACAACATTTTTTTCTTCTAGATTCGTATGGTGCGGCCATCTCCCGACGGCGGCCTCCTGGCCAGCTGTTCCAACGACCAGACGGTGCGCATTTGGGTCGTCAGTTCCAAAGAGTGCCGCAACGAGCTGAGGGCGCACGAGCACGTGGTCGAGTGCGTGGCGTGGGCGCCCGACTCGTCGGCGGCCGCCATCAACGAGGCGGCGGGCGTGGACAACAAGAAGGGCGCCCACACAGGCCCGTTCCTGGCGTCGGGATCCCGAGACAAGACCATCAGGTGAGAGAGGGGTTGAGATTTTTCGAACGTGGAATGTGGGGATTTGGTTTTTAACGTTTAACGGCTTTTACATTACTTGAGATGCGACGATTTTGTTGATAGTTTAAATGTTGGGCGCCAATATGTAAAAACCCGATATCTCAAAAACTAAGGGGGTTAAAAATATGAGATTTGGTGTAGAGTTCAGGGTTATCATGCTTAATAACATCCTAAAATTGTAACATTGTATCTTATGTACATTTTAAGATATAACGTTTTTAAAAAGTTGGGCGCCAAGTTGTATCTCAGAAATTACATAACCTACAAAATTTAAATTTGGCACACATTTAAATGTGGTTAAAACAAACAACATTCTAAAGTAGTAAAATTATAACTTATGCAAGTTTTGAGATATAGCGTTTTTAAAAACGTCAAGCGCCAATATGTAAAAACCCGATATCTCAAAAACTAAGGGGGCCAGAAATATGAAATTTGGTGTGAAGTTTAGGGTTATCATGCTTAATAACATCCTAAAACTGTACCATTGTATCTAATGTAAATTGTAAGATATGACGATTTTAAAAAGTTGGGCGCCAAGTCGTATCTCAGAAACTACATAACCCACTAAGTTGAAATTTGGCACACCTTTAAACGTGGTTAAAGCAAACAACATCCTAAAGTAGTAAAATTATAAATTATGCAAGTTTTGAGATATAGCGTTTTAAAAAACGTCAAGCGCCAAAATGTAAAAAACCCGATATCTCAAAAACTAAGTTGGTTAAAAATATGAAATTTGGTGTGGAGTTCAGGGTTATCATGCTTAATAACATCCTAAAACTGTACCATTGTATCTAATGTAAATTGTAAGATATGACGATTTTAAAAAGTTGGGCGCCAAGTCGTATCTCAGAAACTACATAACCCACTAAGTTGAAATTTGGCACACCTTTAAACGTGGTTAAAGCAAACAACATCCTAAAGTAGTAAAATTATAAATTATGTAAGTTTTGAGATATAGCGTTTTAAAAAACGTCAAGCGCCAAAATGTAAAAAACCCGATATCTCAAAAACTAAGTTGGTTAAAAATATGAAATTTGGTGTGGAGTTCAGGGTTATCATGCTTAATAACATCCTAAAATTGTAACATTGTATCTTATGTATATTTTAAGATATGAGGATTTTAAAAAGTTGGGCGCCAAGTTGTATCTCAGAAATTACATAACCTACAAAGTTGAAATTAGGCACACATTTAAACGTGGTTAAAACAAACAACATCCTTAAGTAGTAAAATTACAACTTATGCGTGTTTTGAGATATAGTGTTAATAAAAACGTCAAGTGCCAATATGTAAAAACCCGGTATCTCTAAAACTAAGGGGTTTAGAAATATGAGATTTGGTGTGGAGTTCAGGGTTATCATGCATAATAACATTCTAAAATTGTAACATTGTATCTTATGTAAATTTTAAGATATGACGATTTTAAAAAGTTGGGCGCCAAGTCGTATCTCAGAAACTACATAACCTACAAAGTTGGAATTTGGCACACATTTTAACGTGGTTAAAACAAACAACATCCTTAAGTAGTAAAATTATAAATTGTTTAAGAAAGTCAAGCGACAATATGTAAAAACCCGATATCTCAAAAACTAAAGGGGTTAGAAATATGAAATTTGGTGTGCAGTTCAGGGTTATCATGCTTAAAACATCCTAAAATTGCACCATTGCATCTGATGTCAATTTTAAGATATAACGATTTTAAAAAGTTGGGCGCCAAGTCGTATCTCAGAAACTGCATAAGGGCCATTCCACGCTTAACGGATAGGACAGTTGCCGTGTTTTTATTTACAAAATAATATTGTTCTATTATATTACTAATGTAAAATTTTTATAAATAGTTCTAAACAAAAGCTGTTTAACAAGGTTTTTATTTGGCAAAATTAGGTATCGTGATTGACTGTTTAATTCCTTAAAAATTAATAATTTAAAGCGTAACGGGCGGGACTATTACAAAGTCCCGACCGTTACGCTTTAAATTATTATTAACTACATAACCTACAATGTTGAAATTTGGCACACATTTAAACGTGGTTAAAACAAACAACATCCTAAAGTAGTAAAACTTTAACTTATGGGAGTTTTGAGATATAGCGTTTTTAAAAACGTCAAGTGCCAATAAGTAAAAACCCGATATCTAAAAAACTAAGGGGGTTAAAAATATGAAATTTGGCTCAAATTTAAAAATAGTTTTAACTGAACAAATCATTTTTTTAGAATTTGGGATGTAGGAGCAGGAGTCGCTCTGTTCGTTCTCACGGCTCACGATAACTGGGTGCGTGGCGTCATTTTCCACCCGGGCGGTAAGTTCCTTATTTCCGCCAGTGACGACAAAACTTTGAGGGTGTGGGATTTGCGCAACAAGCGTTGCATGAAAACGCTGGAGGCTCACAAGCACTTCTGCACTTCGCTAGGTGAGTACCGAAACCTGCCACACGTTTCACGACGCGATGTTGCCGGATGTACGAAAATTCGATTTTTTTTCTTTCAGATTTTCATAGATCGCACCCATACGTAATCTCAGGCAGCGTAGATCAAACGGTGAAAGTATGGGAATGCCGTTAAATTCTGCCTAAATTCCGCAATTTTTGAATTTGTGAAAAATTTCGAAGGAGTTTCTTAAAACAAAACAAAAAACCAGTACTATTCAGTGGCTTTCGGCAACTTTTTGTGCATAGTTATTATTAATATTATAAAAACGATACTTATATTTAAGTCAAAAAATACACATAATATTTAATGATTTTTACATTTGCAAATTTTGATTTTAACATTTACATAATTTGCATTTATGTAAAAAATTAATGTGAGGTCCCTTAAATTATTTTGTACATTACATTATGTGGACCCCTCCTGAAATTTCGTATAAATGGTTTTAATGTATTTTATTACACGTTAATATTTTTAAGTTAAATAAACTAATATCAACCGTTATTTTTTTATTTTTTTTATTTTTCATGTGATAACGCAGAAATTCCGGGATGTAAGGCTTAATTATAATATTAATGCTTCAATCAGTGTTAAACCTTCAAATTTTATTTATTATTTTATAAAAACTTGACTGGTCCACTCATATTTGGACCACTCTTGGATTTTAAGCCCCATCATAGAAATTAACCCCTCAGAGAAGTTGGCTATGGATGAAACGTCATAACATAACCTAAAAATGACGTTAATCTGACAGAAACTGTCAAAAACCTAACGCCAACATAGTTTATCAACTGAGGGGGTAATTTCAAAGATTCTTAATAAAATAAAACTAATCTCAATGTAGATTTTTATATACAGTGTGTCTATTTAAGTTGGCAACATATGGGAAATTTTCTTATTATTAATTTTATGTAGAAAAGTTTTTCTCTATATTCTGCATATGCAGAACTTTTTATGAAGAATAACTTTTTTTCTTAAAATTAATAATAAAAATGTTTCCCTTAATTTGCCAACCTAAGTAGACACACTGTATATTGCACAGCAACTACTGTCAATGTATTATCAATAGGTGTTTTTTGTATTGTTAAAATTATCGATTTTTGTACATAAAGAAACCTTATATTTTTATTAAAATACTCACTGTGTAGTGTTTTTTCTATTTATTTTTCTTTGCTTTGTATTTTTTCTTCCTTCTTTATCAATAGAATTAAAGTATTAGAATTGCTTAAAACACATAGTTATTGCAAATTTTTTTATATAAAAAACATGATTTCGTTCTACATTTTTTATACTTGCTTGCTTGACTGCATGAGCACAACCATATAAAAATATATACCCTTTGTATAGTCAAAAAAAGGTCTTGAATCTTTACACGGAGATTCAAAACTTTTTTAATGACTGTACCCATATGTACTAGACATATACTTTACCGTAGGATTTTGTGAATAATTTGTCTGTATATAATATAAAAAATAAAATTCTTCTCTTGATAAAAGTTTTTCAATATTACCACAATCTACCCCAAGCAGCAAAGAATGACACATTTTGGGCAATGTGTCGACACAGCGTCGAAACATGATTTTGGACACAACACATTTTAAAGACACAAAGTCCACTTTAAGACCACTAAGTGTGAAAAATGAGACCAAAGTGGTGATGAAAGTTGTAGCAAAAAGTGTCCATAGTTTGCCCACAAAATGTGCCCGATTTTTTCTTAAAATTTGCCCACAATGTGCCCGGTAGTGTGACCGATTTATGCCCAAAGAGTTTCTAATTTGTATGTTACCAAATGGTCACCATATGTTCCGAATTGTTGCCAAAGTACTGTATTGTGTCCTAAAATAAACCCAAATGGACACTAACTATTTTTAATTGGAAACATACTAGATACAAAGAGGCAAAGTAAGGCGTGATGTCTTATTAATAATTATGTACCTATATAATATAATATTTAATATTATAATAATATGAAATACATTATAACTTAAATCTAACATTTTTGGTATATGTTACCTTCATTTTTATTGCGAACAAAATTTTATTGGTGGTTATAAGCAAAATACTTTTAAAAATTGATAGGGCCTCACAAATAATAAGTATTTAAATTTTTTTTTTGATTAAAAATATTTTTTTTCCATATTTTTATCAAAACTAGATGTATGTGCCTTCTATGTAACTTAAAACATTGCATTTTTTAAATTTTAAGTTTACATTTTACCAGAAAGTTAAATTATGTAAAAAAATTCACATTTGCCATTTTTTCTTAAAGCGTCGAATCTGTCACAACAAAAAAAATATGGCGAATGTGTCCCTTTGGAACCTAATGCGCCCGCCCCACACATTTTTGAAACAAATCAGACACCATGAATCTAAAATGCAGCTAAATGGAAACTTTTGCGTCCACTTGACTCAATTTGGTAATAAAATGGAAACAGATTGATAAGGTACAATATGGAAGCATTGAGTCGACTAAGTGTCGACCCTAATGAGTTCAAATTGTGTTACTGTTTCCAAGGGGGCACAAAAGCGACTCAACTTGGGCACATATTTCTGAAATATTGCTACTTAGACCCATACTTTTTTTGGACACAATAGACCTATCCCATAAAACAGACTTTTGGATAGCGCGTGCCTGAAAAAGAGTGCACTCTATAAAAGAGAAAGAGATACCATGGTATCTCTTTCTCTTTTATATAATTAAAAAAAGATGACGTGCCTTTTCACGCACGCGCTATCCAAAAGTCCGTTTTATGGGATAGGTCTATTGGTTTAAAAGGTGTCGACCCAAAGCAACCATAAATTTGAAGAATGGACATAGTTTCCATTTAGACATAAGTTTTCCGATTTGTGTCGAAACAATTTGGAAACAAAAAGTGTCGTGCCCAAGTTCGGGCACAAATTGCTGCTTGGGACATTATGAATATTACTATTTAACACTGGAAATCCCCAAAACCAATTTATTAAAAAATATAATTTTATTTACAATAAACTGCCCGACTTCACAGAAAACAGCATTAAATGTAACATTATTATTAATCTAATTCGTGTAATGTCAATGGTTTTCCCTCATCATCGTTGTTTTAAGTAGTTCAAATAAACCGCTTCCGGGAACTACGCTGTTGACCTTTATCTCTACTGTTGACATAGCGAGAAATTAACCTCAATTATGTGACGTTCGACGGGTTTGCGCGATAAAACCTGTTGATTCGCGAAATATAAAAGGACCCTCGTACTAAATTATCAGTTATACCGCGAAATACCGCTGTTCGGTCAGTTATGTTTAAATTACTGTTAACCTTGTGTTTTATAGCGGTTATTGATGTCAGTTTTGAATGTACTAATACGGTGTACCCCTTTGAGAAGTACTTAGCGACCAAAACGCCTTATCGAGTTGTGGCAAATAATACTTTTGGAAAACTAGAGTATGAAGGTAAGTTTTGATTGGTGTTGAACATAAAAAATTCTAAAATAAGTATGTAGGCTGTAAAGCAATTAAATCATGGATGATTGTACGACATGGTACTAGAAACCCAAGTGATGGTTTTGTTTTACAATATAACACGCGTTTGCCTGATATATTAAACCTAATAGTTACAAATTACGGTCATGGGGTGTCGGAAAATATTGAAAAAATATCCCCCAAAGATATAGATTTACTTAAGAAGTGGCGTAGCAAAGTGGGACAAGAAGATGCTAAAAAATTAAGAGAAGAGGGCGAGGACGAGATGATTTTAATATCGGAAAGAATGCAGACAAGATTTCCTGAGGTTTTTCCCAATGTATACAGCAACACTTCCTATAAGGTAAATACTATGATGTTTTTAAGTTAAAAATATCAATAACATGTTTTATAGTTCAAGTATACGCACACACAAAGAACAAAAAAAAGTGCACAGTATTTTGCCACTGGATTGTTTGGAAAAAAAACTGCCAAAGATGTCTGGTTCCCCCTACCTTTAAAAAGAGACCCAATATTAAGAGTAAGTTATTACTGTATGTTTTTGGTATACCAATTATGATAAAAAATTTTGTACAGTTTTATAAGTTGTGCTCAAAATGGCGCAACACCATTAAAAAACAGCCAATCATGGAATTGGAATTATTCAAAAAAAGCTCACATTTCCTTGAACTAGTGGACAACGTTAACAAAAAAATTGGCGCTGAGAATGTTTTGAACGCAGAGGATGTTCTTTTAATGTACTTTGCATGCGCCTTTGAAACTGCCTGGAATAAAGTACTAAAATCGCCATGGTGTTCCGTATTTACTATTGATGATTTGAAGGTACAGGTCATTTTTTTTTTATCTGGACTCATGTTTTTTTGTTAGGTTGGTGGCTTATGCAGGTTTGACTTAGTATTTTTAGTATTTAAAAATGGTACTTCTGCTAAAGAATTTAATTAAATGCTTTGACACTGTCAAATTGACAATAATATTATTATTGATAATTTACTTGTCAATTATAAATAAAAATATAATTATGCCAAAAATAATAGCAACAAATTCGAATGTAAAAGCCCTTTTGAGGGCAAAATTTCATTTTGATGAAATTATGCCAAATGCCACAATGGAAGAAAAAGTACATCGCCTTATGGACATTTTTGGAGTAAAAAAGTAACGAATTTGGTTTTATAAATATTACATCACACATTATTTTCACATTATTCACCATTGGACAACATTTACGTTCACAAAAAAATTTAATTTCTTTTATATAAATTCTTTTCAAAGTGAAGATTATTATCTGCTAGGAATACTTTCTCTTCTGGGCCGTAAATTTAACTACTTTTTTTATATGATTTTACTCATCCAAGCACCACCAAAGCCAAATTAATTGCATTTTTAACTACGAATTTCGACAACTCAACTTGACAACTGCACAATGTAACCTACAATAATTTATACATAACCACAATTAGATTTATAACTATAGCTATAGCTTAGTTTGTTTTAATCAATGCGACCAACTTGACAACTGTATTTACCAACCAAAACTCAAATTTGCAACGTTGCCGCAGTCCAGATAAAAAAAAAGAACTATGTTGCATGATAAAAAATATTCTTTATGTTTGTATAATATACCTACTTGTTTAAGGTTTTAGAATACCATGAAGATCTAAAATATTACTGGATAGATGGATATGGGCATCAATTAACATACCAACAAGCTTGCCCAGCTATAGTGGACATGGTAGAACACTTTGACAAGTATTTTAATGATCATTAAAAATTTATTATATTTTTAACGTTTTATTTTATTGTAGCAAAGAAAAATACCCATTATCTGTCCTATATTTTACACATTCAGGGACATTACTGAAAATGTTAGCCCATTTGGGTTTATACAAGGATGAAAAAATCTTGATAGCAAATGATTATGAAAAAAATGGCAACAGGGAATGGAAAGTCAGCCACATAGACGCATTTGCAACCAATTTGGCATTTATACTACATAAGTAAGTAAAAAAAAACACTAAAAAAACACTGTACGCTAAAGAAGTATCTGGTAGAATTTAAAAGCATTGCGTGAATTTAAAAAACATTTTTTGTCCCCCATTGATTATTCCTTATACCATTGATTAAGAAACTAAACGCTTAAATGCTTATATGGGTATGTTAGTGTGTGTATTTTATCAAAGGGATCATGGTGAATTATTGTATTTTTAATTGTAAATAAAATTCAAGAACTAAATCGTTGCATTTTCATGTTTTGCCAAAGGATCCATTTCGGTAAGTGCATTTGTTGGTGCAGAATTAAATAATTATAACATTACCTAATATAATTTATATTTAAGTTTGGACATTTTTAAGAAATTAGTAAAAAATAATTTTTGCACAAACATAACCTTAAAATCAACCATTTTTACGCTTAAGCTCTCTAAAAAACGCCAACAACTGCATTTTAAACAACAAAATATACCTACAAATTCATGGCAACATAATATTATATACATACATTAATACATAATATAATGGTATTTTACTGTTGAGTGGAGACTTTCTTAATCAACGCTTTTAATAATGCTAAATGCTGTTTAAATTTAGACGACTTATTTCTTCGACGATTTTTACTGAATTGAAATGTTAACACTTTTCACGTTAATCACTTCTAAAATGTGTATTTATTGTATCTTATAGGCACAATTTATATTTACAGAGACTGTATGCAATTTATTCGTTCATTCAGATTAACACTGTTAATTGGAAAACCGGTAAAAACTCAACGCAGGATTTCCTCTCGTTTTTTTTCCGATATTTTTTAACATTTTCCGGCTTTATTCTCAAAAACACTCGTTTGTTACATAAGCGTCTGACAGCTGATTATTAAAAGTTTTACTTTTGATACGATAGCGATACTTCTTTAGCTTATACATTAATAATACATTTTTTAAAGGTGTGGTGATGAAGAAAAAGTACTAACCCTTCACCAGGAAAACGTTGTTAGGCTTCCAAGCTGCCCAGATTCAGACCTATGTGATTTACAGAAATTCAAGGAGTTTTACACTGATAGTGTTGACCACTGTGATTTTAATTCAATGTGTGATACTGTTTAAACAAATAATATTATATTTTTTGATAAATTTTAATATATTTTTTGCTATGAACTGTTTTTTATTCCCAAAATATTTACTAAATTACATTATATTTGTTGTAAAAGAGCCCTGAAGATCATAACTGTCATTTTTAGTTCAAAATTTAGTTCAATGTTTATTGAGTTAAAAATTGGCAACCCTGTCACTATGACTTTTAAAACTCAAATCCAAAAGTTTTTGAAACAAAACTACAATAAAATAATAATTAAATTCATTGAAAAATACAGTGTAAATAAAAAATATTAAAAATAGTATTTTTAACTGTCATTTCTTGACACTTCTCTTGACATTACAAAATTTGAATGTCATTCTGCATTCTGTAAAGTCGCGAAGAGTTTCTCGTGAATTATGACGACAGTTAAAGTGAAAAATGCGGTCGTTGAGGAGGTAAAAATAACAAATTAAACATTTTTAAACGATAATTAATATAATTTATATATATTACAGAATGACGAGGATAAAGAATTGAAAATTGAGTTAAATAACTTAGTTGAAAGGATAACGGTAAGAAATATTTTTTTATATAAAACTTAAAGGGGCATTTTACAAACCCAACTAAAAATGTATGTTTAATTTAACTTTTTTCAAAAATTTTATACAGAGTGATGACTTACAAATCATATCCCCTGCCATAGAAATGCTAAAATACTTAATAAGAACAGCAACGACTTCGATGACCTCGGTACCAAAACCCCTAAAATATTTGACCCAAAATTATGCAGCCCTTAAAGCAAAACACGCCGAAATGGAGGCCGGAAGTGTTAAAAATAGCCTCTCTGACGTCATTTCCGTTTTAGCCATGGGCAATGGGGGTGAGGGGCAAGATTGCCTTGTCTACTGTCTTCAAGGTACCCATCAATTTTACAAAAATATACGGGGTGTTTAAAAATTATTTATTATTATTAGGTTCTATGACAAATATAGGGGACTGGGGTCACGAGTACATTAGACATTTAGAGAACGAAATCGTGCAAAAATGGACTAACTGCGAGGAATCGGAGAGAATTTTGATGCCTTTGGTGAAGGATATCATTGAGTTTAATTGTGGGCATCATGCCGAAATTCAGGCATGCGATTTGCTCATGGAAATAGACAAGTAAAAACTTTTATTTATCTATCTAGCTTTTATGGTTTTTAAAATATACATTTCACTAATTGGCGCCCAACATTTTTTAAATCATCCGAGTGAATATTGCGCATAATCTCGAGTGTAATACTATACTTTATCTACTCCAATAAGTATACCTACAATTAAATGATTTTAAAAATTAAATAAATAAAATCTGACATCTGTCAAATGGTTAACCTCACTTTTTACCAATTTTAAATGTTTTTAGTCGCCTTTTCCCAATTTAAAACTTGAATTGTTCAAATTACAGTGAATATTGATATCGGCCAATCACTGATGCCTAACAACGTGAATAATGATTTCATTATTCACGCTGTTAGGCAGAAAATTTATAATGTTTAACAATATTCACGAAAAAAAACCCAAAATTATGCAATAGGAGTAGATAAAATTATTTTTTAGGGTGATAATATTTAAATACACGCCAAATTTTATTTATCTAGCTCTTGTAATTTTTAAGATATGGGTTTTTTCATATTGGCTCCCAAAGGATTTTAAATCAAAAATTGTACAAAATAAAATGCTAACACTGGGTTCTTTAAATGTACCTCAAATTTTATTTATCTAGCTTTTCCATTTTTTTAAATTGGCGCCCATAAGGTTCTAAATTTGTATGTCTAAAAAACCGTTAACCGCTATATCTCAACGAGTGTTTAAGATAACATTTGATATTTTAGGGTTTTGATAATGGGTCATTCCACGTTACTCGGGGATTTTTGTCCCGCCCGTCACAATTAAAAATTGTGAGTAAAAACTACACGTTATAAAATTTATTTAAAAATATTGTTTTATTATGCTTTTAATAAGTTATAAGCACAATAAAAATAATATTATAAAATATTAATTTTATAACTTGTGGTTTTTACAATTTTTAATTGTGACGGGCGGGACAAAAATTACCGAGTGACGTGGAATGTCCCTAATCTTAAAATACACACCTAATTTTATCAATTTTTAAATCCCGATATCATAAAAACGGTTGATGAAAAAACTATAAAATTAAAAAAAAAAATTTTTAGGTTGATAATATTTAAATACACGCCAAATTTTATTTATCTAGCTCTTACAGTTTTTAAGATATGGCTTTTTACATATTGGCGCCCATATCTCAAAAACTGTGCATGTATAATAGAATACTAAAACTATGGGTTTTTAACTTTATATTCTTTAAATGTATTTCAATTTTTATTTATTTAGCTTTTTCAAGTGTTCAAAATAAAATGTTGATATTTTAGGATTTTAAATATATAGGTAATAAATTTAATTTATATAGCTTTTCTCGTGTTTGAGATATACGGCATTTTACTTATTGGCGCCCATTTTTTTTAAATCCCCCTATCACAAAACCTGTTGATATAATTATAAAATTTTGAAATATTTTTTAGGTTTATAATATTTAATAAATACACGCCAAATTTTATTTATTTCGCTCTTACAGTTTTTGAGATATGGATTTTGTATATTGGCGCCCATGCTAAAACTGGGTTTTTAACTTTATATTCTTTAAATATATTTTAATTTTTATTATTTAGCTTTTTCATATCCGTTATTTACAGATTGGCGCCCATAACGTTTTAAATCTGTATTTATGTCTAAAAAACCGTTAATCGCTATATTTCAAAAAGTGTTCAAGATAATATGTTGATATTTTTGGATGTTTTTTAGATTGACTGTTATTAAATGTACACCCAATTTTATTTCTTTAGAGCGTTTTTTTGCAATATGCAATTTTAGGTTAAACATGTTGCCTGAATATTTAAACCAAAGTACCTACCCAAGGGTTTGTTTGTATTTAATGTCGTGCACAAAGTATGTCGATGATGTGGAACGTTCCAAAATTATGAAACTTATCTGCCATGAGTATCTAAAGTTTGGAGAATATTCTAGGTATAAATAAAATCGCCTTGCATGCATGCAATAAAATAATGTTTGCCTTTTATTATTTAGATCTCTTATAACAGCTATTTTGATGAATGACGACGATATGGCCAACACCATTTTTGAGACATGTAAAGAGAAGTAAGCAATTTTTGAGGTTTTATTAAGTCCATGCAGTACATATTTTTTTAAGGGCCACTCTATACCAAATGGCATTCATTTGCGCCCGACATTTGTATTCTATAGATTTAAACCCAAATCTAGAAGACGTCGACGAGTTGCAAAACATACTAAGCAACAGCCATCTTAGTGCATACTTTATAACTTTGGCCAGAGAGGTAGATAAGAACTTTTTTGTAAACGTATCCCTAGTAGCAATGGAATTGGACAAGATTCTTTGTCAAGATACTTGGAGAAGCACTTTGTAAAGAATTGGACAATTCTTGACCAAGACTCTTGATCAAAATTCTTTATCCAGACTGGTGGCAGACTTGGACAAGTTTGTGACCAGAATTTAACCAGATTCTTGGCCAAGAATTTTTACACGATTACACGTTAAATAGGAACTTTCAATTCAAGATTTTTAGTCAATACAAAATTTTGTTGAACTTCAAAAGTAAAGAATGTTACTAAAAACATTAATTTTCCACGATTTCTTTCCAGTAAATTCGGTTTTTATCCATAAATCTGGTAAACAATAGAATTAAAAACGAAACAAATTTTGAAAGAGTTAAAGTTTTTAATTTTCTATGTTAAAAAAAAAACCAGGTGCCCGTAAAAATAAACATGTATTATATAATCTTTCATGTTCATAAAGAGTAAACTCTAGTTATGCGTCAGAGCTGACACACACTTTTTTTTTTAATTTTTGATTTTTAGAAATAACAATTTTTATTTTTCAAAAAATCAATTTTTTTTCTCAGCTAGAAGACGAATCGAATAAGCTCTTATTCGTATTTTCACATAAACAAAAAAACTATACTCATTTCCTACAGAGAACTCACTTCTCGACTGGTATACATTATTGTGAATGATACTACTGTAGAATGAGAACCTCTACTCTATAGGATAGTCCCAAAGTTTAGCAATAGATGGCCTCAGATTTCTGGTCAAATTCTTGTTAAATTCTGGCCACAGTCTGGCTCAAGTCTTGCCCAATAATCTTGGCCACGAATCTGGAACAATTCTTGAGCAAAAATCTGTCCAAAGTACCTTGACCCATGCTGGGCCAAGACTTTTCCGGAATTGCTACTAGGGATATGGTCATTCCCTCATACCTTTTATAGCTTGATATTATGGAACCCAAAGCCCCGGAAGACGTCTACAAAACCTGGTTGGAACCGGTCCCGCCGCGCTTGTCTCTCCTGGGAGACAACGTCGACAGCGCCAGGCAAAATTTGGCCTCGTCCTTCGTGAACGGCTTCGTCAACGCAGGCTTCGGCAGCGACAAGCTGTTGACGACCGAAGGCGGCAACAAGTGGATTTATCGCAATAAAGATCACGGCATGCTCAGCGCCACGGCCGCCTTGGGTTTGCTGCATCTGTGGGATGTCGATGGAGGCCTGACTCCCATCGATAAGTATCTGTATACCAGTGAGGATCACATTAAGGCTGGGGCACTTTTGGCGCTTGGTATAGTCAACTGCAGGTAAGTAAGAAAAGTTGAAAAAATTGCCCCACTGTGCGAAACCATTTTTTTAGTCTAGGGTCGAGAACCATCGAAAGATCGTTTTCGGTAGTAGGCAATGTGACTACCGATAGTTAACAATAGTTTTTTTAAAAACGAATTATGCGAAAATTATCTGTAAAGGAAAGTATACTTAAAGTAGATACAAATTATTTGCCCCACTGTCCGTCAACCTTAGCTTTATTTCAGTAAATACCTATTATAATAGCGATGTGTTGGCATGTTTATTGTTGTTGTATAGCTAGGTGACTGCACTTGACTTTTTGTTTATGTTAACGTCTATTGCGTATCACGGCTGTTTGTTTAGTTTGGGTTTTGTACAGATTTATATTACAAATAATTACCTTTGCTGTCCTGTGGGAATTCTCTTTTTGTTGTTTGGCTGTTTTCCTGGTTTAGATGTGTTAAAGACGTTTAACCTTTTCGAGAAAATGCAAGTTAAATCATGCGATTAAAGCTATTGATCATGAACTTATCTTTTGTTGCTACTGTCCACTTGCCAATATCTTTGGTTCTTTCTGGAGACTGGTACATTGAGTCCACCTGTACAGGTAGTGTAACTAATTTCTTACATTCTTCACTTCTTGTATTGCACTGCACAACTGTATTAGCGCTTTGCTGATTGTGTAAGACATCGGGAGACAGGTACCTTGATTTACCTGCACAGGAAGTGGCCCTGGGCTCTAATTTCGCACTGTATACACTTAAAATTGACTAACAAACTTAACTATACTGTGAATAATTTATTGTTACTGATAGACGTTTATTACTTTCTTACTCTTTAGAAGCGCTCTCTACGGTAGGAGCTTTCTGGGAAATTAAGCGTAAGGCGTAAGCAGTGGCGGCCCGTGACATTTCATTTTGGTGAGGCAGAGGCAGGGTTTCGCCCTCATTTAAAGGCAAAGAAATTTTTTTAAACCCAACTTAAACTTAAACTTTACAATTTCTCATCGTAATATCCATAATGACTAAATTCACATAAATCACCAAGTTCAATTAACTATACCACTTACAAAAGAATCATAAAATAGACAAACTCATAGAAAAAGAATAAACAAAATATTGCGTAAATAAACAGATTAGTTCTTTGAACAGTTCAGAATTTTATAACCAAAACAAACCTAAAGAAGGAATCTGTATTTATTTTATTGGTTACTGTGATGGCTACAAGATGGCGATAGTGTTAAAATATGTTTATTTTAGAATGGAAATATAATTTCGATTAAATCGATTTATTATAAGAAAAACAATACCATTCATTATTGAATTTTGAAAAACGTGTGAAGTATAATTTATCTAAAATTCGGAAACAGTGTTGCCACAACACCTGCTTATTTCCTTGGATGTAGGCGTGCCTGCCTCGCGTTTGCTAATACGAAAGAAGGAGACAACTATGATATCGCATTGTAATAGAACGAGACAACAAGGCTAACGCCAATCGTAAGTCTAAATTAGTTCATGCATGCTTCTGAGCCAATCATCTAGCTATAAATATTAGTTTAAATTGCGGTCGTTTCAAAATCAATCAATTTTATTGACTATTTTACAATTCATGTAATCCAAATATTAAAAATTTATAGTATATTATAGAAAGTAAAATATTTAAATTATACTTAATTTTTTAATTCTCTATGATGAGGCACTGCCTCACCTGCCTCCCCATATAGGTGTGAAGACTGCTTTAGTATGCGAGTTCGAAAATCAATATTAGTGAGAGTGGGGATGCGTGAACGTGACGTAGAGGGAATATTAGCAGGTGTATTCGTGGCGTAAGAAATGAGTGGCTTTGCATAACTTATGCAGCATAAGTACGATGGCATATTGCCTACGTTTTTTTACATTTTCTATCAAAAACTGTTGTTTCACTCTTAAAATTTCTTTTGGTTTTCACTGAACTTGATCGACAGGGTGAGAAATGAATGTGATCCGGCTCTGGCCCTCCTGGGGGACTATTTACAAGGAAACAACTCTGTACTTCAAATCGGGGCTGTATTTGGCATCGGGCTCGCGTACGCAGGTAAAACACCAAACCCCCACACGCAAAACATTAAACTTTACAACTCTCGACGTACGTTAGGCACGGCAAGAGAAGACGTGTTGGATCTCCTCCTCCCGATCATAAACTCCAACGCCTCCCCGGACGTTTTGGGCATAACCTGCCTGTCGTGCGGCCTCATAACCCTGGGCAGGAGCGACAACGACGCGGCCACCGCGATCCTGGACAAAATAATAGAGGTCAACAACACGGACGCCCTGAAAACTCCGCACATGAAGCTGGCCGGTTTGGGGGTGGCTCTGTGCTACTTCGGCATGAAGGACGCCATCGATGCCCCCAGCATGGCGATGGAGGTGTTCGAGGAGCCGTTCAAGACCACCATGCAGTGCATGCTGAAGATGTGTGCCTACGCTGGTACGGGGGATGTCTTGGTCATACAGGAACTGCTCAGGATTGTTGGTAAGATTTTCGGAAAAAATACCCCTCCAACATTCCAAAATAATGACAGTCATATTTAAAATGTTTAAAATGCGTTTTGTAGGATCTTAAATTTGAATCGAGTACCTATAAAACATCCTCTTCACTGTGAATTTGACAAACCAACACTGCCATTTTAAGGAACAGATTCCTAACACCAATTTGGTTACTCTATTTTTGTTTAGATCTACGCTCTACACAAATATTTAAATTAATTAGAAATAAGTTATTTTTTTAAATTGGATTAAGTAGAATAATAAAAAATCAATCAAAAATTTTAAAAAAATTGAGAAATTTGATCCAACCTGGAAACGCGGCATTTTGACGTTTTCTTCGTCATATGTCACCTGTTATCTGTCATCTGTCAACTTGACACCTGTCAAAGTGTGTTCGGAATTTTTTAAACTAGTTTTTTATAGTACTCATGCGTAGAATACACGCTTGCAATTTTTTCGTTACATAGCAATCAAATAAATTTTCCACTGGGTTTTATACTCGTACATTGGATTAAAAAAAATTAATGAAAACTTTACATAATCAAAAATAAAAAAAAAATTGAGAAATTTGATCCAACCTGGCAACGTGGCTTTTTGACGTTTTCTTCGTCATATGTCACCTGTTATCTGTCATCTGCCAACTTGATACCTGAATTTTTTTAAAACATTAATCTCGAAAACAATAAAACTAGTTTTTTATAGTTTTTCATGCGTAGAATACACGGTTGTAATTTTTTCGTTACATAGCAATCGAATAAATTTTCTACCGGGTTTTATACATTGGATTAAAAAAAAACTAATGAAAAAAAAAAAATAAAAAAAAAAATTAGAAATTTGATCCAACCTGGCAACGTGGCTTTTTGACGTTTTCTTCGTCATATGTCACCTGTTGTCTGTCATCTGTCAACTTGACACCTGCCAAAGTGTGTTCGGGATTTTTTTTAAACATTAATCTCGAAAACAATAAAACTATTTTTTTAAAGTTTATTTGTGCGTAGAATAGACGCTTGTAATTTTTTTGTCACATAGCAATCGAATAAATTTTCCACTGGGTTTTATACAATGGATTCAAAGAAAATTAATGAAAACTTCAATCAAAAATAAATAAAAAATGAGAAATTTGATCCAACCTGGCAACGTGGCTTTTTGACGTTTTCTTCGTCATATGTCACCTGCTATCTGTCGTCTGTCAACTTGACACCTGTCAAAGTTTGTTCGGGATTATTTTTTTAAAACCTTAATCTCGAAAACAATAAAACTAATTATTTTATAGTTTTTCATGTGTAGAATACACGCTTGTAATTTTTTCGTTACTTAGTTTCGTTAGTTTTATACAGTTCGGCTCCAGCTCTCGAGAAGACGAGTCGCGTCACGCGGGCGAGCTCTTGAAACGTAAAAGTTTAAAGATGAAACCAACAATAATTAAAAAAAAAGGGGTGCGAACTGATAAGTGAAACAAACATATTCATGGAGTGCAAGCTAAATGGTGTAACGGTCATTGAGGAGTGGAGTGTTGGGTAATATGAATGACTTGGGTGCCACCTGTCATTGGAGGCTTTTCACTGGACGGACGGGGGAGGTCGGAGAAGAGGGGAGGTGGCCATCCGCAAAGGGAAAAATCTGATAAGTTTTACTTTAAGAGTATGCATGACCTGATACAAATCTGCAATATAAATACGGCAAGCATTTTCCGTTATTTGTCACCATTAACATTGCCCGTATTCATTTCATTAAACATAACATTTATTTTACTTGAAAATGTTAAAATAACTTTAAAATATGATTATGTTAAGAACTTTAAACAATTGTTTTGTTTTTAATTACTATCATTGCAAAATTGTATTAAAAAGTGTTAAAAATTCTTACACGGGCAATGTTAATGGTGTTAGGTATCGTTAAAGTGTTTATTGGGATATCAAAACCCATGAAGGGCACGCGGCGTGGGGCAATAAGTCTGTCAACAGCAAATGCGTAAGGCGGTCCCAATCGAGACCGAAATAAACACTGGACTGACAGAGTAAACTAACATTGAACACATAATTCTAACACATTAAAAAAAAGGGCCTAATAGCCAAACTCGAGATTTGTAAACATTAGACAACAGAATAATCGCGCTTGTGATTTGTTTGACTAGTGAATAAATGCAAGCTTTGGAATTTGATAAACAAAGACGGAACTCTACCACAAAACGTGCTTGGGACAAAAATATTAAAAACAACTGACACACTTTACCAAGGGCAGGAACTATCTGACCAGAACACGGACAATGACAATAACGAACAAGACAAAGACCTTGACTAGGAAACTACACCCCTGCAGCGAAATAACAACTCCCCAACTCCAAATAGTAATCCCAAATGTTTGGAGTATTACTAATCGACTGGTCTAGGGGGATTCCGCGTCGTACTTAGTTTTAAGTCGGCGTAATTGTCCCCCAAAAACCAACTCCCTCCCGTCCCTCATCCATACCCCACCGAGCGTATAGCATAGGCTCGGCGAACCCGGGAATGGCTATTATAACTATTCGCCTCTCGCTCTCGAGCCCCAAATAGGGGACAGTACGGAACGCAATGGACATTCGCACCCAGCAAACACGGGTGAAGCCGTGCAGTTGCTGGGAAAGAACAAAAATCGGCGTAAGTAAACATAGGCCTGTACGGGGTTCGAGAGTCAAGAGGAAATGGGGCTGGTTATACGTCTCTTATACTCATACTCATACTCATACTTAGTTTCGTTAGTTTTATACATTGGATTAAAAAAAAATTACTTAAAACTTCAAACAAAAAACTACTGAGCCTAGTTTAACCGATTAAATTCATAGTTCTCGTGATATAATATATGATTAAAAAAAATAATAATGAAAACTTCCAACAAAAATAAAAAGAAATTGTGAAATTTGATCGAACCTGGCAACGTAGCTTTTTGACGTTTTCTCCGTCATATGTCACCTGTGTTCGGGATTTTTTTTTTAAAACAATAATCTCGAAAACAATAAAACTAGCTTTTTTTAGTTTTTCATGTGTAGAATACACGGCTTGTAATTTTGTCGTTACATAGCAATCGAATAAATTTTCCACTGGGTTTTATACAATGGATTCAAAGAAAATTAATGAAAAGTTCAATCAAAAATAAATAAAAAATGAGAAATTTGATCCAACCTGGCAACGTGGCTTTTTGACGTTTTCTTCGTGATATGTCACCTGCTATCTGTCATCTGTCAACTTGACACCTGTCAAAGTTTGTTCGGGATTATTTTTTTAAAACCTTAATCTCGAAAACAATAAAACTAGTTATTTTATAGTTTTTCATGTGTAGAATACACGCTTGTAATTTTTTCGTTACTTAGTTTCGTTAGTTTTATACATTGGATTAAAAAAAAAATTACTTACAACTTCAATCAAAAATAAAAAAAAATTGAAAAATTTGATCCAACCTGGCAACGTGGCTTTTTGACATTTTGTCACCTGTTATCTGTCATCTGTCAACTTGACACCTGTCAAAGTGTGTTCAGAAATTTTTTTATAAACCTTAATCTCGAAAAAAACAAAACTACTGTTTTATAGTTTTTCATGTGTAGAATACACGATTGTAATTTTTTCGTTACTTAGTAATCGAATAAATTGGATTAAAAAATTAATGAAAACTTCATTCAAAAATAAAAAAAAAATGAGAAATTTGATCCAACCTTGACGATTTCTTCAACATGTCACCTGTTATCTGTCAACTTGACACTGTTTTTTTTTAAACCTTAATATCGAAAACAATAAAACTAGTTTTTTATAGTTTTTCATGCGTAGAATACACGCGTGTAATTTTTTCGTTACATAGCAATCGAATAATTTTCCACTGGGTTTTATACATTGGATTAAAAAAAAAATTGAGAAAATTGATCCAACCTGGCAACTTGACTTTTTGACGTTTTCTTCGTCATATATCTGTCATCTGTCAACTTCGCACTTTTGAAAGTGTTTTTTATAGTTTTTCACACGCTTGTAATTTTTTCTATACATAGCAATCGAATAAAATGAGCTAGCCCTGACGTGCCGAAAAAGTTTCACTTAGCAAGTGGGGATTTCATTTTTCGTAAACATTGCACTTTCAGGGGACAAACTGGATATGCCGGAAGACGAACTCCCGCGAAAAGCGAGCGAGCTGAAAAAGAAAACCGACTGGGACTACTGCAGCGGCCAGGCGATGGCCACCCTGGCGGTGGCTGCAGTCTCGATAGGCGAGGAAATCGGCGTCGAAATGGTGCACCGAATTTTCGGGCACGTCGGTCGCTACGGGGAGACGTCCGTCCGCAAGGCGGCGCCGCTGGCGATCGCCCTCACCTCGGTCTCCAACCCGCAGCTGACCGTCATCGACATCCTGACGAAGTATTCGCACGACGTCGACGACGACGTGTCGTGCAACGCCATCTTCAGCCTGGGCTTCATAGGCGCCGGCACCAACAACGCCAGGTTGGCCATGAGCTTGAGGCAGTTGGCCGTGTACCACTTGAAAAATCCGTCGCAACTGTTTATGGTGCGCATCGCGCAAGGTTTGGTGCACATGGGGAAGGGAACGATGACTTTGAACCCATTGCACACGGACAGGCAACTTGTGGACCCCGTGGCCATGGCAGGTAAGCGTTCTATTAATTGTCAATTTTTTTTTCTCTTTAAGCCTCATTCAGAAACTTGAAATAGTGGAAAAAATTATTGGTTTCAATTATACTTATAATTAACACAAAACAATCATTCACAATGCGCAAAATTAACATCTAAAATTAAGGAAATTTGCTAAAAGATTGTCCATTCTTCTTAATAATTTATATAACCTTTCCTTCACTAGCAAATCTTCGCTTTTGAAATGCGCACATGCGCAAAGCCGCTTTCCAATTATAATTAGTGGTAAAAGTCAGAAGTTTGCAAACTTTTTCCACTAATTAAAAAGTACTACCACTAGTTTTTTGGTTGTGAACACTGTATATTCATAAGACAAACTTTTACGTTAATTGAAACTACTAATTATGAGGTTCTGAATGAGGCTTTAATTCTCATAGGATGTGGCAATAAAACTAGAAGACAACAAGAAATTTGCAATTTATTTTTAATATTTATTTTATTTTTTAGCATCTATGCTAACAAAGAAATATAAAATAAAAATATATATCGACACTTGCTATTTGTAGAATTACAAAAAACAATACTAAACTGAAAAAGTTTGACATTGAAATTAAATATTTTAAGAAAGTTTATAAGCATTTCTAATTTTATCAAACCCCCATTATAAAGTCTTTTAATAAAAACATCAAAACATTATTAAAAACTATAAATTTTCCACTTTTAATAATTAATATTAATTAGGGTTTTAAAATTTCCAGAAAAATTAAGCCGGCGAAAAAATTGGGAAATTTTCAGAAAAATTTACTTTTGCACTTTTTTCATTTTATTTAAATGGTAATGCGGAAAAAATTATGAAAAAAGTGAATTTTCGACTCTGATTATAATCATATAAAACATATACTTAAAAAAGGAGAACTTTAGTGATATGTTAAACAAATATTAGAAATATTCCCCAACACCAAAACAAAACACAAAGTGCTTAAAGTAAAAAATTGAGCCGGGGGAAAAACCGGAAAAATTGGGAAAGTTTCAGAAAAATTGACTTTTTCATTTTATTCAAAGGGTTCCTTATACGTTAAATTGGAAAAGTTAATTTTTGACTGATACCGAGAGAAAAGTGAATAATATTATGATGATAATAATTATTTCTTTTATTTTAATTAAGGAAGAATATTCCACCGGTTCGCAAAAAAAACATATTCGGTGCTGTAATATTGGACATTTCGATTTATAAAATTTTAATTTTGTAATTTAACTTTTAACTTTTTTTTAAAACACGTGTTTTTTCAGAAAAAAATATTTTTTACAATAAAACTTAAATTTGATTATTTTTAACGTTTTAATTTTTCAAAGTTTTCTTAACAATAAAATTGTCTTTACGCTAATAAACTCTATACTTCCGAAAGCATACTCCCTTAAAATGAATCAGTGGAATTTTACTGATCCGACCAGTGAGTAAAATGTTTACTGGTAAACCAGTGAAATTTTAGGTTTTTTACTGATTGATATTAATATTTACTAATTCAGTCAGTGAAATTCAGATTTTACTGTACAACCAGTGGGATCCACAGGAAAATTAGTGAAATTCCACTTATTCAATTTAAAAGAGCATGTAAATTTTAAACCAAAATCCACTAAACCCAAATTTGGGTTGCAGTATCATAATAATTAACCAATTAATTGCAAAAATTTTTATTTTCAAAATTCTAGTAACCTTATTTCATGACCGCGTTTCCTCAATAAAATGTTAAGGTGGATTTAGAGGGTTTTGGAACTAGGCGATTTAACCCCTAACTCACAATTTAGTGTTTATTGAATAACCTTGAAAGTTCATAAAATTTAACTTTTATGAAATAAATTACACAGTGACTAGAGGCACGCTAACGTACCGCGATTGAAAATATTAAAGGCACGTTAGTTACGTCATAATTATAATCCGTTTTTGTTCCCCGAGCATTTGATATTTGTCATCAAGCTAGATAGCTTATATGGTAGGGCGTTCGCTTGGCATGCGAGAGGTCCCGGGTTCGATACCAAGAAGCCGTCGAATTTTTTTAATTTTTTTATTTCATAAATTTGTTGTTTCTTTGTTAAACAGTGTTCGGTTGGGTTGGGTTGGTTGGTTTGTTTTAGTTTTATCGTAACATAAAATCTACTAGAAGTTGTCGAACTTTTTTTATTTCATAAATATGTTGTTCCTTTGTTAAAAAGTGTTTTATTTTTATCGTAACATAAATTTGCCCATTTTAGTTGGGTTTTTTGTTCAATGGGGCGGGGGGGGGCCAATGGGGCGGGGTCGGTTGGGTTGTGTTGTTGAGTTTGGGATGGTTTGAGTTTATGACGTAACTAACGTGCCTTTAACATTTCAAATCGCGGCACGTTAACGTGCCTCTAGTCACAGCGAATAAATTATGAATTATAAATAAGATTGAACAGCGCATGTGCTAACAATTTTTCTCTCTCCATTTTTTAAGGTTATAATTAATAATTATTGTGTTTTGTCTTTGTGCCTTAAAAAATACTACAAGTTCTTACAAAACATAAATTTTAATGAGGAATTTTGTGTTATTTGTCACTTTTAATTATCCATATTGTCATTTGAAAAAATAAAATATATACGACCTGTTCAAGGATTTTTTTGAACAAAAAAGCCGAATTTTTCAATGAATTTGTTCCATACTTTCGCCAGTCACTGTAGATAAAAGGTAATGTCAAAAACTATTGCATACAGAATTTTTAAACTGTACAATGTTACTTACTTATTATTTACCCCTTATTTGACACTTCAACCAGTTATTTGACATTAAACATTGCAGGTCTTCTAATCACTCTAATACCCCTCTTGGACCCGCATTCCACAATTCTGGGCCGCTCCCACTACCTCCTCTACTCGTTGGTCACCGCGATTCAGCCCCGCTGGCTTCTAACCCTCGACGAAAATCTCGAAGCCGTCCCTGTGACGGTCAGAGTGGGCCAGGCGGTGGACGTGGTGGCCAAAGCGGGAACCCCGAAAACGATCGCGGGGATCCACACGCACTCGACCCCCGTCCTATTGGCCGCCGGGGAAAGGGCGGAGCTGGCCACCGACCAATACGAGAGCTTCGCGCCCACCATGGACGGCATATGCGTTTTGAAGAAGAAAAGCGAGGGCGGGGATTGAATGTTTAAGGTTTTTGTATCATTATTATCGATAATAAATGTTTAAGGAACAAGATAATCTTTATTAATTTCAGAAGTATATTACAAAAAAATCTTAACCTAACTATTTATTGCTTTTGTCAACGGGACGTTATTTTAATTTGTTTAGTAAATAGTCATTTAAATTTCAAGCAAACACAAATAATTTGACAACGTCGCAAATAGCACTACACGTAGCCATTTTTTTGACATACAACGCAAATAATGCGTTTCTCATAACAAAATCAACGTGGCAATGTCGCTTTGAGCGTTAGGTGTTGCCATTTTCACTGTACTTTAAATTATAGGTAAAAAGCATTCACAAGATAAAATATCACAGAAATATAAACATTCAGTAGGTAACAATTTCATATACATATCTTTATAACCATTTTTTTCATAAAATATTGATATTTTCAGTTTTCATCACATTTTACCCGTCATATTTACTTAATTATAATTAAGAGCACTTTTTTAAATAAGTTAATTAATAAGTCAGTCTAAATTTAGATATTGCTTACCTATAAGTACTTAGTTTGTTCTTTTTTGATTTTTGCTACATAACGATGAAAAAGCTCTGAAAGCCTTAAACCTAATTTTTTTATTTTTTGTAGGGGTGGTTTGACATTCAGCCTCCAAGGTTTTCTTGGGGGGTTGTGGGGCAGGGTTTTTGTATTTCCTCCTTTTCTCCAACATGGGTAACTTTCCTTTTACCAACAATTCTTGTTGTAATTCTACAATTAAGAAAGTATATTTACCTATAGAAATGTTACCAAAAGTGTTTTATATACCTCTCCTCTCATCTATAAGCCTCTGCAATTTTTCCTTCATCGTTTCTTTTTCATCGACCTCCAATTCGAGTATTGCATTCTTTTCTAATGCATTATCAAATGAAACTTTTATATCATTAATACTTTCTTCCATAATTCTTTTACAAGTCTCCAGATTGTCATTTTTTTGCTCCAACTCTCTTATATGCTCATGCAACAATAAATTTTCCTCACTTAAAGTCGAAACTTTTTGTTCCAAGTTATTATTATCTCTACCTAACTGTTCAACTTTGTTTTTTTGCATATCCAACTCTATTTGAATTTTATTTGTAACCAAAGTCAACTCTTTAATTTTTTGCTCATTTTGATCGATTGTAGCCTCCAATTCTTTCTCCAACTGCTGTGACTCAAATACATACTCCTCAGACTCTTGTTGTAGCTTGTGCAAACTAAATCTTACATAAATAAACAAATATTACAATAATCTTATAATTCTTACCAATCCTTTACATCTTCTACCCTTAATTTCCAGTATTCAACCTCTGCATCTGTACTTTTAAACACGACAGCTTTTTCTTCGTTCATTTTAACAAAAAAGTAACACCACAAATCTTGAATTAATTAAAATGAGTCAGTTTAACATCCCACATAAAAAATAACTGGAGCAGAATAAGTACTATTTATAAATCCGTTTAATTTTACGGTTTCTTTCATTGTTTCACTGGTTTTAACTGAAAAAATCATCATAATAAACGGCCATAACTTTTTTTGATTTTCAAAAAAAAAACTATGTGGGCGGTAATATGAATCCCAACAGGTGGCGCTGTCAAATGACAAAAAAATAATTTAGGGCTTTAATCTTTAGGCGAAGGTTGAAGGGCATTTTAAATCATAATAATTAAATTAAAGCCTAAAAATACATCTAATCGAGAATATTGTGTTTATTCGTTTTTTTATAAAAAAAAAACTATCAAATAACACGCTCAACCGGTAAAACAGTTTTCATGCCAGCGACAAATGTCATAAAGAACTGTCATTTATAAAATAAGAAGTTGTTTATAAAATGTCGAATAAAGCATCTAATTTGAAAATACAGCTGGGGAATATAATCATCGGTGGTGGAACACATAAAGAACAAGCCGAAAAGTAATAAAACCACCTTATTTAATGCATAATTACTCATAATAAAAATATTTCTTTTAGGTACCGCAAAACATTGGACTGTATTTTAAAAGAAACTGAGAACGATTTGGTTGAATGTTTGCAGATATTTATTGAAGCCAGTAAGTGGTGTAATAATTTCCATAGTTAAACTTATTATAACCTTAAATTTTAGTTGTTAACGAAAATGTAAGTTTGGTTATATCCAGACAGATTTTAAGCGAAATAAGTACTCAGTTAATGAAATTGCCTGATGAAGTTAGTAAAATTGTGTCACATTACATGCTTGAAAAGGTGCAACCAAGAGTTATTTCATTTGAAGAGCAAGTCGCCAGTATTCGACAACATTTATCTCAGATATATGAAAGAAATCATTTATGGAAAGATGCTGCTTTGGTTTTAGTGGGTATACCTTTGGAAACAGGACAAAAGCAATACTCAGTGGACTACAAACTGGAAACCTACCTAAAAATAGCCAGATTATATCTCGAAGGTAATTTTTTTGTAACTTTATATTTTTCATACATTTTTCCACTTTCAGATGATGATCCTGTTCAAGCTGAAGCCTTTATCAACAGGGCTTCGTTATTGCAGGCTGAATCGACAGATGAACAGCTTCAAATCTACTATAAAGTGTGCTATGCAAGGGTTTTGGATTATCGTAGAAAGTTCATTGAAGCTGCTCAGAGATATAATGAGTTGAGTTATAGGGTGATTGTGAGAGAAGAGGAGAGAATGAGGGCCCTTAGAAATGCTCTGGTTTGCACAGTGCTGGCCTCTGCTGGTCAGCAGAGGTCCAGAATGTTGGCAACACTTTTTAAGGTAAGATGTTTTGTTTGTTTTATTTTCATTACACCATATTTTTTTTAATTTTATTATTTCAAGGTCAAACATTTTATTATTAACTGTCAAAAACCAGATTAGTTTAAAATTCCAGGTTTAATATTTAACTTTTATGTGAAACATTAGACATTTTGGAAGGTTTTAATTTTTTTCTGAAATAAAAAATTCTTTTGAAAAATATTTAACAATTTGTTGATTTTAAAAAAGCTTTTAGGATTGCAATATTTTTTTAAAGTACCTAGGTACCCAGGAAGTTTAAAAAATCCTATATCATTTAAAAACGTTTTTAAATCATATGGCGTTTTTTAAAATACATAATAATTACTTAATAATTAATTTTATTAAATTTTAATTTATTTTTTAACCTTACATTCACAGAATAATTACCACTTAACACCAAGTAACACTTAAACTAAATTCATGGTCAAATTTCGTTTTTTTAACCTAATTTTATTATTTGTCGACGCGGACGTCAAAAATTTGTCAAATTTTTGACAACTGTGAACTTTTGTCATTATCAGGGTCACGGTCTTATATAAGACCGTGATCAGGGTAAAACATGACATTTGTTAAATTTTTGACAGTTGTGAACTTTTGCATTATTAGCATGGAGCCTACACAAGGAGCCCGAACTTAATAGGGAAAATTGACAAAACCTGCCCTCTAAATTGCACAAATTAAGTCTTTTTTTTTCACCACCAGCGGCGCTGATTGTTGATGCGTCCTGACGTCTGCTCTTTTGGTAGCGTTTCGGTACAAATTAGTCAATTGTTTCAGAATAAACGGGACAACAGCGCCTACTTTCCTTGGGAAGATTCTTGTTTACATGCAGTTCGGACTCCTTGTGTAGGCTCCATGATTATTAGGCTCAAACATGTCAAAAACAGCTGTTTTTAAATCATATGGCGTTTCTTAAAAACTACTTAAATATTTTTTAATCTTGGACAGCTATGAAATTTTCTCATTATAAGGGTCAACATGTCAAAAACAGCAAATGTTTATGTTTTTGTGGCTTTTTATGAAATTACCATTTAAGACTTGCATATATGCAAAGTAGAGTATACACTATTTTTTTCTATAACTCATAATAAAATAGAAAATAAATCATATAATATATAATAACTAAATAAAAAACACTTAAAAAATTACTTGTCAAAATTAATAAAGCTTAAATCTGTCAAATCTCCAAGGCTATAGTTGATATTGCCGTGCATCGCATTTCTATTGGTTAATGTTGCCGTATCATAATTTGTATCATAATGGATCCCATTATAGTACAGGTAGGAAATGTATGAGTAGAAACACATTCTTTAAATTTCCAAACGTCAAACAAACAAAATTTTGACGTAATTTTAGGACGAAAGATGCCAACAATTGCCCGCCGTTGGCATATTGGAAAAAATGTATCTGGAGCGCATCATACGCAGGGACGAACTCAGGGATTTCGAGGCCCTCTTGTACCCCCATCAAAAAGCCTCGACCATCGACGGTTCCACGATCTTGGACAGGGCCGTAATCGAACACAATTTACTGTCGGCCAGCAAATTGTACAATAACATCAGTTTCGAGGAATTGGGGGCCCTTCTTGAAATTTCTCCCTCGAAAGCTGAAAAAATCGCCAGCCAGATGATAACTGAAGGGAGGATGAACGGGTACATCGATCAGATTGATTGTATAGTTCATTTTGAAAGTATGTTATATACAGTAGACTGGGCCAAAAAAATCTATTTTTTTTAAGTTTATCATCGCAATTTTAATTTTTTTTTTCCTCAGCAAGTTTTTGTCTCAGAACTCCCAAACCATTGAGTTTAACAAAATTGACATAGAAATATGTTTTTAAGAAAATTAAATGCCTTACAAAAAAGGTTAAAATGAAATTTTCCGTCAGATGAACCGTTTCCTTAAAATCATGCCTTAAAAATTGGTATAGTTTTACATTTTGATCTTTTAACTTTGGAATTTTGTAAATCATGTAAAAATCAGTACCCAGAAAAAAACCGATGAATATTCTTATGGAAAATCAAATGCTTTACAAAAAAAGCCTCTTAACATTTTTGGCTAAATTCACTCAATCAAAAGTTATTCAAGGTTAAGTTGAAGTCAATACGAAATTCTTGTTTTTTCCTCTGTAGATTTTTTTTTTATAGATGATAATTTGATTTTTTTTTATAACTAATTAACAATTTCCAATAAAAAAACATGATTGTTATTATTTAAACGATTAAATAGTAAACAGTGAAAATAATATTTTCTAAAGAAAATAGCTTCTTAAAGCGAAAAAATTCTGTTATTTTTTTTTTAATTTTCAGTAATTTTATCAATATCATAAAGATTATCATCAATAAAAGAATTCAAGTTTTTAACTGACCCAAAAAAAATCTAGATCGGAAAAAACAAGAATTTTGTTTTAACTTGAATAACTTTTGATGGAGTGAATTTAGCCAAAAATGTTAGGAGACTTTTTTGTAGAGAATTTGATTTCCCATAAGAATATCTATCGGTTTTTTTTCCGGGTACTGATTTTTACATGAATTACATAATTCCAAAGTTAAAAGATCAAATTGTAAAACTATACCAATTTTTAAGGCATGATTGTAAGAAAACGGTTAATCTGACGGAAAATTCCAATCAAACCTTTTTTGTAGAGCATTCAATTTTCTTCAAAAAATATTCCCAAGTCAATTTTGTTAAACTCAATGGTTTTGAAGTTCTGAGACAAAAACTTGCTGAGAAAAAAAAAAATTAAAATTGCTGATAGACCTCTTAATATTAATATTATGGACTCAAACTTCCACAATAATTTTTTTTGTCACCAAAACCATATTTTCGATATACTTAAAAAAAAATGCTTGATTTTTTTGGCCCAGTTTAATATACAGAAGGGTCTAAAATTGTTAATTTATTTTTTTTTAGCTCGTGAAACTTTGCCTCAATGGGATAAACAAATTCAGTCATTATGTTATCAAGTTAATTCAATTATCGATCAAATATCTGATCATCACCCTGACTGGATTTTGAAAGTAATGGATGAACAAATGGTATCATAAAATAAAAACAATTTTTACAATTTATGTGATATTCACTACTAATAATAATAAAAATTAAATTAAGTTATTGTACTGTTCTTTATTTACAAAAAATATTTTTTACAGGTTTATACAACTATTTTACATTTCTGTATATGGAAGCTGATAATTTACACAATTTTACAAACTTTTGGCAACCAAATCACATTTAATACTGCTATTTTCCTATGTGGTAAGACACTATTACTTTGGTCACGTCAATTTTTTAAGTATGTATTAATAATTACTTGTACTTTGATTCCATTAAAAAAATAAAGGAAGACTAAAATTTAATTAATTTAAAAAAAAAGTAAAAAAAAATCACAAAATGTCAATATAAATATTTTAAAACCGCGTAGTAATGAACTGCCGCGGCCATTACAACAAACAAATGCCAAACGGCGTGAGCAAACGGAAAAACACCGTCACATTTAAAAAATATTACGCCTAAAACGTACAGAAGACCTCCTATACTCAATTCCGTTATCCCAGAGATTAAATGCTGTAAATAAAATTCGTCAATTTTGACACTTACAAACGTCAAACTTTGACATATGTCAAACCATACATAACCACACTTACCTCAGTCAAAATCGTTAAAGAAGGCCCAATTCCCATAAACAAATAAAATAAGGTTTCCAAAGTTTTGTATTTTTCGTGGAAAGTTTGTTGATAAACAATTCCTAAAAAGGCCATGACCCATACAATCCAATTCATGGAAGAGGCCCAACCTTCGTTGGGGAGTTGTTCAATAGTTAACCATGGAAAATATGAACCTGCTATGAAAATATATATCATTCCTCTGTCGCACCTGTGTAAAACGTCTTTGAGGTTCCTAAAATCATTTTCGTAATGTCGGAATTTAATTAGTTTTAAAATTGTTTTTAGAATGAATTTTAAAAGTTTTTGCTCATATTTGAATTCAAAACATAGGCAGCCATGTAAACAAAACACAATCACGCCGTTATAATGTCATTTAACTGTCAACTTCTTTGTGTCAAATTTTAGTTTGAAAAAAGATGTTTAGTTTTAAATTAAAAAGTATTATGGATAATAATTTAGTACAAATAATTAAATTAATTCTTTGGAAACGAATTGATTAAACTGTTAACAGACAAAAATGCAATTTTAACGCATTTAACAGCTTTAAAATTATAAATATTAAGGCGGCCATGATTCATGACATACAAATGTCAGTTGAGCCACAATTGTGAGTTTAGCTGTCAAGAGTGATATTTGAAATTGAAAATAATCGTTAAACAGTTTGTTTCAACATGTTTATTAGTGAAAAAGTAAGTAATTATTATGTTAAAAATGTTATTTAAAGCTTTTTAAACGTTTTTTTATTAATTTTATAAACTTGATAACGCTTTTTTCTTACCTATGTTTGTTGCAATAAAAAACGCAATGAAAAGACGTGGAAACACTAAATAAAAATATTAATGTAGCACCATAGACAAGGGCTGATACGTATTGAGGTGTTGTATGGGCTCTATCGAGCATATGCATCGTTGCCATAATGCTGGGCATTACCCATATACCATGGGTTATTATATTTGCTATGTGTTCTATGGGGGTGGGGCAATAGGCCTCGTTTGGTAGAGCTTTTCGGTTCATCCATTTTATACTAAAAAAAATAATTTGTTATAAAAATTTTTGGATTAATTTTTGTTACCTTTTTAGTTCGTTGTTTTTGTTGAAAAATATTCTGGTGTAGCTTAGGATGTCTTGAGCAATGCTTTGTAGCATACCTGAATAATAAAATGACTATAAAGTGAATTTTTAGGTAATGTGTTTATTAAAGTTTTTGTCGACCAATAGAATTTATTCAATGGTGTCCTGTTTTTAAATTTTTATCAAAAAGGAATACATTATTAGATTTTCTTTGTTAATTTTGAAAAATGTACCTATTAATAATTGAATCCTTGTTCCATTTAATTCAAGGTAGTTATTATTATTTTTACATTAAATACTCATAATTTACATCAATAAAAAATAGGTACCCCTTACAAAAATATATAATGAAACGCTGCAATCAGGAATAAACGAATAATTCGTTATCTTATTTGAATTTCTTACCAGAAAATAGATAAACAAAAACTCAGTTCGTTAGCCCACCCATAACAGCTGACTGTCGGGCCTTGTTGTCAGATTTACCCGGAAAAATGCGATAATTATAAAGCCTGATTTATAGATTGCCTTTCTTCCTTCCTCCCTTAAAAGATGAACAATCCGAAAATCGTAGTGCCATTTATAGATTCCCGTACGGGAATCTATAAACAGCACAACAATTATTGTTGTATTGTCATCTTTTACGTGAGGAAGGGAGGAAGGAAGGAAGGCAATCTATAAATCAGGCTTAAATTGTAAAAATCCTTGTCATGAAAAAAGTCATGAAATGTTTTTTTCGTAGAATATACAATAAAAACTACTTTTATGCACAATTCTGCTTTTATGTTTATATTTTGACGAATTTGGCATTCGTTATATAAGTTATATAAGCACACAAGGGTGCGGCACCCTGGGTGCCGTTGTAATTTATTTTTACTACAATTTAGATTTTATTATTTATTATAGGTTATTATTATTTTATTTATTAATTATACCTACCTACTTACTTTCTAATTTTGATGCAGTTTTTTAGACTAAATGAGAATGACAATTTATGACATTGTCAAATTTCACCTAAAATTTGGCAATATTATAAATTTTCACTTATAATACCACAAGAGCTTCAAAATTATCGGGTATTTTTCCCGATAGGTTCGTTGCAAACAAATGAAGGAGTCAAGTTTTTCAGGTTAAAAAATCACGAGCGCGAAGCGCGAGTGATTTTTCCTGAAAAACTTGACGACTTTATTTGTTTGCAGGGAACCTTGAGGGAAATGCCAGATAATTTTGAAGCTCGTGTGGTATTCGGGGGATTATTTTTCCGTCCCAAATGTCGGTCAATAGAATTGCACCATGTACAGTTAACAAATAAGAATTTCATAATGAATAAAACAACATTTAATTAAGATTTAATTTGTTTTTTATATATAGCAACTACCAGAGAAAATTTTCAACAAATTATCGCTGTAATTCGCTGTAGGTTCCCTCAACAACAATGCCTCAACAATGTCCCAACAATACAGAGAACTGTCAAAAAAAATAATCCTTAAAATTCAATTCAATTGAACTGGTGAAGAAAAAAATTAGTGTTTGAAATGTACCTAAATTTTTTTAATTAACAATTTTTATTTTAGATATTTAAGTTCTATTTTGTGAATAGATTTGTATAATTACTAATTAAATTGCAAATATTAACTTTGTATGACCTTGACCAAAATATCGGATTATTGAAAACATAAAAATGTAATATTATTATATCGATGAATTTATATGAAAAATGAATTTCAGAAAAATTAAAAATTCTTGATTTATATTTTATATGTTTATATATATATATATATATATATATATATATTATTTATATTTATATGTTTTATATTTTTTGACGTTTTTTGTGAAGTAATTTTTCATTTATTGGTTAATTGTAGGTGTCAAAAAATATCCAAAAATTTCAGGTTATTTAAATTAAATAGGTACCTATATTAATTAATTGGTGCTAAATAAAAAAAGGTTAAGGATTTAAAATTTAAAATAGGTAGGTACTTACTTTTTTACTGTTACACACAACCTCATGTATAAAACTACCCTCGGCAAAGGGTAGTATTTAAAACTATTATCACAGTTGTTACGTAGAAGTCCGTATAAAGGTTTCACTCGATAATTCTAAATGAATTAACTAGCGTGCTTCGAACTAAATTTAGACAAATTGGAATATAATAGGCCAATAATAAATTTATTGCAATTTGGAATGAACAAAATAAACGTCCTTCAAGTGTTACTTGTTGCTAGCAATTAAAATTACTAGTAATCTAGTTTTAGTTTTTTAAACGATTATAGTTAGTGCTAATTATAAATGCTCAGTTATCTTCAAATGATTATAAAATTGTTTATTAAAAAATTACAAAATAAATAATAAATTAGTTTAAAATTTAATAAAATGATTATTCTAAGCTTGCATAGTTATCGGCTTCAGAATTTTGGCGGGTGAATGGTGAAAAAGTCTAAAAAATTAAAAAATATGTTTTGTGGAATAAACCTAATACCAAATATATTCCCACTCACAGAATAAAAAGAGTGCCTAGAATCTTCGCTTATACACGATTCCATGTCATCTTTTTTACTATTTTGACGATCTATAACCAAAATGGAATCATTAAATCTAAAAAATAAAAATCTCGAATATAGGGATATTTTGCACAATCTCGCAACACCGCTTACTTTTTTTCCACCTCCATGGAATCAACCAACTTCGACTCCTTTTCGTCCACGATTTCGTAGTTTCTTTCCAGATTTATTATTGGTAAATTATCGGAAGTAAACACATTGTTGTCCCTCAAGGTGCTAGAACTGGTGAAATTTCGGAAAAAGTTGAGCGAACTCAGAGAGTTTGTTGTTGTTGTTTTTTTCAGGCCGCCTTCTTCTAGGATATAGAAATGTTGGATTCCTGGGTTTTTTGATTCCCAACTAAAAAAAAATGCAACAATTTGTTTTTTGGCAACACTGTCCGAGAACAGCAACACAATCGTTTACAAAGAATACAGTGTTGAATTGCGCTGTTGTCAGCCTGTTTTGTTAAGTTTTCCCCCCTCTTATTACTTTACAAACAGAATTTTATATCTCAAAAACTGTACTGAAACTACGAATAAAACTTAATTTAAGACTTATTTTAGTAATATAAATAAAAAAAAATAATTCAACTAATTAAATTAATTAAATTATTTAAATTAATTAGATTAATTATATTAATTAAATTAATTAAATTAATTAAATTAATTAAATTAATTAAATTCATTAAATTGATTAAATTCATTAAATTAATTGGATTAATTAAATTAATTAAATTAATTTAGAACACAACAAATGTTATATTATATTATATTGTATTAATTCCAAAAAAAAGACGAAATTAGCTGACAAACCAGCGTCACAAGATTTATGGACGGCCCCCTATCATGAAACACCCTTTAGTTTGGGTAATTTTGGGCATTTTTCCAATTTTAAACAATTGTTAGTTCTTAATAATTTTAGATACATTTTGGATATTTTTTATCTAAAAAGACGTTTTAAAACAGTTTTATTTCAGTTCAGTTTCATAATACCCTATAGCTTTGAAAAAAATACAGTAATATTTTCTCTAACAGTACAATATATAAAAATGTCAAAAACTCAAACTTAAAACTAAAATTAAAAATTTTTAAAACTTTTGCACCATTTGATTCATAATTAATAAAATAAAATTCTGTCAAAATGGCCATTAATAAAGAATTAATTTAGGATGTACTTACCATATACAATAAATTATAACGCTTAAAGCAAAAATAAACAATAATATTGCCGATATTATAATAATCCCTAAAAATCACTATTAATAATTTCATAATTTTTTAATTTTCGTAACCTTACAAATAATAATTAAATCCATTGTAACAAACATGTATTGAACACTAAAGTTTATTCGTAAAAAATGCAATAAAAACGCTCTTTTTATAGTTGTAAATCTGGCAACATTGCTTTCGTTAGTATCGAGTATAGTAGAGGTACAGTCGTGGAAATTAAGAATGGGTCGGAAATAATGGAATTCTTTTTTTTTTACATTTAGATTTTATTAGTAACGTATGCTTGATTATAAAAACTAAAAAAACATCAACTATACTCTTTGGTACTAAATATTAATAAATATTATTTTTATCCTATACATCGATAATACTGTCGTGTTTCTTGTCGTGAGCCGTGACCTTGAGTTTTTCCTGCATTTTTGTGAGCATTTCTTGCATCCTTCGAATCTACAAAGAATGTTGAGAAAAACAAAAATATTGAACAAAAAATTACCTCCTCGTCCTTTTGCAGGAGCAACCTGTCAGTCTCGGAAATGTCAGGATCGAATACGGGGGCCGAATCTCGTTTCAACTTCCTAAAAGAAGTTCTAATAACTCATGAAAAAATTAATCATCATCACACCCGAAAAACTTACCCCCTCTCCCTGGCATGCTGGGATATTTGCGAGATGCATTGCGCCCTGAAATTTTCGTAGTGCACGTCCTCGGTCACGTCCTTCAAATCCTGCATGTGCGTGGAAATCAACATGGTCCTCAGTTTTATGAAGTCGCTGTGTTTTGGATTCTCAACTGCAAAATATCGATATTAGCCGAATTTTGCACAATCCGGCAACATCGCATGGTTCGAAAATGTGGCAACGTCGCATATTTGTGAATAATGGCAACGTTGCGTGGTTATTGCGAGGTTGCCGGGTTTTCGGTTTCCTACCGTCCACGACTCCCCAAGGGTACTGCCTTCCCCTAACTTTTTTTCCCGCCACCTCCAAGGTCATATTGCTCCCGACCACCGCGAAAGGTACGCTGGCCTTTAATTCTCTGTCTTGCTGCTTGAATTCGTCGTCTTCGTCGCTGTCGCATTCGGGAAACTCGTACATCTTAAAAGTTATAATTCAAAATATTTTCATTTACAAAGAAAACAAGCAACCACCTGTATATCGTTCTCCCTAATATCGTTGATGATGTTTTGCTTCAATTTGGCAACCTCGGACGTGGTCAGAGTGTCAGCTTTGGCTATCACGACCACTATATTAACCTTACGGTGCAGCCTCTTCATCAATTCAAGGTCCATTTGCCTCAAACTACAAAAAATACATTAACACTTCGTCACCTGAGTGTTCTATCTGCATTTTCCTTTTTTTATTCAGGTTAGTCTTGTTTTAAGTCTTAAAGATGATATTGGTCTATCTATATATAATTGGGGTAGAAATTGTAAAGTTTAAGGTTTAAACTGTACAATTTCTACCCCAATTATATATAGAAAGAACAATATGCATCTTTAATACTTAAAACAAGACTAACCTGAATAAAAAAAAGAAAATGCAGATAGAACACTATAATTCTCAGGTGACGACTTGGTAAAAGTAAAACTTCTTAGAAACTAGAGAATGTGAGAAATTTTAGTTGAAGCGAATTTGCTTTCGGCACGCGCCTAAAAAGCGGCATGCTTTACACCGCGTTATTACCACTGAACTACTGTGTAGTTCAGTGGTTATTACAAATAAGCCGAATTATTATAAAATAATAAAAACAGTAGAATATTCGCTACTCTACCGTACTCATAATTGTTTATTGTTTAACTATTTGTTTTATTTTTGGTAGAAATAAACCATTTGGTAACAATTTTTATTTTTTTAAGTAATGTACAAAATGTACATTTTCCAATAAGCGCGACTTAAAAATAATAAACTTTGCAATTTTTTGTGTAAATGTTTAAAACCAAACGGCAGTTTTGTCGAAATGGTGTTCAAAATACACCTGCTGTAGTTAAAGATTTTAATTTGACAATAAAAAAGCAATTTTTTCTAATTTCTAAGAGAGAAAAAAATTTAAAAAAGTATTTCTCCACCGAGAATTGAACATAAAGAATGTACTTGAAAATTGTAATTGGAAATTAGATAATAATGAATGTTTATTGTTTTTAACAAATATAATGATCTTTTGACCATTATAACTTATAATTTAAAAAATAAAAGAAATTAATTTATGTTAAAACGCTCGAAATACACACTAGCAAATGCAAAACAGAAACTGAATCCTCGCCTACGCCGGCAATCTGCTAACAACCGATCGTATTCACTCGGGTGCACTCGTACGTTATAACTTTTTCTCTCTCGTGTAACGAAATCTCGGAACGTTACATTTTTCACAATTCACTCTCCATTCTCGTCAAATATCAGAACGCCGCCAAAAAAGTTTCACTTCAAAAACGCAAATTTGGCAACGCCGCAGTCATAAACATGGCAACATTGCATTCGAAGACACGGCAACGTCGCAACTATATTTACCTGTGCCCCCACGGCGGTATAAAGTACAAACAACAATGCACTCTGTTGTCCTGTATATTTCTGCGATTTAGGCCGCTTTCGTCCGTGAAATATTGTCGAAATTGTTCGTCTATGTAGTTGGTACACACCTTCCAGCTGTCCTCGCAGTTGACCGCGTCCCCGAAGCCGGGGGTGTCGATTACCGTGAGCCTAAAAAACAAAATTCCCTCAATCTGGGATTTTTTCGACTTGGCAACACCGCAACCTCTTTGCCGCGTTGCCGTACCTTAGCTTGACGCCGCGCTCCTCGATTTCCATCGTTTTTTTCTCGATGCTCGTGGTTTTCTTGATTTTTTCCCCCACTTCCGGTACAATCCTGTTCTTGTACAGGTCCTCCAAAAAGAGGCTGTTTATGAGGGTGGATTTCCCCAACCCCGACTCCCCCACCACCATGAGGGTGAAGTCGAAACCTCTTTTGACCGATTTTCTGTGCACTTGATCTGGCAACGTTGCAAACCCTATGTAATCTCGATCGCGGTCTATAAAAGAAAAATTGTTTGTTTTATTTAGATTTTTTAAAGCCATTTAGTCCACGGTATTAAAATAAACATTTCATCGTGTTTACAGGAAGCAGGTGTGTTTTTTTTTTCAATAAAATATATCTAGGTTTACCTTCCGTTACGTTATAAATATTTTATCACATTTTAATAAAATATAAACTACCTATATAAAAATAAAATCTTAAAGCATATTTTTAGATCATCAATCATTAATTCATTAAATTAAGTAAAGGGAAGTAACTACTTCAAATAAGTAATCTTAAAAATAGATATTTACTTAAATAAATTGGGTCAAAAAATTATAGAAAGCACTTTTACCTACTTGTGTTTTTGTATTTGTACACAAAAATAAATTTTATTCATGAATTGTATTCAAAGAGACATTTAAATTAACTTTAATAGGTACTACTAAGTAGGAAATCGTTTGGAATGTTAATTAGATTTTTCGCATTTTTCAGCGTATTATTTTTGATAAGCTTTATTGTGGTTTATCAAACATTAACTACCTAGCTAATATTTAAATAACTGATAAACATACATGATTAATTTTCTAATAGGTTGAATATTTAAAGGCCCACTCTAGAATTACTGTTAATTAATAAATAAAAACAAAGCGATTACAATTGTTTTTTTTACACGGCCTACCTGACATTCTTCCTTTTACTCCAAAGCACCCTTCACAAATCCAACAAATTCACAGTGGGTATATGTCTGTTTTATTTACTTTATTAACACAACAACAACAATAATTCTGCTGTAGAAATTCAGCAGGTCTAAAGTGAAATTACGCGGTGGGTGTAGCGCTCATTTCGCGATCAATAGTGTAAACAGCGCGTTTTTGAAATTGCGCGCACGCGCAAAAAGGGAAAACGCAAATAAACTCATTTGGTATTTTAAATAAAAAAGGGGGAAATTCTATTGTCTAAGAACAAACAAAAAAAAGTGGGCAAATGTTAAAACTGTACTTTAACGTGTTAATTATTGTTTAATGATCATTATACTGGTTTTATCGTTAGTTAAACACATTATTTTAAGTTTTGCTTCTAATATTATATTTAAATCGCACGGGCCATGACTTTGTTCCAATAAAACGCAATACATGTCAACGCCGCATTTAATTTAAAGTGTCCAATTCAATTGTAAACAAATACCTAACCTCACAAAGGCGGCACCTTTACTTTTGATGGATTTTCGATAAAATCAGAGAAATCCCTGGATAGACTTCACTGTTTTAATAATTAATTAGGCATAGTTAGATAATAAAATGTCACACTTGGTGGAACATTGTATAATCGGTAGTGTTTGTATCACTATAGTGCTGATTTTCAACTATTCTCTGCATAGGATTGAAGAGGGCCATGTAGGCGTTTATTATAGAGTACGTATTTTGAGTTTTTGAGGTGTTTTTGTTTATTTTTTGAGTGTTTTTAGGGTGGGGCATTGCTGCCTACAACTAGTTTACCTGGATATCATATGATGGTGCCGTTATTGACTTCTTATAAGTCTGTACAAGTAAGTTTTATGAACCCCTTCAACAAGTGGGATAAATTTAATCTTTTAGGTTACTTTGCAAACAGATGAAGTTAAAAACGTCCCGTGTGGGACAAGTGGAGGCGTAATGATTTATTTTGATAGAATAGAAGTTGTAAATCATCTTAATGCAAATAGCAGTAAGTATTTATGCTTGTATATAATAATTACATTTTAAAACTTGTTGATGTTACAGTAATGGATATAGTAAGAAATTACACAGCAGATTACGATAAAACGCTTATATTCAATAAGGTACATCACGAGTTGAACCAGTTCTGCAGTATACACACATTACACGAAGTTTATATCGATTTGTTTGATCAAATCGACGAAAATCTTCGACAGGCTCTTCAACGAGATCTGCACGAGATGGCGCCAGGTTTGTTCATACAAGCTGTGAGGGTAACAAAGCCGAAAATCCCCGAAGTGATAAGAAAAAACTACGAACTGATGGAAGGGGAGAAAACCAAGCTGCTCATAGCAATACAGCACCAGAAAGTGGTGGAAAAAGACGCCGAAACGGAACGCAAGAGGGCGCTGATCGAGGCGGAGAAGGAATCGCAGGTGGCCAAGATACAGTACAGCCAAAAAATCATGGAGAAGGAATCTCTGCAGAGAATATCGCAGATCGAGGACGAGATGCATCTGGCGAAACAAAAAAGCATGGCGGATGCGGAGTTTTACAAGTTGACGCAACAGGCGGAAGTCAACAAGTTGCTGTACACTCCGCAGTTCTTGGAGCTGAAAAAATACGAGTCGTTGGCCTTGAACAGTAAGGTTTATTTCGGCAACGAGATACCTCAGACGTTTATATCCACCCAGCAGGGCAATAAAGAAATTAAATCATGATAATAAATAAATTTAAGAATAAATAAAATATATTTTATTTCATAAAAATACAATGTTTTGAGCACCAAAACTTTGTGAAATATATTGATTATTTAACACAGACTTAAAAATTATTTGTCATAAAATATAAGACACATAATACTTTTAAATGCCATAATATTAATATTAAGTAATATATTTTTACAAATTAATATTTATTTAAACAATAAATATCACAAAAATAACATAAATTATATGCAATTTTACCTTAGTATTAAATTCGATCACAATGTTTATCATTTCCCAGCTCTTAATATTAATAAAAATAGTAAACAAAAATTCTCCTAAATATGTACAACCGTTGCAATAACTCAAACAACGGCATATTGTAAAAAAGTAAGGTTAAATTTAGGTTACGTTAGGTTATGTATCAACCAACATGGCCAGATAAAGCGCATGTCAGTTGGTTTGACGCACCCTCGACCACGATTGCTCTCTAGCGCTCGCAAACGCCACGTAAAACAGATTAGCTCCTATATTTATCCCTGCAGCTAAATAAAACACCATACGCCACTGTCCTAGAGTTTCCTAAAAAAAATCAACATCACAAGTTTCATAAATACACAACTTTTTAATGTAGCAGGCTTGGCACAGCGTTGCTCAGTGGGCTGGGCCTGGCCAAAAGTCCAAAAAGTCAACTTTTTCTGATCAAAAAAATAATAATAATAATAAGTAACGAAAAAACTGTTAAAGTAAAGCAATACGGAAAAAACTTTAGATTTGAACAGAATTTTCTGCCTTTAATGGGGGGTTTATACAACTTCATATCATTAATTTATTTCATAATTCACAATTTAGTGCATAAGCATATACAGGGTGTTATGCAAACTTTTTTTTCTAAATTCCAAAGACTAAAAATAGTTTATAATAACCTTTATCCTACCAAAAAGTACGCCACTGATCGACTAGGAACTTTAGGCTAATCTGGTTGCCCAATTTAATTTATTATGTTATGGTTGGTAACAACAGCGTTTCCAAAAAAGTTGCCAAGCATTGTTTAAATTTAGCTTAATTACAAAAATTACAAAATCAACAATGCAAATTGTCAATTTGGCGTTTTTATTAATTGTTGGTTATGTCATTTTTGTACTGAAGATAAATTCAAACAAAATCTGCCAACTTTTATGACATAATCTATAGTGCATTTTTTTTAAATTTTAGTTTATGTGCTCAAATTGTAAATATCTTAACTAAGGGAAGTGCTTTTGGATTTATTTACACAAAATTAAATGTTTAAAGTTTAACCTCTGAGTAAACGAAGAAAACCGTGGAAAAAATTAATTTTGTGGTTATGGATTTTTTAAAATAGATACTAAATTTTCTAATCATTGCTTAAGCCAATAGCTGGATGAGTAAATAAATACAGAAGGGTATTAGAGTTTTAAGGGCATCCAACTTTTGTATTTATTGAGTTTTATTTATTTTTTGCAAGAAAAATTTTTAGTAACAATTTTTTACATCTGGCAACACGCAGCTACTTTGTTGGTTGGTATCTATGTACTCACAGAACACAAGTGTGCAGATATAAACCAAGTGTGTAACCAGTGGCGTATCACAAAAAATATAAAAAACTTCTAATGCATATTTTTTCTTTATCTTTGGAAAAATATTTTTTTAAATATTTTTCCTTTACTCCTTATGTGAAAAGGTATTCAGTATTTTAATATATAACATTAATTACATAACACCCTGTATAATATATTTTTTCAAATGATGATATTGATAATTAAAAGTGACAAATAACACAAAATCCCTCATTAAAACTCATGTTTTGTAGGAGCTTTGTAGTATTTTTTAAGGCACAAACATAAAACACAATAATTATTAATTATAACCTTAAAAAATGGAGAGAGAAAAACTGTTGGCACATGCGCTGTTCAATCTCAAGTTAAATTTTATGAACTAATAAACACTAAATTGTGATTTACGGATTTAATCGTTGTATAAACTGCTTATGCACTAAATTGTGAATTATGAAATAAATTATTGATATGAAGTTGTATAAACTCCTTACATTTATCGAAAAAACAAAAGAAAACTTTTTTGTATACCTATCAGTTAATTTCAAACAAAAATATGCACTACTCATTTCAAATTCCTAACCAACTAAATTATGAAATTTTGAAAAAAAAATATTTTGTTCAAAACTTTTTAAACTTTGACCCAAGATATCTTTTGAATGGATAGGTTTACGAAAAAACATAAAATACTTTTTTTGTAGAGCAATAATTTTTGGATAAAATGAAAAAAAACAAGGCTTTAGGTCAATTATTAAGGTCACAATTTAGTTTTGACCAGAAAAGTAGCATTCCAACCCACCGTGCAGCGTTGCCGAGCTTACAAACGTCAAACTTCACTTACCCGGCCTTGTATGATCAAACCTATGACGTAGGGGGCCAAAAACCCGCATATGTTGGCCGTCGCGTTGGTTATGCCGTACATTGTGCCCGCATACTTCGGACTCAAAGCGATGTGGTTCATTTGGTTGCCGGCGTAGACGGCACCGGCAAACGCGCCCGGGATGGCCAACAGCAGTTGAACCGAAATTTTGTCGCATCCGACGTAGGCCACGCCCAGCAATCCCAAGGACGGCACGATCGAGGCTGAAACAGCAAGTTTGACAGGTGACAGTCGAGTTTGAGGTTACTTAGCCTTGCTCGCTTACCCACTGAGTTAAAAACCTTATAGGACGTGGACAATGATAGGTAACCTTTGCTGAGTAACCAATCGGCAAAAATGCTTGTTCCTATCCCAAATATCCAGCTTGTTAGGTACGGTATGGCCGATAAAACGGCGTCCTGTAATAATAAAACGTTAACATTTAATTGATGGTATTTTCATGCATTGTACTTACCGACTGTATGTCGAAATGCAAAATTTGTGCCATATATGTCGGTAGTTCAGTCAGTTGAGTGTAAAAAGCCCACGACTGGCCGCATTGCGTTATTAAAATAGCCCATAAGGGTACGCATGTGAGGAAATTCATCCAGGGTATGGAGCCTTTATCTTCATCTTGAGGACCTGGGCAAAATTAGTTCGTTATTTACGCCATCTATGAGACACTAACCAAAGCTTTATTCTACTTACCTATGCTGGCCAAGATAAACGCTTTTTCTTGAGGGCAAATTCTGGGGTGAACCTGGGGATTGTCGTAAATCAAAAATAACCAGAAGAAGAACCAAACGAATCCCAATACGCCGAAAATGTAAAAGCACAGTGGCCAACCCCCCATGTAATCCAGTGAACATAACCAACCAGACAGAGGCAGGGATATTATAGTACCAAAGTTGGCACCTAAAAATGTAAAGATTTTGTACTTTGTTTTTTTAGGGACCGTAAGTTTATAAATTATAAAGTCGATTAATGCAAATTAATTATTTCATCAAAATACTGTTTTGTTTTAAAAAAATTTATTTGTTTAGAATGTTCTGTTATTTATGGAATTGTTAAATAAAATTGTCAAAGTAAAATTAAGAAATTGAACAGCAGTACCAATTTTAAATATTAAAAATACCAAAGTGTATTTTTAGAGATGGGAATCACAGAGTTTCCATTTTAAGGAAAGTTGCCATTTTGGAAAGTTTCCAGTCGGGAATTTATTTTCATTTTGAAAGTTAACTTTCTTTCCCCGTTTTTTTATGTAAATGTCAATTGATTAACAGCTGATTTGCGAAGTTAAGGCCAAGAAACTGAATAAAAATAAGTTAATTTGTTATAATTTGAAGAAAAACTATTAGTTATGTTCTATGATTAGTTTTTTGAAGATCTCATCATCACAATTCATTAATCGTTTGCAAGAAAACCTTTATATAAAAGCCTTTAAAAAGGTAAAGAGAAAAATCTTATAATTTGAATTATTACAAAATTGTGCAAAAAAAACAACATCAATTAAGTAGATTTCTCAGGTTCCAAATTTAAACCGCAATTAATTATTTTTACAATGTTTTAAAAGTCTAAAACCTATCCTCCGTGAATGTTACTCTTTCTAGGTTAACCTATATGTTTTCAAATATCTGAGGTAGTAAAAGCATACCAAAAATATTAGTTCACTAAGTAAATTAAACACATCCAAAGCAATCGAATCAAATATAAAATATTATTAAAAATTAAAAGAAATAATTTTTATAACAATTTATGTAGGTGTTACAAAAATTGATTCTATCCTCCGTGAATCTGGTTTTGCTTTAAATTTTATGCAACGGATGGCGCTTTAATCATTTTAAATAAGCAAAAACCTCTGTTTACGACATTATAGATGCATGTGATTCCTGAAGGTCAGTTAGAATTTATATGCAGATGAGAGTGTTGCTGTTTTATAATTCAAAAGTTTAAGTTCATTAATTTGCTATTTAAAAACCTATCCACCGTGAAGTGTAATATCTCAGTAAGTAGATTATTTTTTAAATATTTTATGTATGTACAATTGTATTTTTTAAAAATATTAAGGTGTCAAAAGATACAATAACTTATTTTAAATATACAAATTGATGTTTAAAAAAAAACATACGAAATCCCAACCTCCGTGAAGCTCTAATATTCAAAATGTTTGATTTCTTAAAATTCTTGCATTAGTGCAGAACCACTTATGTTATGTTATTACTAGACCTGGTGGCTTCCCAAAAACCCCATTCTAGACAAACAGTGAAACAACCAAAAATATTCATTTTCACTTGGGGTACATCTCAATATATTCACCCTTTAGACATTTCTTTTTGTTTAGAATTTTCTGTTTTGTTTAAAATTGTTAAATAAAATTGTCAAAGTAAAATTAAGACATTCAATTTTAAATATTAAAAATACCAAAGTGTATTTATGTAGAGTACCAACATAATGAAATTCCGAAAAAAAAAACTATAGCCATGTCCAATTATTATTTCTAATTAAATAGCAATATTTTTTGCAAAATTACAGCCAAATGTTAAAATTTAAAAAAATCGCATAATATAAATTAAATTTTTTAAATTCAAACCTGCATAGACATAGGCCGCAAACTTGCTTCTCTCCAACGGGGGAATCCACCGCGCCAACATGGCGTGCATTGAAGGAAAGGTGACACCCTAACAAAAAAAGTTACTAAAAAAATCACAAATTTTAATTTTATTACCTCTCCCATTCCTTCAAGAACTCTTACTAATATGAACAGAGGAAAGTTAATTCTGGCCGCTATAGGGCTTAGAAAAGTGAAAATAGCTGTAATTAGTACTCCTACACCATATACTCGTTTTCCTCCAAAAAGTTCGGCTAGTCTTCCCCCGGGGACTTGTGTTAGCACATAGCCATAGAAAAACGAGCCTAAAACTATGCCCTGTGTTTGCTCATCCCAGTTAAACTCTCCAGTGCTTGCCTGTAAGATTATTAGTTGGTTAATTATAATTTTAAACCCTTTGTACTAGTTTAAACTTACAGGGATTGTTCCATTTGTTACATTGGGTACAGTGCAAGTTTCAAATGAATTATTACTAGGTGGTGGGGTCATGCTACTATTGACCATGGCTACTATAGCAACAGAAAGGTTTACTCTCATGGCATAAACATTTGCAAACCCCAAAAACCCCATTATGCCCAGTATGTGACGAGATCTAAGGCAATCCTTTGTATCTTCAACTAAAACAAATAAGTAGGGGGCGTTTTCATGACTTGTCATTGCATATTTTTGTCAATATAAACCAACATTTAGACTTTAACATATAATTTTTTTTATAACAAGGACTTTTACCATCTGGGGCCACAATCTGGGTGGTATCATCCTCATCATCCTCATATTCACTATCACTATCTACTTCATTATTAATTGAACCCTCTTCTAACGGCGCATACATCTTTACTAAATATATAAATTCAATCACACACAACAAAAGATTTATTACTTAACGAAAATTATGAATCATAGGTCTTTGATTATTCGGACCCGATAAAATGCCCACAAGAAATCTTTGTCTGGGTAAATAAAACGCAGCTTTTATCAATTAATTAAAGATTGTTTACAAATAAACACTTTAAAACAGCTGATTTTTATGAAATCTTTGTTTTGACACCGAAATCACCCTGACATTTTAGATTTTTGGGTTAGAAAATTAATGTTTACGTTGTCAAATTTAACTCATTGAAAAAAAAACAAAGAAGGAAAAAAATATTTTAAATTACTAAATATACAATATTTATAGTATAAAATACATAACTTAGCTAAATGATGTGATTTTGTAGCATATTTTCTCCAATAGCAACGTTATTTAGGCTTATTTTACTAAATTTCTACAAAAATACTTCTACATTTTAGTATGTCTATGGTTGCATTGCTGGTTGCCTATCTTGAAATTAACCGCGAAAACAACTGTCATTTAAAACCTAACCTTAATCAACAAGTTAAAGTGCATTAAAATGGTTCAATTAGAAGAAAAACGTATTAATTTACCATGGTTTGTACTGATTTAAGGAATATTGACCATTGTTTATATAATTTTGTTCCAGGGTTGAAAAATATCGCCCTAATAAGCTGGACGAGCTGGTCTCACATGATGATATAATAAAGACAAGTATTTATAGTGTTTTTATGATGTTTTAAGGTATTACATTCTGTTTTTTAGTAAATAAATTTATTAAGGATGATCAGTTTCCACATTTATTATTCTATGGACCCCCTGGTACGGGTAAAACCAGTACAATCTTGGCCTGTGCTAAACAACTATACACACCATCAGAATATGGAAAAATGGTAATAATTTGTAAAATTACGTTATAGAATCTTAACAAATGTACATTTTTTAATTCAAGGTGTTAGAATTGAATGCCTCTGATGATAGAGGTATTAAAATCGTACAAAATGCAGTTCAAACTTTTGCTAGTACTCGTAACATGTTCCATAAAGGTTTTAAACTAGTTATTTTGGATGAGGCTGATGCCATGACAATGGAGGCACAGAGCTGTTTGAGGAGAAGTAAGTGACATTTTTTTTATTAGTTTTTCTTACATTTTTTTATACTAATGATTAAGTTGATTTTTTTGGACAATATTGATATTTTATCTTATGAAGACCAATTATATTAATTAATAATTATAACTATATTAATAATTAAGTATACTTCATCGAAATCACGTTGAAATTTTAAGAGAACTTTATAAACAAAATTTATTTTTAATTATTAATTAAAATTTTTAGCACATTTTTAATAAAAATGTACTAAAATATTTTTATTTTTGCTACTTACAATCATTTTTTATTTCACTTATTGACAGTAAATGGTATTTTACCATGCTTATTAGTAATAACTTGTGTTACGCGAATTATTTTATCACCAGGTGTTAATAAATAATATGATTTAATAAAATTTCATATGCTCAGGTAGCCTTCAAAAAATCAATAATTTTGGTTGTGTGGTTGGAAATTATCTCTTATTAATTAATATATGGTGATAAAATGTAATCAAATTGTTATACAGGGTGTACTTTGTAAACAACCTGTATATTTTACCAAGTGTAAAAAAATTACTAAACATTTGTCCTTTTTTGAGTTACTAAGCATTTAAGGTTAAAAAAAAACTGCAATAAAACATAATACAGGGTGTTTCTTTTAACTTGAGACAGCTCAATATCTCGAGAAATACGCATTTCACGGAAAAATGCCTTAAATAAAAGGTTAATGTGACTAAAGGGGACATTATTTGGCGCTACCGCTAGTCACCCCCTACCCCTCCTTAAGGGTAAAACGGGGGGTAACTTTGGAAAGTAAAATGGAATGACCCGATTTTTTTCACAGAGTTTGGTAGTACATAAAAAAATAAATAACTTTTATTTAAAACTTTTTTCAATTTATCAACAGATGGCGCTGTAATTCAAAATTTAAGAAAAATGAGTTTCCTTGTAAAATGTATTATTTGAAACGTTTGAAAAACTAAAATTAACATTAACAACAATAGTCGGCTATGAAAACAATTTATAACAAATGTTCGAAATGTCGTCATTCGAAGTCTTAAGAACTTCTTAAAAACTTCTTTCTGATTTGTATTTGAAGTCAAAATCATAAAATAGAGCTTATGCAGACTTAATTAAGACGTCATATTGCTGTCTGGGAACCCTGTCTAAAAGAGATTTGACTTATGTACTTTATAGTATTAAGTTCCTACCAAAAGAACTGATATTTAAAATATGAAAACGTTCAATTTCCTACCTAAACATAGTACTAAATAGGAAGTCTATACTAAAAGGAAATAAAAGAACTGATCTTTAAAAAAGAAAAAGTTCCAACCTGACAAAAACCACCTAAGTTCCATCTACAACCTAAACAAGATTTGACCCGACGAAAACAATCTAAAAAAAAATAGAAAAGAGTGAGGGCCCTCCTCCTTTATCCGGGCTTGGGACCGGCAGGTTAAAAATACCTGGCGGAGTTACCCTCCACCCTCCTTATCATATTATGTACCTAAAATTTCCTAAAACAGATAAAGTATTTAAATAAACAAAAACACACAAAAAAAAATTTACTGTTTGTATACAAACTCGCATATAAGATTCACTCGCACCCTGAAGTTCCAAGAAGTCCAAGATGTCCATGACAGGTCCAGATGAAGGAATTAGGGTAATAGGAAGGGTAGAAAAGGAAAACGACAGATAATTAAGTTACAAATAGATTAGCGCCGGTGCGCAACAACATGCTCCACGTTAAAAACGGGTTAGCACGGATTACCGATGTTCCGAGACAAAATCCAGAAAGTACTTTCAAGATCCATCTACCATTTTAATTTAATTTTAACAATCTGAAGATTGTGAAATTGAACTAAAATGGGTCTAAATGGAAGGAATAAAAAGGAGGGTTTTATAGGAAACTCCTGGGCGCCTGGTTCCATAGGATAATCACTACCTAAAACAGACTAAAACGACGAAAAGAATTTAAAAAATATGTGTCCTACCCAAAAGCGAACAAATAAAGAATTAGTTTCATCTCCAACTTGAAATTCGACCTGACGAAAAGAATTTAAACAAAATTTTGACCTATGATCCCTACAAAAACGAAGTAAAAGAACAGATCTTTAAAAAAAGAATAAGTTCCATATCCAACTTAAAAAATCTAATAACAATTTGACTTACGACCCATAACAAAAACGAACTAAAAAAACAAATCTTTAAAAATCCAACTTAAAAAATCTAATAATAATATTACTTACGACCCCTAACAAAAACGAACTAAAAGAACTTAACTTTAAATAAAGAATTAGTTCCATCTCCAACTTAAACAAGATTTTCGCTGACAAAAAGAATCTAAAAAAAATTTTGATTTACGACCCCTAAGAAAAAAAAAAGAACTGATCTTTAAAAAAGAATAAGTTCCATATTTAACTTAAAAAATGACAATTTGACTTACGACCCCTTACAAAAACAAACTAAAAGAAATTTAAATAAAGAATTAGTTTCATCTCCAACTTAAACAAGATTTGCCCTAACAAATAGAATCTAAAAAAGTTTTGATTTACGATCCCTAACAAAAAAAATAACTGATCTTTAAAAAAGAATGGGTTCCATATCCAACTTAAAAAAAAATAATGACAATTTGACTTACGACCCCTAACAAAAACGAACTAAAAGAACTTAACTTTAAATAAAGAATTAGTTCCATCTCCAACTTAAACAAGATTTGCGCTGACAAAAAGAATCTAAAAAAATTTTGATTTACGACCCCTAAGAAAAAAAAAGAACTGATCTTTAAAAAAGAATTAGTTCCATATTTCACTTAAAAAAAAACTAATGACAATTTGACTTACGACCCCTAACAAAAAAAAACTAAAAGAACTTTAAATAAAGAAATAGTTTCATCTCCAACTTAAACAAGATTTGCCCTAACAAAAAGAATCTAAAGAAGTTTTGATTTACGACCCCTAACAAAAAAAAAGAACTGATCTTTAAAAAAGAATAGGTTCCATATCCAACTTAAAAAAAAATAATGACAATTTGACTTACGACCCCTAACAAAAACGAACTAAAAGAACTTATCTTTAAATAAAGAATTACTTCCATCTCCAACTTAAACAAGATTTGCGGTGACAAAAAGAATCTAAAAAAAATTTTGATTTACGACCCCTAAGAAAAAAAAAGTACTGATCTTTAAAAAAGAATATGTTCCATATTTAACTTAAAAAATGACAATTTGACTTACGACCCCTTACAAAAACAAACTAAAAGAAATTTAAATAAAGAATTAGTTTCATCTCCAACTTAAACAAGATTTGCCCTAACAAATAGAATCTAAAAAAGTTTTGATTTACGATCCCTAACAAAAAAAATAACTGATCTTTAAAAAAGAATGGGTTCCATATCCAACTTAAAAAAAAAATGACAATTTGACTTACGACCCCTAACAAAAACGAACTAAAAGAACTTAACTTTAAATAAAGAATTAGTTCCATCTCCAACTTAAACAAGATTTGCGCTGACAAAAAGAATCTAAAAAAAATTTTGATTTACGACCCCTAAGAAAAAAAAAAGAACTGATCTTTAAAAAAGAATAAGTTCCATATTTAACTTAAAAAATGACAATTTGACTTACGACCCCTTACAAAAACAAACTAAAAGAAATTTAAATAAAGAATTAGTTTCATCTCCAACTTAAACAAGATTTGCCCTAACAAATAGAATCTAAAAAAGTTTTGATTTACGACCCCTAACAAAAACGAACTAAAAGAACTTAACTTTAAATAAAGAATTAGTTCCATCTCCAACTTAAACAAGATTTGCGCTGACAAAAAGAATCTAAAAAAATTTTGATTTACGACCCCTGAGAAAAAAAAATAACTGATCTTTAAAAAAGAATAAGTTCCATATTTCACTTAAAAATCACTAATGACAATTTGACTTACGACCCCTAACAAAAAAAAACTAAAATAACTTTAAATAAAGAAATAGTTTCATCTCCAACTTAAACAAGATTTGCCCTAACAAAAAGAATCTAAAAAAGTTTTGATTTACGACCCCTAACAAAAAAAATAACTAATCTTTAAAAAAGAATAAGTTCCATATCCAACTTAAAAAAACTAATGACAATTTGACTTACGACCCCTAACAAAAACAAAATAAAAGAACTTATCTTTAAATAAAGAATTACTTCCATCTTCAGCTTAAACAAGATTTGCGGTGACAAAAAGAATCTAAAAAAAATTTTGATTTACGACCCCTAAGAAAAAAAAAGAACTGATCTTAAAAAAAGAATATGTTCCATATTTAACTTAAAAAAAAACTAATGACAATTTGACTTACGACCCTAAGAAAAACGAACTAAAAGAACTTAACTTTAAATAAAGAATTAGTTCCATATCCAACTTAAACAAGATTTGCGCTGACAAAAAAAATCTAAAAAAGTTTTGATTTACGACCCCTAACAAAAAAGAACTGATCTTTAAAAAAGAATAAGTTTCATGTCCAAATTAAAAAAACTAATGACAATTTGACTTACGACAAAAACAAACCAAAAGAATTTATCTTTAAATAAAGAATTAGTTCCATCTCCAACTTAACAAGATTTGCGCTGACAAAAAGCATCTAAAAATTTTTTGATTTACGACCCCTAACAAAAAAAAGAACTGATCTTTAAAAAAGAATAAGTTCCATATTTAACTTAAAAAAAACTAATGACAATTTGACTTACGACCCCTAACAAAAACAAACTAAAAGAACTTATCTTTGAATAAAGAATTAGTTCCATCTCCAACTTAAACAAGATTTGCGCTGACAAAAAAAATCTAAAAAAAAATTGATTTACGACCCCTAAGAAAAAAAAAGAACTGATCTTTAAAAAAGAATAAGTTCCATATTTAACTTAAAAAAACTAATGACAATTTGACTTACGACCCCTATCAAAAACGAACTAAAAAAACTTAACTTTAAATAAAGAATTAGTTCCATATCCAACTTAAACAAGATTTGCCCTAACAAAAAGAATCTAAAAAAGATTTGATTTA